AAAGTCTCCCATAGACTCCAATGTTAAAGTCTCCCATAGACTCCAATGTTAAAGTTTCCCATAGACTTCAATGTTAAAGGCTCCCATAGACTTAAATGTTAGGGTAGGATGATGACCTTTCAACACGGGGTGCACTGCGGAGCGTGAACAGCGCCGCAAAGTCCAGGCCCAATTCTGGGCCGAACGGCTCTTTTGTGGATTTCGCACAGAAAACTCTCTCGGAGTGACTTCGTGAAACATTAAGGTGGAAACAAAAAACCGCATAACAATGACAACACAACAAATGGCACGCCTAATATTGTGTTCGGGGGACCGCAGACGGGAAGGGCGTTGTGAGCAGCATATTCATCGGCTCGCGCGTGTGTTGCTAAACCCCCCGACGCAATATATACACGAACCTGTGCAACGGCGACGAGGTGTCTAAGTCGACTGGTCTAAACGGGCAGTTGAGTCGACTGCGTATTTGTCATCAATATCACGGGAGACGGAGGAGGTGGTGTGGGGGGGGGGTTCTTTCTTCCTCCCTCCGTAGAGACGTAGGATTTCGTCCGAGCCAAGAACCGTGATCCACATTTTAGTTTTTCGGGTGAGGCACATCTCGGTAAATACGCATTGTTGGAACAACATTGCCATTTTCGGTTGGAAACGTTGGCCCAGCGTTCGTCCCTGTTTACTGTGATGGTCGTTTTCCCGCATGAGGATCTCAGCGGCTTGTGTCCGGTCATCGAACAAAGGCGGTGGCCACTGCACTGCGCGCCTTCGGATGCGCTTCTGCGGCCGTCTGGAACGCTCTTCCTTCCGATATTAGGAAGCCACTTGAGCTATGGCACTTTTACATCATCGAGATTGAAAACTCATTTGTTTTAAATGCTTTTGTGTTTAGATTGTTATCCTTCCCCCGCACCTCTGATTAGCACGGTTGGCTATGTATGGTGCGAAATAAGTTAAACATACATACGTTAATCTGCGCATTAAATGCTCCTAACAAATGATTGTTAGTTATTAAGCCACCGTTGAGGAGCTTCCTTGGTCAGATTTTGATCGATACATCAGCGCGTATCGATAATGAGAATTATATCTGTGTAAACATGACATTCTTGTCAGGTGGTTGATGATAATTTTGGCGTAGAAACTACCGCCACGTGGCCCGAACACAAAGACAAGTCCGGATCGCACTTTTCCATCTTCACAGATCAGTTTCAACATGGCACTTCTTAATGTACAATGATATTTTCTTTGTCTTATATGAATCTGCATACCATACATACGAGTATATTTTGGTGTAATCTTACTAGATCGTTTGTATAATGTAATAAATGATTTTTTTGTTATTATTTTGCTGTTTATCCTTTGCCATGCGTCCGGTGTTTATGGTTGTAATGATGTCTTTATTTAAATATCGTTTAAAAAAAATCCCAATTATTTTCAAATCGTGCTGCTGGCATCAAGCATTGAGATGAAGGCAGCTCGCGGTGCATCAACCTGTGTCAAGCGCCAACTTTTAATCGGAGGTGTGTATGTCATCTATGATATATTGAGTTTCTTTAAAGGCGGTGTTATTGGCGAATGTGCTGTGTTGTTGTCGATTGTGTCCATGTCGTGTTGGCCATCGCGGTGACATGCGGTGACATTCCCCGAGAACGGGCTGCACGGGGACACTTGTTCAACGGTTGGATTTGTGTTGCCAGGTCGCTTCTAATCAAAGAGCTCTAAAGTTCAGTGGGCTATACGTGGTAAAAAAAGAGGATTGAAAATGGTATGTCGACTGAGGTTCCATTTACCTATCCCAAGCGTACATTGTAATTTTGTCCCCTAACAGTGCTAAAAATAATTATATAGTGTACAGGCAGTCCTCTACTTAGGATGGGGATGCGTTACGACGACCCCATCGTAAGTCAAAAATATCGTAAGTCGAAGATGGCCCAGCCTACCCAGGAGTTTTAAAGAATGGTGATAATTTAGCAAAACAGAGCAATTTACAGTACCGTACTGTATAAACTATATACTGTATGTATTTATTAATTACAATACTGTATTGCACAGTAAACTTAAAAAAACAAGGTAAATTCTGAGCCTACCTAGATGAACTGCAATTTAATAGGAAGTTTTTTTCAGGAAACAATCCTATCTGCATCACACAAGGCGGAAGATGCGCGAAATGTAAAATATTTTACAATTTTGTCGTATCGCCATCGTAAGATCAAAGTATCGCAAGTCGGATCATGGTAACTCGTGGACTCTCTGTATTTCGTCATGCGAATTAACCTGGAAAATGCTACAATGTCAGCGAAACGAGTGAGTCGGCAAAAGGAAATACCGTCATCTATAAATTACAAAACGCTCCAGAGAGATTGTACCAAAAACCTGCCCCCGATGTCAATAACGTGAAACAAATCTGGCCTCGCACACCTACCAGGTTATCAGAGGCACCCCCGACGCCTGCTTTAATATACAAGGGAGATCAAGTGACCCGTGCAATCCGGAGTGTTCAATAGCGTGCCGCTGACTTGTTGAAATTCGCAGGGAATGCATCGGCCAGGTCAAAGTGCAGCTGAGAATTCCGCAGTCCATGGGGCTGTGAAGGTTCATGGCCTTTTTTGTGAAACAAAAATTCCATGGGGTCCATATAAAAATAACCGCCATTGGGTTCGCCCTCGCCTTACTGGGTGGGTGGGTGGGAGTGGCAGTGGCAAGGTGGTTGATGCGCTGTGCTATGAACCCACAAACTGAAGTTCTCAATCGAACTCCGGTCATCGCAGCAGCACCAGCAGCGGCTTTTGGATAAGCATTTGACAAAGACGGTGGGTACAGCATCGCACACTTTCAGATGCGCTTCTGCGGCCGTCTGGAACGCTCTTCCTTCCGATATTATGAAGCCACTGGGGCTATGCACTTTTAAATTTAGATTGAAAACGAATTTCCTTAGGACTGCTTTTCGTGTTTGGTTGGTTGTCCATTCTCCCGCATCTCCGATTAGCACGGTTGGCTACGTATGGTGTGAAAGAAGTTCAACATACACACATACACGGGTAATACGATTGGCGAGTGAAATTTAATTGGGTCCTGAGACTCCACCCTTAACCGACTCGCACTGGTTACAGTGGTGAAATATGGTCAACACCACCCCATAACCATGACGAACACACACAAGGTGGAGAGGGCTTTAATTCGAGCAGTGGATTGTCAACGGGATGTAAATTGTTATGATACAGATGCGTGCTATTTTGCAACGAGACCAGCCAGGGAAGATAAGGTTTTGCAGTGAAGAAGGCAACATTTCAAAGTGGCAGAACGGTTGGAAAGCGACCACCCCCATCAGTTGCTCTGCATTCCAAAGAATCCTCCCCACGTGACGCATTTCAAAAACGCCAGAGGTTCGTTAAAGGCAATTGTGAAATTCCTCATTTTAAACGCTGCTCAAGAGATGCTCGTTCTACTATTTATTTCGCCCTGCGTAAGATTTTTCAGACGTTATAAATGGATGGATAGATCTTCTTGGTTCTTTCGGTAAAGTCACGTAGAATGGAAATAATAAAACATAATAAAATAATTCTCACGACGTTTCGGCCACAACGCAAGCAGCCGTCCTCAGGTGAAGAACAGGTCTGTCGAGAAGACAGAGTCTGATTACCTTTTGATTAGAGAAGAGACTTTGAGATGGACAGACGAGAGAGCAATTTTGTTTGATATTACGTCGGTTAATGAACCGATGTTTACTCTGATTTCAATTGGAGCTGATATTTGATGCATCATTTTAATCGTGAACCCGATGGCCCTTGGGTTGCCTGGGTTTCTTCAGCGTTTACTGTACGGCACTTAGTTTACGTATTGCCTGTCACGGCCCCTGGTGCTCCTCTCTGTCCCGAAGGGTAAAAAAAACGTCTCCTCTGGCAAGACCATCCCAATCACACGGAGTTCCAGCATTTAAGACGGGGGTTTCGGGCATACATCGTCATATTCATAATCAACGTTTATGGGTTAGATCGCGTTATTTATAAATGTGTCATAACCCTCCACCACCCGACACGGCCAATCAGCAAAAAAGTGTCACGTTGACAAAGACAAAGCGTCATATACTGAAAGTTGTGGTCTGTAAAAGGCACATGCTGTAATAACAATGCCATCGTGCCGATAGCCATTGTGGGTCTATGTTGCAGCATTATCGATCAGCAATGAATATCAAATACCGTGCATTATGCTTACAACCTTTGCACACTTTGACTTTACAGCGCTATCAATCTTTTTTTTTCAAACAACAAACGAATATCATACCATGACTATTCGGCCGCTATAAATTTCCACACGATCAGCCAACTTCCCTGAGCTATCATTTGTGATCGCCAAGTCGCTTCTCAAAAGGAGCTACTCAGTGGGCCTTACCTGGTAAAATAGTTTATATCTCTTTCGTAAACAAATCGATACATACGCACGCACGCCTCTAAACTGCTTTGTGGTTTTTAAAATAAATTGCGTCCTCCAAATCTGCTCGAACTCTCTGCATTGGCGTCTCTAATTGCTGTGCTGCAAAGAAGGTCCATTCCCCGAAACGTCGCCTGTTATGTATACATTTTTTACCTTTGAGCCCACGTTGTTATTTGAGTGTGTTTGTAGTCGTTGTCAATTGTGCTTTTGTACCAACTGCTACAGAAGCGGCAGTAGCAAGTAGCATCATTCACCAAAGTGATTTGCATTTTTGCCTCGAAGGTGAAAGAAAAACCTCTCATCTGGCAAGAGCCTCCGGGCCACGTGCGCCTCCTGGTCAGTGCGTGGTTTGAGTTTCACGCGGCGCGCTCTCTCATTGGTCAACGGTCGCCACTTCAGCGGCTGGGGGCGGGGCGTAGGCAGAAGGTGGTGGGGGCAGTGGGGGAGGGGGGGGAGAAAGTAGGCGGGGCCGGCTCACGAACGGACCAATGGGCGACGAGCGCATCCTCGCTAGACCACGCCCACCGTTCGAATCGCCAACGGATGACGTCACCGCTAAAAATAACGACTCCGCAGTCAGCAGCAGTCGCCGCCTCGGCTGAAGCGGAACGCCGCCTCGCTACCTCCCCCCGCCCCTCAACTAAATTACTTAAACATTTATACCGTAACATTGTTTAGATTTACACTGCGTCGTTGTTGTGGTCGTCGTTGCTTCGAACGCCCTTGGTGATGAGGCGAGAAGGTGAGTTCGAGAGTTGCGTGTCGGCGTTTCGGACGCCGCTGAGGGGGGCGAGTAAAGTTAATTGGCGGTAAAAAAAGAGTTTTGGATGTTCGCGAAAGTTACGATTCGTGTCGCGATTCGTTTATTTATTTAGTCGGCCGTGTTTTAAGAGTGAAACGAAGCGTCGTATTCACGCGGGATACTCATAAATAAAGTTTGATTAGTTTTTAACAGTCGCTCGCATACGTTAAAGGCGAGGCCTGCACCGCAGCCCGCTACCGCCTGAACGATGTAGTTTGAATGAACGTGTTTGTAAATTATAAATGTATCGTTAATTATTAAGGAATTAACTTACGTCAATTACCGCGCCTATTGATTACGTTAAAAACTTCACCCCCGCCTCCCCCCCCCTAAAGGCCGCCAACAGCAGTCACCCAATGTGGTTCATGGATCCCGCCATACGACTGTGGAATGGTCATCGTTGGTGGCTCTGCATGGGGGATTGAGCGGGAAAGCTCTTGGCTGAGCTCCTTGAGGTTGTTGAAGGCGGGAGGCGATGAAGCCGTTAAGGGAGATTAACATCTCGCCTCTGGGCGAGTGTAACTCAACATCTAAATGGATGAGAATCCGTTGAATCTCATTGCATCCATTGAGAGTCATTTGTCAATCCACTGCTGCGGTCAGTCTTGGGGGTTGACATACTTCACCACTTGGGTCAATGGGGGCGGTGGGGGGGTCCAGAGGCCAGGTCTGGTTCAGATGTCACTCGCCCGCCACTTCTCTTAGTCGTAGCCGGGAATCATCTCATTCAAACGTACTCTTGTTAAAAGTGTCTTCAAGTAAATCAACATTGAATGAGCCCCATTGTATCACGTACGTGTATAACCGCGGTCTTTACCCAGCGATACCATCTAACGCCAATGACCAAACCGACCTGAATGCCTGTGATGTTTTCAAATTTGAAAAGCCAAGCAGGTTTGAGCCTGTCCTAGTGCTTGGTACGAGCGACCGATATGTAAATTGATCGTTATAATAGGCATCCCGTGGGGTCTACGTGGTTGAGAATCGGTGGTTCGTGTCCGCGGCAGCCGTTGTACTTTCGAACCCGTTCGACTTAACGAAAGGAGCCTCGGGAACGGAACCCCGTTCGTGAGTCGAGGACTGCCTGCCCCGTGCTTATATGGCCCCTCGGCCGTTTCCTTAAACACCACACTGAATCACTTCACCACAGTGAATCACTTCACCACACTGAATCAATTAACGACCCTGCAACGGCGTGGATAGAAGGACCCCCCCCCCCTCATCGCAGTGGATCGATACGCAAGGATGGGGTGGTGTGCACGTGTTGTTTACCTTGCGAGGAAAACAATGTATACACAGCGGCATGTGATACATAGCGCCTCTGTGATAGCCCTTCACAAGAAAGGCGTTAATTCAAATGTACGAATTTTTTTCCATGCGTAGTTTATTGCCTTGTGTTGTTAACCCTGTGTTTCACTCTTAGACTAAGGTGTTGTATTTGTTCAGGTGCATTAAACAGCGTGGATAGCAAAAACTCACGTAGCTTCCTATTTACATTATTGTTAATTCACGGGGTGTTTCACTTAAGTTGTTGAATTAAACTGGCCGCTGTTTTAATATTAACAAAAATATGATTCCGAATGATGGTATTTCATAATTTTAAAACATTTCGCCCGGAGGTCGCAAAGTGCTATACATAGCTAAAAACAGAAATACGCTTTTTTCAGAAAAAGAGTAACACAACCTTAATTAAGGACGCAGTCTAGTGATAACACAACACGCAAAGGACTGCTCGTCTCAGTTGATGTGTGTCCTGGGCCGTTCCACGCGGCCACCCGAGTTTGAAATTATGGTAATGAAAAAAATACGTAAAATGTCTACTAAGCACATCGTGACGTCGCTAGAGTTACTTTTTTGTTTGAATGATGTCGGTATATTGACGTCACTACAATTATTTTCAAACTAAACTTTTCCCCATCTTAATGTAGCATTATTGGTGTTTTAGTAGCCAGACCGGTGGCAGTTAGTTAATACTCTTTATCCACGTGACGGCCTCGGTGAATACAAGATTAGACGTATTCCATTTTCTCCCAGATTATAAGATGTCCCGTGAAATAAATCGCATCCTAAACGTGTGCCTGCTATCAATAAAGTTATAGAAATCTAATGTCTCACGCACACCTACCAGACTACACGTAAGATTGTATTATAAAACATCTAATTCTTCCATACTCTGTGGGCACTCAGTCGGGTAGTGCCATCTGTTTTAGGAAATAATCACTGGCTGCCACAGTTGTGTTGCGTAACAAGTCACGGTGCCTTCACTTTTCCACAAGCATCCTGTGCGGTCCTTGCCTTCATTGGTGGCCCTGAACCAGTATCAAACTTACAAGTCCACATTCCTGTTGGGTCCGTAAAGCAGACATCGATAACGGTCCACCGATTCATCGACCAAAATAACTTATTATGCTCATGATACGCGCATCAAATTGCGCGTGTTAAGATGTTATTTTTTTTATTTGTACATGTGTAGTTTCACCCTCAAGCCTTCAGCCACTAGATGCAAAGTATGCTTGGCAATGATTAAAAAAACGTCTTAAATAACATGGCAACCCTGAATTGTAACGTTTATCAACTCACACGGTGCAAATCATCCATCACACGCCTCGAGTAAGATGAGCACCTCCTGGTGCGGCCAGTACCACTTGCTGGAAAGGAGTGACTCTCCTTAGGCGAGATTGTCCCCCCTTTCCGTCATAGGAACGTGGAATTTCCCCCAGTGGCTCAGGTCCACCAGTGTTAATGAATGCAGCCTCGCACGTATTTGAATAATTGTTTTACGAACCGCGAGCCCTTCTAACTTAAGTAGTCATTTTGTTGTCACTCTCTTGCTTGCAGTCATGCCCAGCTTCCACGTCGGCACGCGATGCCTTGTAATGGCGCTCATGTCGAAGCCGTGGAAACCCAGGCTCAATCTGCTGGAGCTGCCGGAGGATGTGCTCATGTGTATCTTCAGCTACCTGCCCGTCACTGACCTGCTTGCTTTCCAGGCCGTGAGTACGGTCCCCTCCCTGCCCCGCGTGACCACTGATTGATGTGCTCCTGTGGCCAGCCGTGTTAATTTAATCCGCCTTGTACTCCTGGGATGATAACATGTAGAATTGTATTAATTATTTTTATTTGGGTATTATGTAGTCGTTAAATGCTGACTGCTAACATTTAATTTTAACAACGATGGAAGTTTTCAGCCTTGAGTAATCAGGAGGTGGGGGTGGCTGCCATTTTTAAAGGTGCCCGGTTAATCGACCACCAAACAAAATGTTCTACAATTTTAAGTCAATCGATTAATTGTCCCAGCGCTCGTTACCTCTCCGGCTGGGTGTTACGGTTAAATTATCCCGGTGTGATGTGCCGCTTGGTGTACAGGCCCACCCACAGCTGCGGCACCTGGTGGAGAGCCATCCCAGCGTGTGGGCCAATCTCTCCTTCCAAGGGGTGTGGCCGTGTCCAGACACCATTCAGCTTTTCCAGCGGTGAGTGGCGACACACACCCACCCACCCAACCATTTCTTAAGGCTACGATCCACTGTGGCAATTTTATGGCAATCATCGCCAGCTATGGTTGACACAGTATTTATTCTTGGACATGTGCGAAAAAGAGCTTAATAGCTCATCGGATTCTTCAAGTATAAATACATATTCTGATCCTCATTTCCTCATTGTAAAACAAAACATTTTTTTAATATAAACAAATATGATCGCATTTCCTCTCAAACTTCTAATCGGATTGCATACTGTTCAAGCTCTCTTAAATTGAAAGAAATGGCTGCCCCAAGTTTTGGTACGAGTGGATGTGGAAGAGATGGCGTCGTGTGATGGTGTGGTGTGATGTGATGTTGTGGAATGGTTGTGTATTTGTGTGATGTGTGATGGCATGGTATGGTGTGTAAAGATGGTGTAGTGGTGTGGAGATATGGTGGGTGTTAGTGTGGTGTGATGGCGCATGGTGTTTTGGTGTGATCATGTGCTTTGATGGTGTGGTGTGATGGGTCAAGATACGCATGATGGGACTGACCTATTTCAGAAGATTAATTTCAGCTACGCACTACTGTGATGGGCTCAAGAGAATTCTGCCACTCAATTGTGTTGCCTGCCAAGTTTCCAAAGTCGCTCGTGGTTAATGTGTTGCTGGTGTTGATTGCCGTCAATGATTGCCGACGTGGATCCTTGCCTCTGCAGCGTCGATGTATCTGTGCCTTCTTAAACCTATCAGCTGGACATGTAAGAGCGTAGGCTTGTGATCCAGAGATTAGTTGGCGGCAGGAGATGGTGGATCGTGTAGAGGGTTGGGAAACTCCCAAACCCGCTGGGCTGAGGTGGCTGGGATATGACCGAACATAAAGTTGGGTTGTGAACCCCCGTTTTTGTAGAGCAATGATTCTGCATCCACACGCACCCGATGCAGACCCTTCCACTCCCGTTGCGTGTTGTTGTACCTGGTACGGCCTGAATAAACGGCACGTCTACACGACCATTATGCAAATGAAGCTGGAATTACCCGGATGTGACGTCAATGATGACGTCATATCCGCGTCTTTGCTTCCAAGAATAGGGATGGCAGCCATTGCTTACAAAATGAAACGTGTTTTGCTGATGTTGTGATGGCGGTTGTGCGCAAGCACAATTCGCACACAAGCAACTACATATTCATCAATAACGCTGCCTTACAGGAAAAATATACAACAGGCTATATTTTGGACACTAACCCTTATAAGGTGTGCTTGCAGCAGTGACTGCTAATACAATTATCCAGGTGAGATTGTATTATGCTTCAAATATCCGTTTTTAGTGGTAAATCAATGCCTATTGTTAATTTTGCACACATTTGATGGATTTCGGCGATTTGAAGTGAAGTAACAAAATCAGCTAAATGTTTATTGAAAAATATGTACAAAAATGTACAATAGGGAACAGACGCAACCACTAAAAACTTAAATTTTGACTTAACTTGCGTGACTGCAGGAATTCATATGCTTTGGTTCTTTCGGTAAAGTCACGTAGATAGAAAAATAAGAAAAAAATAAAGTGAATAAAAATAATACAAAATAAAAATGAAGAACACTAAAAACATTTGATGTGTAATTATAGCTGTACATGTCACCTGTATACTTGCATTCAAGACAAAGCTATTACATAATCCATTGCGTCACGTTCTGGTAAGATTCTGGCTGTATTTGAGGGTAGCCCGACTCTGAAGTCGGCCGTCCAGCGCAGAGGTCGCAACCGGGTACCCGATACCCGTACCTTACCCGATACCCGGCTACCCGTACCTTACCCGATACCCGGCTACCCGTACCCAGCCAGGTACGGGTACCCGTATGCGACCCTGGTGCGGCCGGGTACGGGTAGGCCGTGAGCCACTGGTGAGTAACCGTTTGTCACTCATTTCGGGTAGGGTACGGGTACGGGTAGGGAACGGGTACCCGTACCCGGCCGGGTACGGGTACCCATTTGCGACCCTGGTGCGGCCGGGTACGGGTAAGGAAACAAAACCCGTTTGCGACCTCTGGTCCAGCGTGGCTCCACACCGGCTGGTCCAGCTACAGCCCCGGAATGTGATAGTGTGGCCATCTCAGACCCAGAAGGGCCTGAAGCCAGCCAGCTTTTAAACACGCGTGTGCTACGCAGCATCAGTGTTAACTCCCTCGTACCTGGTGGGGTTTTTTCCACCAAATTTTCTTCTCAGATGCAAAGCACTCCAACCTTGTCATTATTGCAGGACCCTCTTCTTATACAGAACCTTGAGTGGCAGATCATGTTAGTACTCCTTATACTCTTGCATGTAGTCTGTTGTGAATATTGATTTTGAAAAAATATTTTTACATCGTAGATGTTTAATATTCAAGACTCCTACAACCTGATAACATTTCTACTTTTTTAGGGTTAAGTAATTAATGGTTTAACCTCCTTTTATGGTTCATGGTTGCTTCATGGCAATTGTTAGACATTTCGGTGGTTTTTGATTGTGTGTGCCTGGTGTTTGTATTCCTGTTGTGTTGTGCAGGGCGTCCAACTGTGGAAACTTTGAGGCATCCGTGAAACTTGCCCTGGCCTACCTCTACAATGAAGGCAGTGAGTGCCACTCAAAGTTCTGTAGGCACCAACGCTACATTTCGCGTGGGTGTAACAAACAGGTCATTATGCACATTGTGTAATAGCAGTGGAGCTCTTCTTAGCCACATTGATTAGGGAGGTACTGTTTGCAGATGTTATTAACAACTATCCATGGGAAATCTCCTGTATAAGTATGGATGATCGGAGTGATAGGCTGCTACTTCAGGTTGACTCCTTTTTTGCGGAACGGCTGTAGATAGCAGCAGTCGTGATTTAAAGTCTTGGAAAGATTGCTCCTCTGTCTGTGAAATGGCCATGAATGATTGGTGCAATCTGTCTTATTGCTAAAGGGAGTTTCTGCATATAGTTTCTGGCCACGGATAACAGGCACTATGGATAATCATTATTGCAGATAATAGCGGTCGACTGTAGTTCACGGAAAGCCTGCAGCCAATCTGTATTTTGTGCCCACCACAATGGCACAATCGAATAATGAAGCCGGATTCACGGTAGGCAGTGAAACGGTGAACCGTTACATACCTAGCAAGTTTGTAGGGAACATCGTAAACATTGCAGGGGTACCGTTTGATTTTTGTTTTTATTGGTGAAACCCAAAACGGATTAAACATCCGTTTTAGTTATCACTTCCCTTCTATCAAATATTTTCAAGTCCTAATTTCCTGTTGCACGACCGTGACGCTAAACACGTTTAGCGAGAACTAAAGCTGTCAAGTGAAACGTTTTCAAGAGAGGAATCTTGTTTGTGTGTGTGGCGGTGGCGTGTCGCAGTAGCGGTGGCCGAGGAGAGCCGGCCAGAGCGCAACGGGCGCAAGGCAGCGCACTACTTCAGCCGCGCCGAGCACCTGAGCTGCGGCAACGTCGGCATGGCGGTGCCCTTCGTGTGGATCTTCATCCGCCCGCCGTGGTCCATGAGCGGGGCGTGCTGCAAAGCCGTTGTCTTCGAGAGCCTCAAGACGGAGTGCGAGCTGGCAAAGGTGAGGGGTTGGGAACTTGCTCATGATGAAACCCAGCCAGTGACATTCGAATGCAGATAAAGAAAATGCGGTCGTGATCTCTCGTGACGGAGGTCCAATATCCTTTCACAGTATATTATTGTAAAAGTTTTTGCTGGCTGCCTGGCCACGTGTTGCCCAGCACACTTTGCGACTGGCTGGATGCCATGCACCACCCAGTCCGCAGAAGGAAGGGGGCGTGCGGGTAACTCATCACGCGGGTGGAGGAGCACGGTGGGGGTGGACACAGGGGAAGCGTGGGGGGTGGGGCTGGGGACGCACCGGGGAGGGGTGCGTGAGAAGGGATGTGCCAGTGGGGGGGGTGACTGGGTTGATCTGTGGGTTGTCACCCGCGAGAGAGGGACCCTGAGGGTTGTCGTCAGTGAAAGAGGGACAAGTTGGGGGTGGGTACATTTCACATCGTATACTATATTGTAGTTTGGTATATCAGTTTGGCTGGCTAATGGGATGGAGGGACGGTGGATGGTAACGTCCAAGGACGTGCACGTTGCTCGTGTGTGTCTGTCTAAGTGCCTTTACTATGCACAGTGCCGTTGGCAGATCTTTACTATTCCCTCGCAAGTGAACAGTTTTTAAATGCAAACAGTCGACGGTGTAATAAGGTAAAGTCAGGTTCACTAATGGGGATTTTTCAAGCTTTTTGGAACACATGAAAGGCATTGTTTTACTTTTTTTACGACCAAGTAAAACCCTGTATTTATCCAATTTCAGTATGATGCTTTTACTTGTATGAATAAGTTGAGGATGATTTCACACAGTGGTCATGACACTAATGTCTTTACCGTTGTCTTGCAGACCGGTGGTGCTCGTCTGCTGTACTGCCTAGGAAAGGTTCTGGGATTTTTTGATGTAAGTACTTCGTTTGCAGTGTTGATTTTGTCCGATAAGAACTATAAACTCGATGTTGAGGGAAACATTCCAGAAATTTTAAATGCCATGCACTTTTTTATTAAGTGCCCTGTTCGTGAAGCAATATTTCCATGCGTCTTTTATGCTTCTGATACAACTTTTGATAGTATTCCAGCACGTTTGCTGCTGGCGGTGGACACGTTAAATCTGCCTTTCTTTCGGCGATCCAGCACTCGAACCTGCGTACGCTTGCTGGGCATGCGTAAGACACCCGTATGCCTCCCTTACAGGATGAAGAGAAGAGAAGCGAGGCGTTGCGGCTGTTTGATGCGTCCGCACAGCAAGGCTCTGTGCTCAGCGCCTATCTCACGTGGAAGTCGAGGCATCGTTCAGTGGTGGGCCACAACTTTTATTCATTTGCCAGTGGTTTTTCGTGATCTATACACGTTCGTGTTTGCAGGATGGCGAGGTGAGATGTAGTAATCACTTGTAATCTGCCTGCCTCGCCTTAGTAGAACAATGTGGATCTTTGTGTGTATGTATGTATTATGAACTTATTTCCCACGTTTATTTAGAAGCAGGAAAAAGGAAAGCTAATACATTGGCGGTCTGGATGATTTCATGTCTCTACATATCAAGCTGATTGTGTTCGGACCTTGAGGGTAACACTATTCTTACATGATTTGGGCAGGTGTAATATTCGTGGGTTGTTTTTTAATCAAAAGTAATTCTTTAATTCCTTTTCTCTGTTTCGCTAACCAACCCGTTACATTTGTTTCTGCTTCAGGCCTCGGACCCAGGCCGACTGCTGCAGAATCTCCGAAGGCTCAGGGAGTTTTCGGACCGTGGCTGCTGGGAGGCACAGGTGTGTGCACTAGTGGCGAGGCGCTTTCAGCGATCGTCGTTTGCAGATGTTCTACGGATAACATCTAGAACTGCATATTCACTGTACAGCAGAACCCCAGTAATTCACAACTCGCTCAATTCTTGACTCCCCCCCCCCCTCTTTTGTCAGTGTGCGATGAGGCTCTGCGAAGGGAAATATTTTTTACACCTTTTCAAACGTAGCTCTATAGGGAAGAACAACGCTGCCGAGAGACGGTGAAACTCCAGATTGTTTAACGTCGCACAGCCTAGCCGTGCAGACTTCACCTGGTTGCTGAGAGGATTGTGCGTTTGTTGGACTTGGATATCAAGTCACAAAAATGCAAACAAATACATATGGCAGATGTTTTGCATTTGTCCGTTTGGAAAATGTGGGAAACTTGCTATAATCAGCAATTTGTTTGCATATTTTTTGGAACTTGGAGAGCATTCTCTCCCATATCAAAGCGTATTATCCGAGTTGTGCCCAATTGTCCTTCCCCCCCCAGTTACATTCTCACTGTTTGAATTGATCACATTGTTTTCATCAAAAGAACGCAAGCCAATTACGTTATACACACACGTCAAAAAAATCAATTTGCGTGCACGCGTAATTGGATGCATGCATACCAAGCTTCGCAATAATCGTTTTTTAAACAACGCATCCATGACATGCCTTAGAGGGGTTACCCACCGTCCCATACAAAACCACAACTTGCGCGGTCTCCCCAGGTCTCGTTGGCGGTGGCCCTGGCACAGGCGTGCACGGGCGGCTGGCTCATGGACCCCGAGGTGCCTGCGGCGCACCACTCGGTGCTGCGCTTCTTCCAATCGTCGTCGCCGACGCGGACCCACCGCCTCTACCGGGTGCAGAAAGGCATGAACGAGAACATGAGGTGTGCGAGCTCTCCCCACCCCCCATCACGCACACGCCAGCACGGCATTGCCGCCACCTCCACTTGCCCGCCCACCCCTCCCCCAAGTGGCGACAAGCCGCGTCCTGCCGGCAGAGTGGGCATCTTAAGTGCAGGCGTGGTTGTGCCACCCCCCCCCCCCCCCCCCCGCATTGTTCTTTGTTCTCCGGAGCGAGAGCACCGGTGTCATTTTGTTGATGGGAAAGGGTGGCTGCTGGCTGCGAGAGGCTTTGCGGTTTTTGTGCGGGTGGATGGGGAAAGCGGCTGCCCAAGTCCTTTGGCCGGTCAGATATTTGTACGACCAAATGTATCAAAACTCGTATCGGTACAGGTTTAATTACATGGCTAATAACAGTGCCTTATTTGATAATCCACTCAATTACAATGTGTTTGTTATAATCGCAGTTCACTGCTATTGGTCACGTAAAGAAATTGCAGCCACCTGCTGAAATATCTGATCTCGGCGCATGGGGCTCTCGATGCGAGTTTAACCGTGCGAGCTCAAGTCGGCGGGACGCTGATGCCAGCACCGGCGTCGTGCAGCTGCTTTTAATGAAACGTAAATATAAGTTCTTGTCGAGTAGTGAGTGCTGGAGATTTAACAATCTTTCCTTTCCACGATTTTGAGAGCATCGTCACAATTTGAATCACGAATCAATTGTTTTGTTGTCCTTGTGAAGCTTGGAGTCTGCATTGGCTGCAGGGTTTCAGTTACCCAGTCACACCATGCATACATGAATCTGAAATGATTTCGCACAACTGTGTGTGTGTCATAATGATGGTAAGAATCTCTTTTTAATTGACAATTAGTTACATGGGGTTGTCTGATGGGTTTTCGGGTTCTACTTCACGTTGGGCAAGATGTCCCATGTCTTCTGAAGAAATTCAGTTTTTCTTCAGTTCTCTGGCAACTTCTTTAGTTCTTCAGTGCCTGAAGAAGCTCCGCACATGGCGGGAAACGGTCGTCATCCTGTACGCCACACGGCACAACCTGACAGCACATCAGAGCTACGCAGCACAACTGCGAAATTCGACGTGATTGGTCACAACCCAATTAAGGGCCCTCTCCTGCAGACCGATTGGTCATGCTTTGGCGTAGAGGTTGGGCACTTATCTCTCGCCGGGTGATCGACGAGTGATTGCCGCTTGTTGACGGCTGCGGGGGTTCGCCGCAGGTACCTGCTAATCGACTGGCTGGCGGAGGTGGTGACCACCAAGGAGCTGTCAAGTGCGTGCTTGCACACGACGGTGCAGTGCCTCGATCGATACCTGCTGCAGCGGCCGGTCGAGCGCTCGAAACTGCAGCTGCTGGGCATCGCGTGCATGGTCATCTGTTCACGGTGAGCACGAGCGTGTGACGGAGCGGTGAAACCCTCTGTGTGGGATCTCACACGCTGCGTCAAGAGCGAGGCTCGGGCCGTAGCTCTTGGATGGTCACCGTTTGTCCTTAAGAAAAGCTCCTTTTAGGTGGGAGGGAGCGGGGGTTTGGGGGGAAGGGGGTGGGGATGTTTTCTGGATCCAAACTTGTGGCCTATTCCTCTGAAGAAGTGCTTAAAATTGTGATGATTGTTATGCTGTTCTGTTGAGACCTAATTAGGGTGAATGTAATTGTTCATTAAACAACTTCCCAAATAAATTGTTTATAGCTCTGGGCGATTGCATCTTTTTAAATGTATATCCACAGGCAACGTGATTGTCAGCCAGCGAAGAAGTGATGGGGCATGGGTACACAAGCGTGGCAGGCACGTTGACCGACTGCCGCTTGCGCCTCTGGTCGTGTTCGTGCAGGTTCTTGTCTCAGGATATCCTCACGATACGCGAAGGCGTGTGGCTGACGGACAACACGTACAAATACGAGGACATGGTGCGCATGATGGGTGAGATCATCGCCGTGCTACGGGGACGCATCGTGGTAAGTTCAGCGCGCAGTCGCCAATCCTGTACTCCGGTGGGATTAGAAATGGGAGCGGCACGTGTTTGATGCTGCTAATTGTGTTGGTACCAGATGACTCACTCGGCTTGGATGTGTCACGTGCCGTTAATCAACATTTGACGATGTTCTGTTTTCTGTAAAAGTCCCCAGGGAACTAAAAAAAATGTTGATGGATAAACTCTATGTAAATCAGAATTCAAATAGTAACATTAATCGAGGCTATATGGTGCCAGGCTATCCCAGCACTCGTAATTGTTGTAGAGGTTTCGTTTTCCTTTAATTTACCCGCCGTTAGTACCGCGAGGTCTGTGCACAGTGGCCTTTGTGGTTATGCCGGTGGGTGAGACGATCAGGCCGAGCGGGGCATGGTTGCCTGCGACGGGCGGTGATGGTTCCCCGGTCCGCAGCGCTACCGCTCGGCGGACACGACAACTGCGTGTGTGCGTGGGAGCGTCTTGTCGGTTAGAGGGATGTACGTGGACTCAGAAAAGGGGTGGCATTTAATTACATTTCCAAAGTTTGTCGAACCATGCTGATTGAAGAACTTAACCTTGAAGTCCGAGTCTATAATACGTGGTATTCAAGGTGATATCTAAATACATTTCCAGAGGTTTTTGGTTCATTTGTGAATTCATTCCAATACGGATACTTCATTGCAGACGGTCGGTTTACTTTCCGCAAACAATCGGGCCTGAGTAAGGCCTCATGAGATAACCTCCGAATGCCGTGTCGTTTTCTCTCGGTACTCGTGCGAGTCCACGAGGCCAAAACGTTCCGTGAAGGGGGGATGACCTTTGCGTGACTCGGGTAAACAACTTATCGCCTCGTACGTAATGCTCCCGGGGCGGCCGCTGTAATCACGCCAGCCGCAACTATCGCCTCGCTTCCTCCTTCACTCTCGGCGCCCGCCGGTCTGATCCCCCCGCTAATGGTGGCCTAATTTCCAGAGGCACGGCAAGGAGAGAGAGAGCTGCGTGCAGGCGAGGCGGCGTTGAGAGAGGAGGAAGTCCAAATGTTGCGGAAACGATCGGTGGTGCTATGTGCGCGCCGGCTCGTGTGTTGTTGAGCGGCTCGGTCGGAAGCGTGTGCGCCGAGCGCTCGCTCGCTGAGCTCACCCACGTTGTCCGCGGGGGGTTTTTGGCAGCGTTTTAGTGGCATTTTTAATTAATTAAGTTGAGATGATTCGCCCTGTGACCGAATCTTCCGGCATGCACGTACGTTGAACTTCTTTCGCGCCGTACGTAGCCAACCGTGCTTATCGGACAGAGGTGCTCGACCGTGTCCGATCTCGGAAGCCAAGCACGTTTCAGCCTGATAGTGCTTTTATGTGACCGCCCTGCACAGCAAGTTAGTATAGGCTTCGGGGCTATCTGTTGGGCAATGTAGCAGCATCAATTGCTGTTCTGTACTTCTAATCGCTATGCACTCAAATGTCTGCATTTGATTCCTGGTCATGGCGAGCGTCGGTAGACCAGTGATGTCTGGACTGTTGCCACCCAACCTGACCGCCACCAACGTGAACAGACCATTGTGGTGACGTACGGTCACATGACCTCATTGACTCGCACGGTGTCGGGGATGAAATCAGTCCAGTCGAGTACCAAATGTGTTCAAGTGTAATCAATCAGCGCAGGGTTTCCACCTTGAGTGTTGCATTTTTCAGACGACATTGACAGAGCATGCTACCACCTTGAAATCACATTGTGTTTTAAAGTTTAACAAAACAAGGTGGTTGCTTGCAACAAAAATAATAATTAAATATCCTTGCTTTGAAAAACAACGCCTGGAGTGGTTTTTAAATGGCATAGATTTTTTTTTTGCTTGCAATTATTTTAAAGTAAACAAGCTCTCTTGTAAATGCTGCCAGGCTGCTCGTGTTTCCTGCCATTACAACAATTACCCTTGTTTGTGTTTATCTTCTTGGAGATAAGGCCATTGATGTAAGCCCAGCTTTTGCAAACTCTGATGTAATCGCCATTACCCAACAGCACAATCTGCAGGGAATTGCAACATTAAGGAGTTTTTTTTCACGTAAAAAGTCCATTACAGGAACCTCTACCCCATTAAGGTAATGTGTGCGCAGGGCTCATTAAAAAAAATAGGACCTTTTCTGGAGATTTTGCTCGTTCTGCAGTGGGACAGACAGGTGGCAGCATTTCTCATTTTAAACAGTTGATGATGATATGCTTGACGAGAGGTTTAGATTCTTACGTTACAGAAAACCGACTGGATATCGGCCTGCAGTGCACAGACTCGGCAGTAGAATTCTCACGGGTCTGGTTTGTATTTCTGTTTGTGGCAAAAACGGCAGTAAATCTGATTTGTACTCCACGCACGAGCCCCACCGGTGGCACCGTGCGTACGTTGGGCTGCTTGTGGGTGACCGGGCGGGCGTCCGACGTTGCCCTCTCGCTTGTTGTTTCACATTGCCTCCCGTGCGTGCCTCTTGTTCCGGGCGTGGGGCGTTATCACCCTGCCTCCTTGACGTAACGGCGCAGGATGTCGCGTTGTGCCTGAGCAGCTGGATTGCCGGCACTGCGATAAGCGCCACCTCCGGCTTGGCTCGCGAGGGCCTCCTTGTTTGTATATTTTTTTTGGGTTTCGGGGAAAATTACCGACGGCTTCGTTTGAATGCCGTTTTTATATTTGCCGTTCGTTGGACCGCTAACGATGCGGCAGGACTTGTCTGCGCCCAAAAGGCGAAAGTGTGTAACGGTGATGTCCTATTAAGATCAACGGAATTTCCTGGTGTGATTTTTTTTTCGTCCCACCTTTTAAAAGCCACACTTCTTTTCCAAAAGTATTTGTGTGTCTCTGGGTCCGTTTGGTATGCGGGTACAAGGACCACACTGCGCTCGCAGCATTTCTATCTCGTAGCCTTTTATTTCGGTTGCACCCATCGAGTCTTCTTTCTCGCAGCAAGTCGATGAGTCAACTGTTAAAATCCTCCTCTTGCACAGAGGAGCACAGCTATTTATCATTGCTTCACCGCCTCAACAAGGTTCACGCTAATTGACTGTGATAGGAATAATGCAACCATATTGGTAGTTCATCGGCGGTTAATTAAGAATTGATTAAAATACACTCACGGTACATGCATCAAATGATTGTGCATATTGGTATCGGTCATAGTAGTTTTGATGATATAGTTTTGTGTAAACAAAAATAAAACTTACTTGGTTATAACAGAGAAATATTAAGTGCCGTTTTTATATTTGCCGTTAACTTTAATCATGATGATTAGTAGATTATTGAGATTTAATCGTTAATAGATTTTTATTTCTCTTCCTCAGTGGCTTTGTATTATGCATTTATTGAGTGTCTGTGGCTTTGTGGTTCAGCCCATGTAGCTCAGAGTTTGTTTTTCATGCGGGTTGTCGAGTAAGCCCTGGAGCGCATATGCCTCAATTGACGAGTGCCATGAAATGGCGCCACCTAGCGACAAGGGCTCGTTTTGGTGGAACGGCTCATGAATTGGCGGTGGGGCTTGTTCTTATTGGCGATGAGGGCTAGTGTTGGGTTGACTGAATGTGGTGCTTTTGCCGCACGTTGCTTGGCAGGCCCCCATGGTGCTGGAGTACGTGCGTGTGCTGCTGGCGCTGGAACCGCTGGACGCGCGCGCGAGCTGCACGCTGAGCTACGTGTGCGAGCTGTCGCTGCTCTTCACCTCGGTGACGGCATACTCGCCCGCGCACCTCGCCGCCAGCGCCTTCCTGCTCACGCGCATCCTGCACCGGCACGGTGAGGAGGGATGAGCCGCCCGTTCTCGCACCGCGAGGCTTGCGCCAACACACTGGCGCACTCCTTGCACGCTGGGAACATCGTACTGTGGCCTCCCACAGTGATAGGCACACGCACATATGCACGTGTCTTACAGGGTGTGATCACCTGCCACACCCTGTAACATACTTGGTGGTGCAAGTGCTGTTTGCGAGCGCCTTTTTGAGGCTAGCACGGCACATGAGGGAGTTGGTGACCATCACCTCGGCCACCATTTTCTCCCCAATGCAGATGTTTACACACTTCACTAGGTACTAATTTTAAGGCTGAGTCAACCTAGGAGAGGTCCAGGACCACTTCATATATTTGTCGCCAGCTCTTGGCTTTGGGAGGGAATCGAACTCGGGTTGCAAGGTTGGTAGCACAGTGCGCTAACCACTACACTCCGTTTCCCCACTGATACACATACATCGCTTAGAATGTGTGATGTTTCTCCACAGTGACATACAGACCCCCCATTAAATATATGTGCTGTTCTTCCACAGTGACGCACACAGGTGCTTACAGAGAAATATCACCGAGGGCTTTCACTGCTCTCTTCCCAGCCATCTGCAAGGAACTAAAACCAAACGTGGCCTCGGTCTGTGTTCCCTCTGCAGCCGTTCTCTGGAGCAAGAAACTCGTTGACTTCACGGGGTTTTTGCTGGAAGACCTCATCCCTTGCACACTGCTGCTGCACAAACAGTGGTGAGTGGCACCACCACCGAGGTTTTTGCTGCGTAGCCCTCGGGATGTGCTTTTGTGCTCAATGTTGTTCGGTCTTCCTCGCAGCGGCTTTTGGCTGGCCATCGAACAAAGACGGTTACCGCATCGCACGCTCTTCCTTCCGATATTAGGAAGCCACTGGAGATTATGCACTTTTAAATCCAGATTTAAAACTTTTTTTCAGAACTGCTTTTTGAGTTTGTTCTTCCCCCGCATCTCCGATTATCACGGTTGGCTACGTACGGTGTGGAATAAGTTAAACATACAGTGCACATGATGTCCGATGTTGAGCTCCGTGTGCTGGGAGATTCTTCAGGAACTTTAACGGTGCAGCGTACGTTCTCCCTCCGTTGACGATGGTGTTTAATGTAGGCCAGCCGATCGATGTTGGCTGTCGACGTGGAGAGAAGTGTTGCCACCATCTCACCGAACGACACGCGGGCATAACTCGAAAGGGCATCGATCAGAGTGGCGTGTGTTTGTCCGAGTGGACGGAGGTGGCGTTCTTCACTCCGCGGTGAAATTCACCTGCTGCAGCCGCTGACGCAATCCTTTTTATCCTCCTCCAGCTTCCTGGACGAGGTTCCCAAGGACCACAGGGAGGTGTCGCTCGTCGCTGTGAGGCAGAGGTTCTCCGACGATCGTTTCCAGCGAGTGAGCGAGGACAAGGTGAGAGCCGCCTCCTCCTCCTGTTCGTTACCTCTCGTCCGTTAATTCCATATGCGTAGCGTCCCTGTTGGTTGGCCGTGTAACGGTTTGTCGACGCATGCGACGGACGCATAGAATTGCACTTGACGCAAGCGATAATTATTGATGATAGTTGGTAATTCCATTCGCACTTGGCATTGCGGCAAAGCGCGCATGGAGATTGTTGCAAATGAAACTGACGAATGCTCTTTTTTTGGGTCCGTTATCAAACTTTTGCGCGTTCTAACTGGCGTGCGGCGCCGTGCTCGTGCAGGTGCTGGACTACTCGGAGCTGTGCGCCGTGCTCGGCGTGAGGGCGGAGCCGCTCTGCCTGCTCCTGCCGAGCGTCTCCGCGCGGACTACCGAGTCCCTGCCCTTCCTCACCTCTCCCCCCCAGCGCAAACCCAAGAGGTGAACGTCACTTTTGGGAGAGAGATTCCCAGCAGACAGCAGCTCGCCACGGTGGCTGTGACACGTTGACGACCTCGCCCCGGCGGACAGGAGGAGGTCATGGGTTCGATCCCGACCCTGACGCCTGTATATTTGGAAATTTGCGTGTCTCTCTCACTATGGTTGCGTGGATTTTTCTCCGGGTCCTCTGGTTTTTCCCTCCACACATAGAAACATGCTTTTAGATTAATCAGCTGCTATTAATTTCCACATGATAAGCCACCTCACTAGGCTATCATTTGTGATAGCCAGGTCGCTTCTGATGAAGAGCATTATATCTCGGCGGGCCTCACCTGGTACGATCATAGTTTTAGTTTATTATTACGGTTACTGTATAGGTTGGCCCTTGTAGTTCTCTGAAGCGTTTTCCGGTTGTACCGTGCGATGTTCGGCCTGATGTCGGAAACGAGGCGTGGTAACAACCTGTAAACACGCCGGAGAGCGCCTTCACAAAGTGGACGTTGCTGATTGCTTGGTCCAATCATGTCGGCCGTGAGAGACTTTTTTCACTACATTGGCTTAAAGTCGTTACAATTATTGACAGCTACTTGTAAATGTTTCCACTGCCAGATGGAGGTCAACCGATGCTGTCGTTGAAGGCCAACCCACACTTGTTAGGGTGGGTTGGCCTCGAAGTAAATTATTGTTAGAGATTGCTAGAAGCTAAATGGATATTTTTACGTGTGTGTTTTTGTTGCTTTCCTTGAATCGGTCTTCACAGTTGAAAATCATCGATTAACCACAATCCGGTGTGGGTTTCGGTTTGTAGGCACGCTAATTGTGAACCTTGAATGTGTTGCCTATTCGTCGTCAATGTCTTCATCGTTGGAAATGCTTAACGCCAAACTATATTCTTGGTTCTTTCGGTAAAGTCACGTAGACGCCCCTTACGCAGCAGTGGATTGACAAAGGAGCTGTTACACGTGGACACATTTTCCTTTTAAGCGCATTCCTCTGTTAGTTTCACACACACCGACGACGACCGCAAAGCAACGGCGCGCGTCCATTCCTCTGGACGACCCACAAGGGGGCGGGGGGGGGGGCGTGAGTGTAAAGCACACGCACGGACACAGCTTTCGTGGTCGGGGCTTGCGACTCAACGACCGCGTCTCGTTGTCTTTGCGACAGGCGCCGAGAGGACTCTGAGCGCGAGAGCCTGGCCGCGACGCCCATCATGGAGCTGTCGTACCACGCCGAGGAGGAGGAGGGCGGTGGCGCCGAGTGGCCCGACGCGGGAGTCGAGTACAACGTGAACGTGGGACTCGACGACGACGACGCCCTGTCCACGCTGTGCGATGACGGTGAGACGGCACACCGGCGACGTGGGCCAAAACTGTCGCCTTGTACAAGCAGGTTTTCTACGTGGGGAGGAGAGGGCTGCTTGTGATGGACAGAATGACCCCCTAACCCTGCGGATTAAATGAGTCACAGACGGTTAATATTTTACAATGTAACGCGGTTTTATTTCAAATGAGTTGAGCAACTTTCCATGTTTACAAAACGGAAATGTTTCTCTTGAAACGCCAATTTCTGGTGTCGTTTTCTGTGATTAGGGCATTCTTTTGTTTACATCGATGACCAGATTGTAGCCGTCTGTGAATGTAATGGTTTTCCATCACATTTAGCTGATTTAAAGTTAAATGTATTCACTGCATCTCGAATGTAGTTATTTGCCAAACTAAAGAGAACATGTACATTTTTAACCTACGTGTTTGTGTGTAGACCAGGATTTTTTGGAAGGACGTTGGCATTTTAATCTATTTAGTAGATTTTTGTGTTGTTACACTTTATTCAAACAATGGATCTCGCTTGAATTCAAACAATTGAATCGTAAACCCCCATGAACAACTGTACTCTGCTGCCTCTTCGTTTCAGCCGACCAGTGCTTCTTGGACGGGTCGATCAGTTCGGAGACGACGGATGTGCTGTCCAACGCCTTCTTGCTGCCCAGCGACTGCAGTAACATGGACGTAGACGACGACGATGATGACGACGACGACGAGGAGGAGGAGACAGAGAACGTCTGCGAATCCCGTCATCTCTCGGAGGCTTGCAGCTTCCCGTTTGACGACACGGCGGCACGCCCAGAGTGGGGAGCTTCCCGCCACTCTGAATGCTCCGCGTCCGGTGCGAGCACGCCCCCGTGGCTGCCGCCGCCGCCGCTACCGCAGTGGCCATCGATGGCCGCCACGACCGCCCTCGGCCGCCCCCCCCCGTGCCCCTCGGACTCGATCTCCGATCCGTCGGGACGGAGCCACGTCGCGGCGGTTGTCCCGGCGAACCCCGACGGCCCCTTCGCCTTCAGGACCATTTTGTGCAACGGCGGCCAAGGGGGCGGTGGGGAAGCGAGGCGCGGTGGCGAGCACAGGCAGCGGGCAAAGAGGAAGAACACGACAAGCCACCTCGGGGTGGAGAACGCTGACGTTGCTTCCTAGCACGCGGAGGCGGGAGCGCCATGCTGGCGACGCGTAAACCAAAATTGTGTTGATGGTGTGTGTGTGCGTGCGTGTGCGCGTTTTCGATTAAATGAAAGTGCGTTCAAAATAGTACAAGAGGCTGGCAGGAAACTTCACCTGGATTCGGAGAGTGTGACCTGTTTACAAATATTTTTTTCTTTCTCAAAACCACCAGCGCGCACGTGTTTGGAAATCGTAGCTTTATTTTTTGTATGTATGTGCTCTGCGAGTCCAGTTGCATTTCATGTCATGCTGTTGGATAACTACATCTCAATAGGATCTGTTACGGCGCCAATGGTGTGCAAGCTAATGAGACCGCTGGTAGAATATCCAGTAGATCGGCACCTCTAACCACTAAGTAAATTGACAGACTGCTTGCCTGCTCAGACCTGAAGATTTTTTTTTGCAACCGATGAAAAAAACAATTTCAGAACCATTTTCCTTACACAATTACCGATCTTCATTTTTCTCATTGGAATTGAACGATTGGCACGTTTTTGCAAAGCCATTACGTTTTATTCCTCGACAAAAAACATGAACAGATCTGCACTGTGCCAATACTCAGGACAAACTTGTATGGGTGCAAGCGGTGGAGAGGGATATGGAGTCTTGCGTTTTGGGATGATAACACAATCTCAATGATCGTGTCTCCGGCTCCAGTTCTCGAACGTAGGGATCTGCCGAAGTTTACGATTAAACCTACTTGACGAAAGGGATGTGATGCTGTAACGCTTCAAATGGTTCAATGCGCTTGAAAATGTGAGCAAAATATGTAATGTGAACTATTAAACGTATTAAAGACTGCCCCTCCCCGAGAACATTGGGGATTTGAGCCATTGCTACTAATTGAAATAAATATATAGAGTGTACAGAAGTAAGAACTTAATCTGCAGAGCAATGCTGGTACCTCCTCCTGCACATGTTCCTGTCTTACAGATGAGCAAGGTTGAATTAATGGAGGTGCCTTTGCTGAGGTAGAGCCTAACTAACGTGTGTTGACCCTGTTGAAAGGGTAAGCTGAGAGCCTTCAACTAAGTGCCTTGAAATGATAAATCGTTTCCGTGTTTAACGGTCGAGTGGACGAAGTTGAATAATGTTGCGCTGCTCGGTAGGTCCGAGTGGCCACAATGGAAGTGCTACCTAGTGCCATTTGCATGGGGTTGAGTGAGTGACATTGCTGAAACCTTCTTGCCACTCTTGAAGTTGCTTGGAGCTCTCTCATGTAAAGCATTGCATGTGTGCAATGGGAATTATGATGGTGTCTGCATCGGTGCAAGATGTCCATTTTCCAAAATGGTGTGTGTGTATATATATATATGGCCTCAACGTGCACGGAGCCTGGCACAAGCGTCGTGGTGACGCCACCGCCACTTTGTGGCGAATGGCGGCCGCTGTATATACGGGCTTTTGTTTTCGGTTTGGAAAATAGTGTCATCTGGAGAAGTTGTCGTTTTCCTAATTTGCAAGTAACTTTTTTTGTTAAGCTCTAAATATTCTCCCGATTGCATTTCGAGCTGGGTGAATGTTTAGCAAGATTTTTTTTTCCTCGCACAAAATCAATGCGTCCAATGTGTAATGTTACAATGTTGCGTTCACCAAACCTGTGAAAGCATTAAATGGAGTGGTCATAAGTCTCAAGGGTGTTGCTGCTTGCGCTGGCAACGATGCCCTTGTTTTGGTATTTATGTTTTAGTATTTTTTTTTTACATGTCGAGTTTCTCAAGAAATGTTATTGTCTCCAGGCATTTAACATATGCATCGATGTTCAAAGTCAATTTCCTTGTGTCGTCCACAAAATAAAAAAGCACTGTTTGGTTTCTGTTTACTACTCGTGCTGTGAACAGCTGCTTCGGCTCAAGCACGATGGCCTCAGCAGTCACCGCAATCAGTCTGCCTGACGAGTAGACGTACACCGAGGAACCACGTGTGGGTCGGTCCGTGAACCCGGTGATTGGAAGTGCAAGTTTTTATATACGATATTAGATGGGTGTATGTTATGAACTCTTGTTTTGAGCATCCTCGTATCGTGGTGACTCATTAAGTATTAACCCACACGCTGTCGTACTGGCAGGAAGTGCGCTGCTGTTTCTCAATGACTCAATCGTGTCGTCACATCGCAGGGTGAAAATGTGCTTTGTCCGCATTGCTATATCAGCATTCGCTTCAAGATCACTTGCAAGTCCTAGAATGAGTTGTCCCCTTTTCGGCCTTGACTTTTGAACACCCCTTGTGAGTAAAATTTGGGGAATCCTGACGGAGCCTTTCATGGTTGTGCTGCTGCACTGGCAAATGTATTGCGGTTTGAACTTTTTTGTCGTGAATCTTGTCTGGCAGCTACACGCGGGTTAGTTGACAGCTGTGAATGAACTTGGTTGTGATGGGCCGTGCCTGCTGAGCAATTGTTTGGGGGTCGTCTCCCACCTCATTAGCCGTTGATGCGGCTGCCAAAGGAAACTACCTCTTTGTGTGGGGGTCTTCTGCGCAGAGGAACCTGTTTCAAGAGTGAAACTTTGTGAGGCGATACTTTTTTGACAGTCGTGCACAAGCCCAACAACATGCCACCGGTTTGATGAAAAACATTCAATTGTCACATCTGGCTATGCGAACACTTTATTGTTTGGCATACCTAGATGATCTTACCCAAAATAAACCAGTTATGAATCTTTATAATTGGCCGTGAACACCTACGTGCGATATCAACAAACACGTAAAAAAATCGACATGTTTGTCCATAACGTCGTTGCCTTAAAAGTAAAACTATTGAGTCGTTTCTGTTGTGGGCAATGGGCCATCTCCGTCGCACACGGAGGGGCCAGAGTCATAGTCGGGTCATGGTTGGAGTCTGCACTCTACACCATGAGGTCTGAACCTGAATTTAACATCAACAATTTTTCCTGATGAACAGTTTTAAATTGGCATATGAATTGTTATCTCATTTTAGATATCGTCTAACAGACAGACTTAACGGAAAACATTTCCACAAACTAATTTGTATTCAAAGTTAAATTAAAAAATGTTTCTGGTATATGGCATTCTAGGTAGTCATGTTGAACATGGTTTAGATAATTACAAGCATAATCAGTCATCCTTAACCCAATTATAATTATGAGCAAAAACTCAATTATTTATATGATAAGTGGGCCAAGGAGAGAGTCACAAAGTGGGTTATACTCGTGGATTTGTGAACCACGCTGCAGCAGGGCTACCCACAATGCAAAGTGCCAGCAACATTTTATCATTGGCCCGTTTCAAAAACGTGAGAACGATGAGATGCAGGAGCTTGCGGGAGTCGTACAGCTTGAAACCTTCAGCTTGAAACCTTGATCATCGCTGATGTATTACAATTCGGTGGATGATGATGACCTGTTGGATAGTCAGTTCTGCGGCTTGCCGTGCTGTTAACTCTGTTTTGTCGGGAATTATGCCATATCCTTTTCATTCTCCTGTGAAAGGAACAATCGCCGAAACAGGCATGGCTGTTTTGGAGCAGGCCATGTGGTGGGTGCCTTGATATCGGCAACGTTTAGAAAGGCGCAGTGCTTGGGTAGAGAACTGAAGGTGCCTTTCTGAATCGGTTTTTGTGTTGGGGTGGCAGCAACTCAACACGCTGCTGCTGCTGCTGCTGCGACCCTCACCAGAACAAGCGGATTGAGGAACGAAGTTTGGCTCCTCCAACGTTGCATTTTCTTCCAGTGCCGGGTTTTTATCGCGATGAATTTAACCGTGAACTTTTGGGAAAGTAACAATGTGTCCTTGTTGATGGTGAATTCCGGATGAAATCACGCAATTACCTTTAGTGGAGTGTATGTAGCTTAATTGTATTACGTCTTTAACATTTCTCGTTAAATGCATTGCAGCATTATTTTTGGTGTTTCAGTATTGAAGGGAATGACTCCAAATCGGTTTAGAGATGTTTTAAGTACAAATTTTGCTGGTGATCAAGTATTAGTCTCAAAGAATTGAATGGCCACTTTCTTTTGCCATTACAAAGAAATGAGAAGTGATTCTGATCAGTGATTACATGAATACAGTTTTATAAATTATCAGCACTTGTTTTTTCCAATGCTTGGTGCTTGATAGTTTCATGTGAACCCTACACGGTACGGTTGATTGTACGAATCACATTTTGTTGTAGATGCAGAAGCATAATTTTGGTAAAGATTGCGTCGCAAATGAAAGTATACATGTATTAGACCCATTGCTGTTAGTTTCTGTTTTACCAAATTTGCGAGCAAACGGAGATTTCTCTCCTCCTTGCTCGGTTATCTTTCGAAAGGAACGAAAACATTTATTGGTCATGCTTTGCTCGATAGACAATGTTGCTTTTGGGAGGCAGCTTCGTGCACACGTTTCTGCTGAGAGCATTTAAATGCAGTATTTATTGGGCGCTTGCAAGTGTCGGGGAGAGTGGCAAAGATATACAAAGCTTAGAATTAAAATGGTACATATTTACCCCGGTGTAAATGTTATCTCAAAGCACAACAGCGATAAATGTATCTTAAACATTGACTTTATTTTCCCATTGGACAACTGCCAGGGACTTAACTGAAGCTGCAAATGCCACTTGAACAAATGTTAATGTTTCACAATTGTTATTTGAGTCTCACCACTGGTGTTTGCCATATGGGGATGAATTACATCTTATGCAAAGCTTGAGAATGAGCTGAAACAGCATGTTTACATGTTTAAATTACAAATGTATGATTTGAGTGTGTGATAATGCAGTTGAGGGCAGTGCTTGGTTGCGGACTTGGGAAGTTTTATAGCTGAGTGTGTAATTGACCATAATATAGTTGTACTTTTAAAAGTACAATAAGTTGCAAGAGGAGAAAACATAAGTTGTTATTTGAAAAAAACAGAACTGATGCAGAGGATAATAAAATCTAACTTAGTGCCTTTTTAAATGTCACGACGAAAATAATAATTGGTCGCATGTAACAAATTATTTTCGTGTTTTTTTGTGGGATTTTGTACATTGAATCATAAACTGCTGTAAAGAACATTGCTGTGCCTTGACTGCTCGTCTTTTTGTTGGCCCATGATGATTTGATTGCAGGTTCAGCCCCAGCAGTCTGTAAATATTCCACGGGGTATACAATGACCTCTTGACGGGTTGATAAACTGTAACATTTGGCGTTATGGTTTGTAACTATACAGTGTGTGCAATTGCATTGTGCTTTCAATAACATAAAAAAATGCTAAATGTATATCATTACAAAAAGACTATTGACGCATCTTATGAATACAGTATAGTACATTTTTAGCCTCTGCCCAGGAAAATCCATTGACTGGATGTTTTCAGGAGGGCCCTGCATTTGGATGTTTGGCTAAGGTTCAGTATTGCTGATGGTAGGAAAGTCACGGACTCGACCGCAGCGTTCTCCGTTTCGAGGCCCATGGGCCACTGGCGGCCTCTGGTGGCCTTTCGTGCGGCCCCTGACAATACACAGCACGTGACAACGCCATCATCATCATCGTGCTGCTTCTGCCAAACACAACAATGGTCTCAAATGTGTGGCGCCCTTCACACTGCTGATGTCTTCTTGGTTCTTTCGGTAAAGTCACGTAGAATGGAAATAATAAAAATAAAATAATTCTCACGACGTTTCGGCCACAACGCAAGCAGCCGTCCTCAGGTGGAGAACAGGTCTGTCGAGAATTATTTTATTGGTTTATTTTTATTATTTCATTCTACGTGACTACCGAAAGAACCAAGAAGATGAATCCCTGCAGTCACGAAAGCTTTAAATTGCTGATGTCTTATCGGCGAAAGTGCCCCCCCCCCTCTGGGAAATTAGTGACAAACGCTGCTCTACACTCAAGCTCAGAAACATTATTGCTGTACTGCCTTCCCAACCTGCTATTATTCTCAGGCAGTCGCCCAGCTAAGGGCTCACCAGACTCGAGCCTGCCTCGTTGCTGAGATCCAACAAGGTCGGGCACAGTGCGGAAACATTTTTGGTATCCTAAAAAAAACTCTTTGAAAGAGTGTTTTTATTCGACTTGTGATATCACACGCGCCAGCACGCGCGTACGTTTGTGCTCGCGTTGAACGACATGTGCACTTCCTGGTGAACGTGCATTTGACCTCCAATATCAGGTCATTGAAACATGAGAAATAGTTTGAACGTGAACAGTGCAACTTTTCACTCGAGTATCACATTGTCGTGTTGCTGACATTTTGTCCAAATGGGGGGGTCTGCTTGCTTCGAAGCTGCTTATGACAAGTGCCCTTGCGGTTACAGAATAAGACACTTGGGACAAAGTCAAACATTCCCCCCCCCCCCTCGCTACAAGTTACCGATTAGTGCGGCCAAGATGCTTGACGGCTACGTAGTGTCAGCGGGCCGGATGTGGTCGACAATGTCAGATAAATAACAAGCTTAGCAGCAGTAATCGACGTACGTTTATTAACCAGGTTCTACGATTAATCTAACAGTGCTGTTCGTTGCTGGCTGCTGCTGGCTGTGTTGGGCCCTTTTTTTTACACGCTTTTATTTAACTCACTTTGTTGTTGTATCAAATGTTGTAACCCAATATTACCCACTTCCCAATGTATCGACTGCAAGCTTGGCATACTTGTGTCATACTGATGACAATATTATATTCAATCATAATTTTTTTTAAATAATCTTTTTTACATGTTATGTTTCAGCTTGGGTCTAATTGTTCACGCTCAACTAACGTTGGCTATAGTTGGCCACAATCCCTTCCGTTATGGCAAACCTCGGGGCCACTTCCTGGAGTCGTGGAGTTCTTCCATTACTAGTCAATTTCATAAAAGCGTGTTTAAAAAAAGTTTGTGCTCAGCAAGTGATGTAACGCACAAACACACGCACACGCATTGGCATTTTCCACGTCTTGGACTGATTGGTCCACACCAGAGACAGCTTTCTTTTGAGCCTCGTCTTAGTTTGGTGTTTTAACATCTTAACAGCCCTTCTCATATTTTGGTACTGGCAAAGGAGGTCCCATGATGTAGATTCTCAACCCGAGCTCTCAATACTCACCACGCACCTACAACTCCACCCACCACTACACCACCCACCACACCACCCACCACAACACCACCCACCACACCACCCACCACACCACCACCCACCACAACACCACCCACCCACAACACCATCCACCAACAACCCCGCTCACCCACAACACCACCCACCACAACACCCACCACAACACCCACCACAACACCCACCACAACACCACCCACCACCATCCACCACCACCACAACACCACCCACCACCGCCCACAACACCACCCACCACAACACCACCCATCCTCAACAACCCCGCCCACAACACCACCCACCACAACACCACCCACCCTCAACCCCGCCCACAACACCACTCACCACAACCCCGCCCACAACACCACCCACCACCCCGCCCACAACACCACTCACCACAACCCCGCCCACAACACCACCCACCACCCCGCCCACAACACCACCCACCACAACACCACCCACCCTCAACCCCGCCCACAACCCCGCTCACCCACAACACCACTCACCACAACCCCGCCCACAACCCCTCCCACAACACCACTCACCACAACCCCGCCCACAACACCACCCACAACTCCGCCCACAACCCCGCTCACCCACAACACCACTCACCACAACCCCGCCCACCACCCCTCCCACAACACCACCCACCACCACCCCGCCCACCGAGGCACCACCCGGCCCCAGTGACGGGCTCCGTGGATCCGGGTCCCCGCGTCAGCTGATCGCGCCCGGGGCAGGCGGGCGACAAGCGACACCCGAAACCACCATAACAACAACAACCACAACAACAACAACCACCACAACAATAACAACAGCGACAACAACAACCACCACAACAATAACAACAGCGACAACAACAACCACCACCCCACGAAGCCGGGGCCTGTGGGAACACAGCTGGGTTCGCTGGGGCCGGCGTCTCGCATGGCGGGCGGATAGGAGGGGGGGAGACAAAGGCGGACCGTGGCCACATCGCTGCCGCCACGGCGGTGAAACAGCAGCAGCAGGAGGAGGAGCAGCAGCAGGAGAAGCAGCAGGAGGAGGAGGAGGGGAAGCAGGAGGAGGAGGTGAGTGTGATTCGGCGCTGTCGTGTTCGTGTCACAGGCGACGTCGCGGGGTGACTGAGGAGGAGGCGGCGGCGTTGTTTGTGGGCTCTGTGTGAAGAGGCCCCTACTGCCCCTCCTGCTGCTGCTGCTTCTCCTACTGCCCCTGCTGCTTCTCCTACTGCCCCTGCTGCTGCCCCTGCTGCTGCCCCTGCTGCTGCTGCCCCTGCTGCTGCCCCTGCTGCTGCCCCTGCCGCTTGTGGTGGCGAGGGGGTGGAGGAGGAGGGAGACGCGGGGACACAGAGAGAGAGAGAGCGGCTCGCTTCGTCGTCCACGACATCGCAGGCGTCGTGCACGACGCGGCCTCCTCCTCCTCCTCGCCACTGACACTACTGCTGCTAACAACAACAACACTGCTACTAACAACAACAACAACACTGCTGCTAACAACAACAACAACAACACTGCTACTAACAACAACAACAACACTGCTGCTAACAACAACAACAACACTGCTACTAACAACAACAACACTAACAACACTGCTACTAACAACAACAACAACACTGCTGCTAACAACAACAACACTGCTACTAACAACAACAACACTGCTACTAACAACAACAACAACACTGCTACTAACAACAACACTAACAACACTGCTACTAACAACAACAACACTGCTACTAACAACAACAACACTGCTACTAACAACAACAACACTGCTACTAACAACAACAACACTGCTACTACTGCTGCTGCTACTGGTTGTTTAACAACAACAATACTACTGTACTACTACTGTACCGCTGCTACTGTACTATTGTACTACTACTAGTACTATTGTACTACTACTGTACTACCACTACTGTACTACTGTACTACTACTGACACTACTACCACTGTACTACTACTGACACTACTACTGGTTTAACAACAACACTACTATACTGCTACTGTACTACTACTACTGTACTACTACTACTGTACTACTACTGACACTACTACTGGTTTAACACTACTACTGTACTACTACTGTACTAGTACTGTACTAGTACTACTACTATACTGCTACTACTGTACTACTACTGTACTAGTACTAGAGGCAGTGGGTGTTGGTCACTCCCGGCGTTGAAGCTCTCCGCGTTATATTTACATTTGCTCAGGGCTGGGAGGCTCGTTTTGACCATACTTCACCGCGCTGGTCATTGTGTGTGTGGTGTGTGTGAGGGGTGGGTCCACACATCGCTCGCCACTGATGGTAGCCGGGAGTCGAACTCTGCTGGCCTGGCTCGTAGGCCAGGGCGCTGGCCACATTGCGTTGCGTAACAATGTGCAGGGTGGTCCAGATGTCTCGTTACACCCCCTCCACCTCCCAATGTAATCATCTAATAAGCAAGTGGGGGGGGGGGGTCACAAGACATCTGGACTGCTGCCCTGTTGTAGGGCGGTGCATGTCACTACACACTGCACACTACACACTGCACACTACACACTGCACACTACACACTGCACACTACACACTGCACACTACACACTGCACACTACACACTGCACGGTGCCGGCTCCCAGCTGTGCCGGTTGCCGTGTTGACGACTCAGCCACAGTTCAATGTCACGCCGCGGTGGTGTCCATCATCACGCCGTGGACACACTCATACAGCAGCAGCAGCACACTGGTGGTGGTGGTGATGATGGTGGTGGTGATGATGGTGATGGTGGTGGTGATGGTGATGATGATGTGTGGTGGTGATGATGGTGGTGATGATGATGATGGTGGTGATGGTGGTGGTGATGATGATGGTGGTGATGGTGGTGGTGGTTGTGATGATGGTGGTGGTGGTGATGATGGTGATGGTGGTGATGATGGTGGTGATGGTGGTGATGATGGTGGTGATGGTGGTGATGATGGTGGTGATGGTGGTGATAGTGGTGGTGATGGTGGTGGTGATGATGATGATGGTGGTAATTGTGGTGATGATGGTGGTGATGATGATGATGGTGGTAATTGTGGTGATGATGGTGGTGATGGTGGTGATGATGATGATGGTGGTAATTGTGGTGATGATGGTGATGGTGGTGATGATGGTGGGCACATTGCTCGCTGCTGCTGCTGTTACACCGCCGTGCCCTGCACTCTTCTGCATGGCACTGAGTGGGTGAGCTCTTGTGGGACAGGACGCCGTCGTGGCAAGCTGGACAAAGGCGTTGTGTTGTGTGTGCTGTGTTGTGTGTGTTGTGTTGTGTGTGCTGTGTTGTGTGTGCTGTGCTGTGTTGTGTGTGCTGTGTTGTGTTGTGTGCTGTGTTGTGTGTGCTGTGTTGTTACGGTTATGTTGTTCATGTTGTGTGTGTGCTGTGTTGTGTGTGTTGTGTTGTGTGTGCTGTGTTGTGTGTCTGTTGTGTTGTGTGTATTTTGTGTTGTCTCTGTTGTGTTGTGTCTGCTGTGTTGTGTCTGTTGTGTTGTTCAGGTTGTGTGTTGTCGGAATGTGACGTAGTTATTGATGGTGATGTAGTTGTTGATGTTGATGTAGTTGTTAATGGTGATGTAGTTGTTGATGTTGATGTAGTTGTTGATGTAGGTAATGATGGTGATGTACTTATTTATGGTGATGTAGTTAATGATGGTGATGTACTTATTGATGGTGATGTAGTAACGAATTGTTGTTCCACTCCTGTTTGTCGTCCAGCATTTGCTGCTCGGGCCTTATTTGGAAGTCTTCAACACAACAAGAGTCCAGACGTGAACAGCATGGCCAGACTGTGGCAGCAGTTTGGGTTACTGCTGTGGAAGAACTATGTACTGCAGGTAAGGTGGCTCGTGGCAATGTGTGTGTCTCATGGGCAGCACTTTCGCTCTTCGTGGCCGGTGAATATTGTTCACGTGCTTTGTGCGGTTTTCCGTCGCTTCAACAGACCCCCCCCCCCCAAAAAAAAAACCCCGACACATTTGCACAGTCAGCCGAGGTCGACCAAAACTGCGGCGTTGTGTCCGCTGATAAAGTTCGGCACAATACCGACGGTTCTCGGTACAGATCGATTTCTGTCACTCGAACACAGAATTCTCCGCACTGTCAGGGTCAAACCCATACAGGTGGATGCCCTAAGTGTGTGTGTTCGAGTTAATTTTGTATTTACCAAGTGAGACCTCAAGAGACACCAGGATAGTCGCATTTACAAGAGGCATGCAGGAATTATTGGTTAATGCAGTACAGCACGTGTACTGCCGCTGTGTGTGTGTGTGGTTAATGCAGTACGGCATGTGTACTGCGGCTGTGTGTGTGTGTGGTTAATGCAGTACAGCACGTGTACTGCCGCTGTGTGTGTGTGGTTAATGCAGTACGGCATGTGTACTGCCGCTGTGTGTGTGTGTGGTTAATGCAGTACAGCACTTGTACTGCCGCTGTGTGTGTGTGGTTAATGCAGTACAGCACGTGTACTGCCGCTGTGTGTGTGTGTGGTTAATGCAGTACGGCATGTGTACTGCCGCTGTGTGTGTGGTTAACGCAGTACAGCACGTGTACTGCCGCTGTGTGTGTGGTTAATGCAGTACGGCATGTGTACTGCCGCTGTGTGTGTGTGTGGTTAATGCAGTACAGCACGTGTACTGCCGCTGTGTGTGTGTGGTTAATGCAGTACAGCACGTGTACTGCCGCTGTGTGTGTGGTTAATGCAGTACAGCACGTGTACTGCCGCTGTGTGTGTGTGTGGTTAATGCAGTACAGCACGTGTACTGCCGCTGTGTGTGTGTGGTTAATGCAGTACAGCACGTGTACTGCCGCTGTGTGTGTGTGTGGTTAACAATTTCCCCCCGTGGTTTATGGTTAATGTGGCACCGTACAGCACTTGCAGTGTCTGTCTGGTTCGTGTGGCGCAGATCCTGTGCTGTGGCGTGGGTGGTTAACGTGACGGCACGTGTACCCATCGTGCGTGTCTGTGTGTGGCAAAGGAGTGGTGGCGGAGTGGGCAGTTGTTCACACTAAGGACCAACAACAACAACAACTTTGGTCATTGGTATCTGCCCCTGCGTTTCCCTTGTCCTCAAGATCATGCCAGCCCAACAATAATCACCTGCTATTGTTTGTCAACGTCATCACTGTGGTGTCAAAGGTGGCCAGGTGGTGCAGTATTGGCCACACACCATCCTCTCTCCTTCGTGTGCTGTGCTAGCTTTAATAGGTGCTCGCCGACACCAATTGACACGTCTGTATGGGTTCAATGGAGTGGCTTTGTTCGGTTGACACAAAGGCGGTGTCGGGTTCCCACTGCAGCATTGTGCCCCACCACCACACTGGCTGCGTTTGTGTTGGGCGTCGGAAGACGCGCAAGTTGCCCGTACTATAGTTTGGTTAAGCTGAGATGTTGTGTAATTATAATTACATCAGTACTTGCTCCTTGTTAGGGTGTGTTGTGTGCTTGAGAGATGGAGTTCATGGGGGTCACGTGACACATTTGTTGGTACCATTAGAGAAGGAAGAACGTATGCTTTGCCAAATGATTATATCTCGAGTAAAAGTGAATTATGCAACAACACGCTTCACTTGTTTTAGCCATATACACAAACTGGTATCAACTAAATGTTTACCACCTTTCGTGGAACCAAGTTCTGTTCTGGGATTTCTGTACAGTGTACACCGAAGAATACTAGAGATTGATAAAAACAACAAAGACGCCACCTTGGAGTAATATATAAGGAATATTATGGGGTGTACAGTGACCGGTTCCTGCCGGAGGAATGTGGAATTGTCAACATTGCAGACGGAGATTAGGCTGCCCCATGCCGGCTTGCACGAGGAGACGCTTGGCTTTGTTTTTAGTTTTTCTGGAAGAGAGGACTGAGGCCTTTCCGTGTCACGGATGCAACTCCCCATGAGGGTAGGAGTCACCGCACATTTAATCTTCCTGTCACGGTGGCCCAGCGCATTCTGTCCCAACTAACTCGTAACAGTTCAACACGTCGTAGGCTTTCTCGACCAAAATTATTCATAATAGTGTTTTTTTGGGGGGGTTAGATCCCGTAAATATAAATGTGTCGGTGAATCCCGCAGCCAATTCATGAGGTTTGTCACGTCAACAAAACGTGCCAATTGGTTACTCGTTCAGCACACCCCCGAGTGTGTTGGAGAGTAAACCCACAACATTTACAATTCGAGTACTCTGATGTTTTGCTAAGGGTAATGATCAACTTGTGAAAAGCAACAATGCTCTCGTGAAAATGTATAAAGTTTAATCATCAACTAAAGATGCACTGAGTTAACAGATAAACGAGATGTTCTCATTTTCGAATTGCAGAAGAAATTAAAGCTGCCATGCCACATTAACTCATGTCGACCAATCCACTGCTGGATGAAGCCTATTAAATGTTTGCACTGCTTTCTGTGCAGCGCCTTGAGGTGCAAGTCTAAACTAAAACGAAACTAAACTTGTTATTTTACCAGGTTAGGCCTACTGAGCTGTACAGCTGTTTGTTTAGAAGCGACCTGGCCACATATGATAGCTCAACGAAGTAGCTTATGACGTGGACATTTCTATCAGCCAAATACTCTAAACGCATGTTAATAAATGTTGAGGGAAAACCGGAGGACCCAGAGAAAAATCCACGCGACTGTGAGGAGAGAGAGACACGCAAACTCCAAATATACAGCAGCAGGCATCAGGGTCTGGATCGAACCCTCCGACCTGCCACATACCAGGCGAGGTAGTTAACACCTCGTTACCGCATTTACACGCTCCATAAATCTAAACGTTATCGCGTGATGAAGGCCCACACTAACAGGGTACAAAGCACCCATTTTCTCATCCGGTGATTTTGGATTAAGAGTGAGAAGTACCGTTGCACAACAAAAGGGCTGCTAATCTTTCGCGAAGTTCAAGTGAATTCCACATTGGAATATCGTTGCCAAGCTCGGGTTTAAGTTGTCGCTGTTTTATATGCTCGGTGGTCCAGTCTAAAGCCAAACAAGTTGGTATTGATAAGGCGCTGACTGGCTGTCTGCAGTCCCTGCATCTCTGTCCGGTTTACCCCATCACCACGCTTCGCTGTAGGCGTACAATGAGCGAAGGCTTACGGTATTTATCCCGATTATATTTTAAGGAAAAAATGAAGGGGGCATCTTGAAGTCCACTGGCTGTGTGTTTCCACGTTTGTATAGTACCAACAACGCCCAATACCTCGCACTGAATGCAATATACGACTGCACCTAGCGCTCCGGGTAAGCCGTGGATCGCAGTATGTGAACTACACGTCACATTTCATTCGTAAGTGTAGGAATGCGCGTAGCGATTTTGTTGCACAGCTTGAGTTCGCATGATGGGACAAACTCATGGGTGCGCATTGGTGAAGGAACGGTCATTTGATTCTCGGGGCCCGTTGGCGGTCGTTCGGCAGCGTGCACCGATAAGCTTTAATTTGTTTTGGAATAGTTTACTAAAGATTCTCATTGAGAATGTTTCTGTTTTTCTTTGCTACTTTGAAGCTGTATATTCTTTTCAAATTAGAAGTTTTTGTACAGCAGTTCACAGTAACATTTAATGCGGAAGCCTCTGGTTAATGATTACCGCCATAAGTTGGCAATAAAGCGATTTGTTTTTATTTTGTTATTTTGGTGATCCAGGCTGCTCTTGCATTGAGACTTCTCCTGGTCTCTTTCTCACCTGGTTGAACAAATTAACTTGAAACCGCAAACTCGGGGCCGTCGAAATTGGAGGCTGAACGACCCCAAACCTAAACCTTATTTGCAGTCCATGGTCAAAGCACGGGGAATGTTCATTGCGGTCATAAAAAGTGCAAGGTGTTAGTTAGAACAGTAGTAGATTAGTGGTTGGCAGCTAAAGTTTTTGTTTTAAGCGGGAGGCTTGTGTTACGCAAATACATCAACAGCCTCGGACCGTCTTCTTGGTTCTTTCAGGTAAAGTCACGTAGAAGGGAAGTAATAAAATAATACAAATAAAACATAATAAAATAATTCTCACGACGTTTCGGCCACAACGCAAGCAGCCGTCCTCAGGTGAAACCAGGTCTGTCGAGGCGACAGCGTCGCCTCGACTTCCCTTCTACGTGACTTTACCGAAAGAACCAAGAAGATGAATCCCTGCAGTCACGAAAGCTTTAAATCGAAATTTAGCCTCGGACCAGTTCCCGAGTACAGAACAGTAGAAACGCACAGACACGAGACAAATTGCAAGCACAATGTGTAACATCAAAATCATCTGTATCCTCCAGTGTTGCAGGTGGATATACAACTACAAGGGTAATTCTACGATTTTGGACGCACATTGGAGACGCTTAAAATCTGTGGGTCATCATTAGTGTAATTGGGAATATTTCGTCAGCCGTTTAGGGCTGTCATTCGGAGAGAAATAATTTGTTCACCTTCTGCTCATAAAAACATCACGGTTTCAGGCGTGCCCAGACAAACTGACCTTTTCCCATCCATGCTGGGATGGCGATGGAGTGCATTTGGTTCCGCATGTGTGTGTGTGTCAGACCATTCTCGCAGTCCATATATAAGCCATAATTTCCAAAACCCTGGATACTTTTCTTTCAAAGTGATAGGCCTTGAGGTCTACTTTCTGGAACTTGTCCGCAAGTGGCTGTTCGTGTTTTTGTGACCTCCCTATTGGCCAGGGCAGAGGTGTCTCCTAAAACTTGCTGCGACATTGGGGGTGTCGTGTGGGGCATAGAAGCCGCCTTAATAAAAACACACTCTGTGTAAGACTTCAAAATGTGTCGGCGTTTATGGTCTGTCTGCAAAGACTCGTAGAATAAGGTCGGAGCAGTTTGACACACACACACACACGTGTAACGTGTGCAGCCAAAGGTCAGAGTGAGTCGGATCGCGATTTTTTTTGTTGATTTGTGATTGGGAGGCGATTAGTTCCTTCTCATTTCAAAGCTGCTTAAAAATACGTTTGTTTTTCGTATTGTTTTATTGATCAAGCTCAAACTACTTTCGGATTGCAGTTCATTCATCATGAACACCTTCATGGATATAATATATCGAGCAACCTTGATAGGCATTAGAAGTTGGCTTTCATAGCCGATGATTAATATCCTTACAAAGCTCTACTTTTTAATTCATGCAGTTGCTGATGTGCGATGCGTGGTGTGCATTGCATGATGCGGGGTGAGTGGTGCCTTCTACATGGTATGTAGCGTGCGGTGTCCGGGTGTGCGGTGTGGACCGCATGCTGCATGGCACGTGTTGCAGGCTGTGTGGAGCATAGCGCGCGATGACCGGCAGAATGCATGTGTGTACGTATGTTGAACTTCTTTCGCACTGTGCGTAGCCAACCGTGATAATCGTCAAGGAGCGTAAACAATTATCACGTGGACTCCGGTCATCCTCGCAGCAGCGGCTTTTGGCTAACCGTCGAACAAAGCTGGTCACCGCATCGTGCGCTTTCAGATGCGCTTTTGCGGCCGTCTGGAACGCTCCTCTTTCCGATATTAGGACGCCACTGGATCTATGCACTTCTAAATCTAGATGGACAAAATCACTTCTTGAGAACTACTTTTTGTGTTTAGTTTGTTGTCCTTTCTGCCGCACCTCTGTTTAGCGTGGTTGGCGACGGACGGTGAGAATCAAGTTCAACATACGTACGTGGCATGATCGGAGGTGCATGGCGCGTGGCACACCGCGCTTGGTTTACGTCGCGTGCAATGCAGTGCGTGTTCACGTGTGTGGCGCGTGTTGCGCGAGCAGAAGCGCCAGGTGCTGGTGACGCTGGTGGAGCTGGCTCTGCCGGCGCTCTTCGCCGCCATTCTGATCGCGATCCGGCAGCGCGTGCCAGAGTCGTCGCACCCCAACGCGACCATCTACTCGCCGCTGTCCTTGTCGAGCCTGCCCGAGAGCCTCATGCGGCTCCACTATTATCAGTTCCCCGAGTTCCGCGACAAGGGCTGGTTCCTGGCGTTCACCCCGGCCAACGTGACGGCCGTCCACGATGTCGCAGAGCGCGTCCAGCGAGCCGCCTCCGGCACGCTCACAGGTGCGCCTGCTCTGTGAACGCGCGGCCGCCCCCCCCCCCCCCCCATCCGCCCCTCATCTGCCCCCCACCTGCCCCCCTGGAAAGATGAGTCCAATCGGAAGCAAAGTAGAAAGTAGGCGCTTGAAGCATAGGATTTCGGCGGTCTGGGTTTGCGTCTGTGCCCGGTGCAACATAGAAAAGGGAACGATTGACGAGTGTGCGCCGTGATGCGCGAGCGCCCGCTTGACTCGGTGTGCCGCGCATCTCTCCGCAGCGCTGCCGTTCGATTCGGAGGCTGAGCTGCTGGCCTTCATCAAAGCGGACAATAGGTCGGCGGAGAACGTCCTGGCAGCGATGGTGTTTGAGAATCGCTTCGCCCGCGCCGATGACCCGCTGCCGGAGAAGGTGAGCATGCGCCAGGAGTGGTCCGTTAGCGTCGGTCGCCTATCCCTAATTTAACTAAAACGAATCTATATTTTTTTCTTTCCCTTCGCCAAGTAAGGCCCAATGAGCTATTTTAGCTCTTTTATTCAGAGGCGACCTGGTCACAAGTGACTCAACAAAGTGGCTCGCGTATCATGCGGACATTTCTGAGCAGCCTAATGATCAGAAGGGCACACGCGTTGATTCTCAATGTGACGGTGCCACGCGGTTCTTTGCATCGCCTCCCCAGGTGACGTACTCGCTCCGCTTCAAGTACAGCCCTCGCAACGCGCCTCTCGACGAACAGAGCCAACTCAACCCCAACAGGGACAACGACTGGATCACCATCTTCCTCTTCCCCCTGTTCCAGCTGCCGGGCCCGAGGGAGAGACACATGAAGGATGGTGGCACGCCAGGTGGGGTGGCAGCCTTTGTCAGTCAGGCGGTCGGTTTAGCAGTCAGTCGGTTAATTGTTGAGTTCGTGAATCAATCGGTCAGTCCTTTCAACGAATCAAATGTATTGGTTGGTTAATCGATGAATTAGTTGGTCATGCAATTCATCGGTTCTTTAATCAATGGATTAACAAGTCATTCAACCAATTAACCTGGAAAACAATTGATCTTACTTGGACTGAATCAGTCAATGATTCAGACAATCATTCAATAATGCAATAAATGAATAAAAGATTGAGTCGGTGAATCAAGCAATCAGTTGGTCAGTCACGTAATAGGTCGGCTTAGTCAGCGAGCCACACAGCGGAAATATGACGCGTATAATGTGACGAGGTTTTTTGTAAGCCCCGCTCGCGGCGGCCGGCGGTAGTGAGACTACAAGCAGCTCAGCTCGGCGGGTGCTGGTCGACCGAGCGTACCACGGCATCACCGTGGAAACGGTGGCAAGGTACGGCCTGTGCCTGCGAAAGTTACAGCGACGCCTTCTTGACCACCCCCCTCCCCCCCCGCCGTCGCTGGCCGCCAGGTTACTACCGCGAGGGTTTCCTTGCGACGCAGCGCTTCATCGACGAGGCCATCACGGCGGCGGCGGCGGAGCGGCTCGGCCGTGCGGCCCCCCGGGCGGCCGTGGAGGTGCAGCGCTTCCCGTACCCGCCGTACCGCGACGACATCTTCATCCTCGCCATCCAGACGCAGCTGCCGCTGCTCCTCATGCTGAGCTTTGTGTACACGGCGCTGAACATCGTGCGCACGCTGGTGCACGAGAAGGAGAGCAAGCTCAAGGTGGGTGGGGGGGGGGGGGGGGGTGAGCGGCGTTGGGGTGTTGGGGTGTTGGGGTGTTGGGGTGTTGGGGTGTTGGGGTGTTGGGGTGGTCGCGGCTCGGCGAAGTCGAGGATCGGAGGGAGTGCGGCGAGTAATGGCGCCCGGATTGCGCCAGCCGGTTAAAAATTCATTTTTTTAGGTTGCCGGCCGTTTATGCAACGACGTCAAAATAATGTGATCGCGTTACTTTCAGGCTCGTGGAGCGTTTCGAACGAGGATTAAAGAACTAAATAGATCTAGAAACGATGAAAATGAGAGGGTGAAAATGGGACAAAAAGAATCGATTATTGAATTGCTACCCCTCAATGGTGACGATTCATCAACCGCGTTGTGATAATTCGTAAAAATAAAGTGTTCAGCAATCAATTATTGTTAATAATGTCGCGAGTGTGGCGCCTCTAGTGGTTGCAGGGGTGGAGCGAGCGGCTCCTCGCAGTCGGGAGGTTGTGAGTTCAAATCCTGGTTATGGGGGTTGACTCAGCCCATCATCCTTCTGAAGTGGATAAAATCAGTACCACTTTGCGTGGAAGTCTACAGTAATTGTCCTGTGGATAGACTCACCCCTGGTTTAGGAATGTGGAATTCGCCACCACTGCCTCTGGGCTGTAACCAGACGATGAGCACTGCCTTGATTCAATTTAAACGTTATTACTTTATTTATTTAATGGGCGCAATGGTGGCGTGATGTTAACTACCTCGCCTGGTATGCAGGAGGTTGGGAATTTGATCCTGACCCTGACGCTTGTTTTATATTTGGAGTTCTCTCCGTGGTTGCGTGAATTTTGTCTCTGGGTCCTCCGGTTTATCTCTCCACATTTAGAACCATGTATTGCGATGATTTCAATTATTTTGCTGCTCTAAATTTAAACATAATGTTGAGCTATCATTTAATACCTCAGTGGGTTTTACCTGGTAAGAATAAAAAATTGCTTGGTTTTATTTGTATATTTTTGAGTGATTTGTTTGCCTTTCCAATGCTTTGCATTCCTGTCTTGTTTTTTTAATGTGTTTGTTGTTGTAACACTCTGACCCCGTGCCCCTACTGGACATCTGTGAAAAAGAGTTTTATATTTCATCGGATTCCTGCGGTATTATGAAATATTCTGATGCTGTTTCTTGCTCGTGCGAGTAGCAAATCACTTTGCCCCCCTGTGTTGATCTCGGTAGCCTGATAGCGTGCCGTTCAAGCGCAGGCGTTGACTGTCCGTGTCATGCCGCCGTTGCAGGAGTACATGAAGATGATGTGTCTCAGCAACTGGCTGCACTGGACCGCCTGGTTTCTCAAGTTCTTCATTTTTTTCCTCATCTCCGTGTTTTATATCACCGTGCTCTTCTGTGTCAAGGTGAGACTGGGGTGGCAACGCGGCAGAGGTCGCAACCGGGTACCCGATACCCGTACCCTACCCGATACCCGGCTACCCGTACCTGGCCGGGTACGGGTAGCCGTTTGCAACCCTGGTGCGGCCGGGTACGGGTACGGGTAGGCCGTGAGTCACTGGTGAGTAGCCGTTTGTCACTCATTTTGGGTAGGGTACGGGTACGGGTAGGGAACGGCTACCCGTACCCGGCCGGGTACAGGTACGGGTACCCATTTGCGACCCTGGTGCGGTCGGGTACGGGTACGAGTAATGAATCAAAACCCATTTGCGACCTCTGCAACGCGGCTCCTGCCAGGCGTCCATGAACGTGAGATGACGCGCACAGTTCGTTCGTTTGCTAATCCACTGCCGGATGAGGGGGCCTCCCTTATGCCCCACGGTTCACGGGGGTCGTTTGAGCAAACTGTCACCACGACGGTCAGTGAAGGAGTGGAACGTAGACACGGCAGCGTATGACATACCTGTCAGCCCACACGGTTCACTCCGTATTCTTGTGCAGGGAAATTGAGTTTTCAGGTCCATACGGCGTACAGCCGTTTCAATACGGGCAACAAACTTTCTTCTATTTTTTTGTGTTTCTCCTTTGTGATGGGACTTTGTAGGACGAACGTTGAGATGTATAAGAGGAACGAGGTGACCAATAGGGCCTGAATTGGTCTGTAATAAGGTAGGGGTTGACAGCTATGGTGTATGAGTACAGTACAACAATGTAATATACTGCACCGTCATCCACTGCCGACAGCGTAGCACCGCTGCAGAACTACACAAGCTCGTTTCACGCGTGGTCGTTGCCCATCCATGCACTGTCCAAGCTCAAGCCGGCTTAGCTTGCTATGAATAATTCACCCGGCATGTGGTCTGTCTGGTCTGTAAACATCAACATTTCATCGCGCAGGCCTCTACCATCGCTTGTTTTATTCCACACAGACGAAGGGGAGTTTGTCTAGATGAGAACCGTAATGCTCCATCACAGAGCTTATTGAGTTGAGGTCTTAGATATTATGTTTAGCATATCATTTTAACTTTTCCGTTGTAATATATACAGTAAAAGCTTGGATTGCGAGTAACTTGGTCTGCGAGTGTTTTGCAAGACGAGCAAAAATTTAAAATAAATATTAATTTGATAAACGAGCGAGGTCTTGCAATACGAGTAGCACGTACAGTATACGCTTTGTCTGCCGAGCGTAACGTGATCACAACTGATATACGAGGGCTTTGGTGTACGAGTGCTTTGGACTACAAACACGTTTCTGGAACAAATTATGCTCGCAATCCAAGGTTTTACTGTATATAGGCACACTGGTGTGCAGGCGTAATCATGGCTTTATTGCACCAGTACAATTGAGGGTAGAGTGTGCGTGTGAGCAGTGTTGCAGTGGTTCACACTCTGTGCGTAAATAGTTGGCATTAATCTTCCATTCCTCTGTTGTTTCCATAAGCATCAGCTGTCCATACCCGTCCTTTTGACCACATCACATTGTTTAACTTCGGACACCCAGCCCTTGTTTTCTTAAACCTTTACACTCGCAAACCTTTACACTCGATAACCTTTCGCCTGGTTGCCTGCATGGCTGCATGCTTCTCTGCGTATCTTGTTTACACACTGATCTGTGTATATCCAGCGGGTGATAATCTGATTGTTGTTGTCGATGTTTGGATGGCGTTGGCTGTTAGGCAACAGCCTTCAGTAAGACTCCCATCTTGAGTGTTTAAAATTGGGAGGCACTTTTCTTCGTGGACACCGGTTTTCCTGCATACCAGGCTCCATGTATAAAGTGCAGTCTCCAGCTATTAATCCACTCCATCTCCCTGGCCTCTCTCTCTCTAAGTATGAGCTACAAAGAAGAGCCATTGTCCGAAAACGTCGCCCGTTCTGAATGTTTCCCTTTGACGGCCACAGAGTTATTGACGAATGTGTTGAGTTGTTTGTTATTTGTGTTTGTGCACCGCTGCCAACGCAGCAGCAGCAGTAGCAACATCACCACATAATTTTCCTTTGTGCTTGATTGGTGTGAGTGAAACAAGTGGCCGGTGCTACCCACACGTGCACTGGAGTGGATTATGGGAGAGTGTTGGAGTGCAGAATAGGTTCTAGAGGACAGGACCTTGTACGGCTACGTCTGGCATGCATTTGAATTATCTCACACATTATTCTTTGCACGTAATATTTCAAACCGGAGTTTTATCCCATGTACTTGCCCAGCTGTGTGGAGCGGTGGCACAGTGGTTAGCACACTGCGCTATGAATCCAGCAAACCTGAGTTAAGCAACTTGGTCGTGCTGTCATTTGTGGCCAGGTCGCTGCTGAAAAAGAGCTACTTAGCTCAGTGGGCCTGACACCTGCTAAAATAAACAAACGAAAAAGTTCGTAGTCGCTACTAGTTAGATTTACAAAAGTTTCCAGCTGACTACAGTGCCGAGTGATAGCTGAACCGGTCCACGATCCTACCTTTACTGACATCAGAATCAGAATCTTTATTTATACTGCAGGAGGAATCCGATCAGCTATAAAGCTCTTTGTCAAAGATGTCCAGTGGGGGCAGGAGGTAATTCAATATCCACTGACCAGGGTGGTGAAGCATGGTCAAGCAACCTTCACGACTGCCATCGTCTGGCGAGGCCTTCATCCAGCAGTGGATTTACAAAGGACCGTAGAACATTATGTTATAATTTTGAGTTTTATTCATAGCTACGTTTAGTCAATGAACTGTATTGAAATAGACACGTCAATAAAATCTCGAAGAACCGGTATGTTGGAGATTCCACTGCCAGTTGCTGTCTTTAACTGCCATGCTGTAAAGTAGAACTTTTAAGTATTCACGTAACACCCGGTGTCTTTTAATAGGCGACTTTAAAGAGGCAATATAAAAAAAAATCACTTTTCCACCAAGAACCAACCACCACCAAAGTGTATTCTTTGCGAAATATCTCGACTACTTTTTATTTTACCAGGTGGGGCCTGTTGAGCTATAGAGCTCTTCTTCAGAAGCGAGCTGCCTATCACAAATGATAGCCCAATGCAATGGCGTATCACGTGGAAATTTATAGCAGCCATGAACTCTAAACACGTGATGTTGATTCGAAATGGGAAGGGAAAAAACCAGAGGATCCGGAGAAAAAATTCACGCGACCACGGGGAGAGAGAGAGAGACACGCAAACTCCAAACATACAGCAGGCGTCATGTCGGGATCGAACCCACGACCTCCTGTATACCGGGCGAGGTAGTTAACATCTCACAGCCACCGTGGCGCCCCAATCACAAACCTCGTGCTCTTTACCCTTAACCGTGCCTCTTGTTATTATTCACCAATGTTGCCAGCGGTAATGTCAAGACATTTTGACAGTTACGCAAAAAATAGCAACGATTTCATCACAGGCCGAGCATTCCTCGGTCTGTTGACAGCGTACAGGTGGCCACTGTGGAGCACCTCCTGCAGAAGCGGAGCCAACAGTGGCGAGCGTGGCACCTTTTAGGAAGAGGGCGGAGGGGAGGGGGGGACGTGGCTAGGCATGTAACACATCATCGATTCAAATTAGGAAATACATCAATTTGTCGAATCGTATGCATTTTTGGATGTTGAACTTCTTTCGCGCACCGTACGTCGTCAACCGTGCGAATCCGAGGTGCGGGGGAAGGACAACAAACGAAAAGCAGTTGTAAAGAAATATAGCTTTCAATCTAGACGATTTAAAAGTGGATAGCTCCAGTGGCTTCCTAATATCGGAAGGAAGAGCGTTCCAGACGGCGTGCGATGCGGTGGCCGTCTTTGTAAAGTTTGTGTACAAACCTGCACGCTTCACCTTCACGTTGATGGGAAGAACGCGACAGAGAAAAATAAGGCCAAACGAATGAAGCGGTACAAATGAGGCACCACAGACGACAAAGTCAACATAGATGAGATTGTACAAACCGGACGGTACAATGGAGGCAATGCAAACAGCACAGTTAAGAAACGGTGAAGGGTCGGGAGCCTCCAGCACTCATGGGCCATACCTGGGCCGTGACTCCATTTCGAACGATATTCAGATGTTTATCCCTCAATGCGCGAGCATCTTCCCCACACGAATTGCTTCACAAGGGGGGGGGGGGGGTGGTGCAATAGTTTATTCCACGTGGCGACACCTCGTGCGGTGTCTCGTCTTAGCACGCAGCGTCACCGCAGGAGGCTTCACGCAGTGGCAGAAACAACTGACGTGCGTGCCGTGATGTTTGGTGATGCGGGGGGGAAGGGGGGGAGCCTGCAAAAGGTACGGTATCAGAAAGTACGATTCGACCCTCGCTCAACAAAAGGGTTCTCCACCCCTTGGCTTTAATTCGGCGGAATCGATGGAACGGTGGCGGGGGGGAAGGGGGGGAGGTGGGGGTTGGCGAATCGTTTCGGCGCCCTGGCGAGGGACGGTGCGGAGCCGCCGCGAGCGTGCGTCCTGTCGCCCCTCGCAGGTGGGCGAGCGCGGCGCGGTGCTCAACTTCAGCGACCCCACGCTGGTGTTCGTCTTCATCCTGGCCTTCTCCGTCTCCACCATCTCCTTCTGCTTCATGATCAGCGTCTTCTTCTCCCAAGGTGAGCGGGCGACGACGGCTCTCCCGGCGGCGCGGAACGCGGGAGGAGCTTTCGGTGAAGCAGATCCGGCCGGCGCCTCGTGTAATTCGTGTTCAACGTCGCGGTGATTTCCTGCTCGGACGAGCACCGAGGCGGTGCTCGTATTCTCGTTACACCCCTGAGCTAGCGGTGGGTAATTCCACATTCCTATGGCGGAATTGGGGGGGGGGGGGGGGGGGGCGAGTCAATCCGGAGGACGACCGCTGTTGACTTCTGCACAAAGTGGTTACTCATTTTATTGATTTATTGCTTGAACAAATGTTGCTGGATTATGATGGACTGGAAGCCAATAGGCATTTGGGCAATTTCTATTTATTAATTTATATGTGGAGACACCACAAAGTGCTTCTATTTGCCCTGGGCCCCAGGCCCTGTTGGTGTTTGTTACCTGGGGCAGTTTTACGATCGTGGCTGTCTCTCGGGTCCATGAGGACAACTCGTAGGATTCTTCGGGTTCACTGCAAATGCCAAAGGCTCAGAAAATAGAACTGTGGCATGCAAATCTGACACAAGACACAAACACTGTGTGCAGAGAATAGGACACAAGACACAAACACTATGTGCAGAGAACAGGACACAAGACACAAACACTGCATACAGAGAACAGCACACAAGACACAACACACTGCCATTCAGTTCACCGGTGTCGTCCGCTGGCCATCGTCCCGTCTTTGCGGCGTCTCCCGGGGGGCAGTGATTCACCGCCACCCCTTTCCTCCCCGCCGCGCTCTCTGTTTCCACAGCCAACGTGGCGGCGACGGCGGGCGCCTTCCTCTACTTCTTCTCCTACATCCCCTACTTCTTCGTGCTGCCCTGGTACGACCAGATGAGCCACGTCCTCAAGATGTCCTCCTGCCTCATCTCCAACGTCGGCATGGCCATGGGGGCCCAGCTCATCAGCATGTGGGAGGGCAAAGGTGCGGATGGATCCCACCCCCCTCCCCTTGACACTCACCCACCAGCCCCGTTTACCGGACAGCTTTGTCACCTGCCGCTGTAATTACAGCGCTGCACACTTCGGATTGATCGCAAAAATAAGTAGAAAATTCACAACGGTGCACACAACAACCGTAAAAGATATTGTTACTTGATTAGAATCGTGATCCTGAATGGTGACTTCACCAGTTCACTTACAGTGTGGTGGGGGTGAATCACTGCATGGCTGATCTAGACAGAGAGACATTATCAGCGTTACCATAGTCAGCCACGACACGTGGCCCTGCTGAGTTAGGCCTCCCCGCACCGTCGCCATCTCTCGCGGTCTTCTCGTGCAACGGTCCAGCCAGCACCGGTGCGCGAGCTGACCTCATCGCTAGAGCGCCTTTAACTTGCGCTAAACGGCAGGGCCGAACGTCGGCCTGCCCCGCTGTTCGCCCCCGGGTAAGGCGGCGCGTTGACTGGCCGGTGCGTCGTGCGCGTGGAGCTGGTTGCAATCGCCAGCGAAACGTCACGGCGCTCGAATTGTAAATGTTGCGTGTTTACTCTCCAACACACACACCGGTGGTGCTGAACTGGTAACGAATTGGCGTGTTTTGTTTACGTGACAAAACCTTAACCAATCGGCTTCGTCGGGTGGTGGCGGGTTTTAACGACACATTTACATTCACGCGATCTAACCCAAAAAAAAAACCTTTACTACGGATAATATCGTTCGCCAAAGCCTCTTGCTACCACACCTACGACTACCACGTGTAAAACTGGCATGCGGTCCCCGTGCAGGCGTGGGCATCCAGTGGCACAACCTGGGCGAGAGCGTGAGCGTGGACGACGGCTTCACGATGGCGCACGTGCTCTTCATGCTGATGCTGGACGCGCTGCTCTACGGCCTCGTGGCCTGGTACGTGGAGGCCGTGTTTCCCGGAGAGTACGGCGTGCCACAGCCCTGGTACTTCTGCGTGCTGGTAAGGACCCCCCCCCCCCCGTGTGGCACCCCGTGTGGCCCCCCGTGTGGCCCCCCGTGTGGCCGCCCGCTTGCTCTGCCGCGCTGGTTGCTCTGCCGCGCCGGTTGCTCGCGTTGACGTGGTCACGCCGACCGTGTCTGCTGGAGGTCATTCGATTTCCGCAATTGAAATGTGTAGTTGCGCTCGTGATACGCGCGCTGAATGGTGGCGATTCATATTCTCTAAGATTTTTTTCTTTGCATTCATATCTGTTTTAAATAAACCTTACTTAAAAATATAGTAAGTTTTAGAGAATAAAATGGGGATGGGGGTTGTCCCAAGACATCTGGACCACCTTGTAGATTCTCTGGAGATTTGTATCACTGTAGACTCCAAATGCACACACACCCATGCCTTTTGAGGCCTATATACAACTGTTGATGATGCATTAAATTGTATTTGTAAGATTTCAAATGGTTGGTGTTTTACCAATGTGAGCTATATTTTATAGATTGATAACACTATAGATTTTGCATCAAACTTATTTCGTGACTTTATCTGTGACTGCGAATCATTGGAATGCATCCATCGATTTATGATCCTGACCCTTGATTACTTATCCACTTGTGACCCTGAATCATTACAATTCTAACAATCATGGACCTGAATCTCAACAGTCCATAATCAACGATTGATAAAATCACGACCTCGATTTTATGACAATTCACCGACTCTTTGAAAACAAATAATTTGGTTTTAGAATTGTCACTTCCCCAGCTTCCCCCATCCGAATCTCGAGCTGTCCACGTGAGCCATGTGTGCGACGACGATGGAACGTTGACCCGGCCGCGTGTCTCCACCGTGCGTGGTCCCAGCCGTCGTACTGGCGGGGCACGCAGCGCACGTACCACGTGTCGGCGGGCGACGGTGAAGGAGAGGGCGACGCCGAGGGCCCAACGAGCGAGTTCATCGAGAGGGAGCCCCTCGGCCTCGCCACCGGCGTCAAGATCCAGGGCCTCCGGAAGGTGCGCGCACAAACCCTGCTCCCGCCGCTGCCGTAGAATCCCAGCCGTGTCGGTAGGAAAGCAGGGCAGATGGGGCGTGCGGACACGTCAAGACAATTTCGTGGAAACTTTTTGGCGCTCAACCGCCCCTCCTGTGACGGCTCCATGGCTTGGCTGGGAAGTTGTTGTGACTGTGCTCTGGGATGTGCAGTAGACCTCGTGGACTCATTTCTTTGTTGTCGTAACTTTTTTGTTGTTTGTGCTTTTTGTTATGGTGTTTATCATTTTTTTTATCTTGCTTGGTAGTAGCAGAGATTTAATTTGTTTAGGAGTGGCTTTATACGGGATTTTATGTAATTAATGTACGGCGTTGTGGTATGCTCTTGGCATAACTGACGATGTATAAGATGAAAGTATTATCATTGTTGTGAACGGTCTCGACCAATCTTCGGCGGCCCCTTGCGTGTGACCTCTGACCTGGCCAGGTGTTTGGGAAGGGGCGGCATGAAAAGGAGGCTGTGAAGGGGCTGACGCTGAATATGTACGAGGGGCAGATCACGGCGCTGCTGGGGCACAACGGCGCCGGCAAGACCACGACGCTGTCCATCCTCACAGGCCCGTCCCTCTCTCGTGCACACACGTGCACGCACGCACGCACACGCACGTGCATGCACGCACGCACACGATCATTCATCAAGCATCTGAGCAGAGCAATTGTACCCAAACAGTGATGAGCAAGAGACTGCCACTATTTGGACGCATGTGTAGGATGGACAACGACGGGATAGTTAAACAGTGTGCTGCTGCTGCTGTTGTTGTTGTTGTTGTTGTTCGGAAGAATGGAAGGAACCGGAAAGAGAGGAAGACCTCAGAGAATGGCTTGACGATGATATTGAGAAGAGATTGGTGTCAGAACGATGTGGCCAGAACGATGTAGACACAAATGACGAAATGTGCAGTGCACACCTACGGGCTATATGCCCATGGATCGTGACGATGACACCATCTAGTTAATGAGTTGATGAATATTGCTTCTCTGTAATATTTGTTTACACGGGGGAACCAATATTTGTTCCCACCAGGCACATGTTAACCCCCGGATTAGGTTTTGGTGCTACCGTGGATCAAACAGATGCCAACCAATAGTTAATCATTACTTGAAGCAAGCCTCGGTAACTGTTTTACAATCAGATTGGAAAGTGTTTTTTCTACAATTGAGGTTTTAGTTAATAATTCATGCATGGAGACACGTAAAGAAATGACCTCGTAACAAAGAAATAAGGAAACTACTAACATTCAGAAGGGAAATCGGTGTCCCCAAATATTGGTTCCTATTCTGAGAGAACGTTTTGTCTGGCACCACTGTCCAGGTGTGCATTGTCCAGCGCCTTGTGACCTCCGGGTGAACGGCGTTTGTAGAAATGTAAATCATTATTATTTATTATGACAATTCCGAGTTTTGTACCTTCACGGCAGAGGTCGCAATCGGGTACCCGATACCCGTACCCTACCCGTACCCGGCTACCCGGCCGGGTACGGGTAGCCGTTTGCGACCCTGGTGCGGCCGGGTACGGGTAGCCGCACGTGACTCACCCTAACCAATGAGTCAGAAGGCCGTGAGTCACTGGTGAGTAACTGTTTGTCACTCATTTCCCAACGTCTTGTCTCTTCTCACAATTCAAGTTCCTAGAATCAACCCACCCGCGCCTGCAACGTGGCTTCATCCCAGAGGTCGCAATCGAGTACCCGATACCCGTACCCTACCCGATACCCGGCTACCCGTACCCGGCCGGGTACGGGTAGGGTACCCGTTTGCGACCCTGGTGCGGCTGGGTACGGGTAAGGAATCAAAACCCGTTTGCGACCTCTGCTTGACGGAGCCGTGCGTGACGTCCGCGCAGGCCTCTTCCCGCCGAGCGGCGGCACTGCGCTCGTCAACGGCTACGACATCCGCTACGACATGACGCTCGTGCGCAAGAGCCTGGGCCTGTGCCCGCAGCACGATGTGCTGTTCCCCGACCTCACCGTGGAGGAGCACCTCTCCTTCTTCGCCAAGGTGCGTCCGCCGACGGGTCCAGCAGCGAGGAGTGGAGGAGGGAACGAGATTGTTGCAAGGAGAAAAGAAAGGAGAAAAAAAGATTTCGATTTAAAGCTTTCGTGACTGCAGGGATTCATATTCTTGGTTCTTTCGGTAAAGTCACGTAGAAGGGAAAAAAATTTACAATTGTTTTTATTTTTTATATATTTATTATTTTATTATTTTCCGTCTACGTGACTTTACCGAAAGAACCGAGAATAGAAAAAAGATCTTCAATCTGTTTTAAAACCGGTTTGTCATTCGGTTTCACACTTTGGCTTTTGCGACCAATATTATCCACAATAAAGCGTATTTTTTGTGTGTTACATCGCGTAAATATCAATGTGTCGTTATGACACAAATGTGTCGTTACACATTCATGACACATTTATATTCATGCGCCCTAACCCAAAAACAAACCTTGTTTATAATTTCTTCTTCCCCATGCAATCCGATTGGAGATTAAATATCTGTTCAGATCTCACGGAGCGGTGTAAACCTCCCGTGTTTGAGAACGGCCCGTGGAAGCTGATATCGCAAAGTTACCTCTGACTGTTGTCGACGTGCCCTGCATTTGAGAGTAATTTGTGTTGCAAAGGCTGCGAAATTGAAATGTATCGTTCCATTAGCATGGTTGGCTACGTATGGTGCGAAAGAAGTTCAACATGCATACAAATTGAGCGCAGAAGCTAATTTACCGTGAAGATTTTTTTTCATGCAGTCATTGGTGACCGAGCTGAAACAATCAACTCGCTGCGCTGAGGACCTGGTTTAATTGCGGACGGACGGTTACAACCCAGATTCAAACCCGGGATCTCGATGGTGCCAGCTCAGTGATCCGACCTATGAGCCACTCGGTCATCTCGACTATTTCAACGTTTCTTTACCCAGAGATTAAGAGTCGCTGCCCATGAAGAGCACAGCAAAAGGGGTAGAACTACCGCCGTTACTCGCCAAACGTTCGCCGGGAAGTTGCCCGACTTCACTCGAGCTTCGGCCTCGTTGAGTTCGTCGTGAGACCGCTCCGGTCCCGCGTGCGTGTTGCCGCAGCTCAAGGGCTGCCCGTACGAGCGCGTGCCGGACGAGGTGAGCGCCATGCTCGCCGCCCTGCAGCTCGAGGACAAGCGGAAGGCGCGCGCCTCGGCGCTCTCTGGCGGCATGAAGCGCAAGCTCTCCATCGGCATCGCCTTCATCGGCGACCCCAAGGTGCCTGCGCCGCCGCCGCCCGATCGTCATCGTCTTCGTCCACATCGGTTCACTGCACCTGCGCGCACACAATGGCCGATTTCATTGCTCCATCTCCGGAGCGGTCGATCTCCCGGGCGTGTCCCCTCCACCCCCCCCCCTTCTCTTTAGCTGCCTCTCAGTCGTTAGTCTCGACCGACCCGCCACCATATCTAGGACGATCGAACGAGTGACTTGAGAAATCGGCGTGTGAGTAAATTAATCAGTGAGTGTGGGTACAGGTGGTGCTGCTGCTAAATTAAGTGCACATAGCCCGGTACAAGCACCGTGGTGACGTCACCGCCACTTAGTGGCAAATGGCGGTTGTTGTTGTTGCTGCTAAATGAATAAGTGAATGTGCGAGCGAGTACATGAAGGTTTGCATATCCAGACGGAGGAATCCGATGGGCTATGAAGCTTTTTTTCACAGTGTTTCTCAGATGTCCACATTCCAAACGAATGTGTTACGAAACGAACGAATGAACTGGCGACTAAACGAGCGAGTGTGCGCGTGTCCGCCAGGTGGTGCTGCTGGACGAGCCGACGTCGGGCATGGATCCGTGCGCTCGCCGCGCCACCTGGGAGTTGCTGCAGCGGCAGCGAGCGGGCCGCACCGTGCTGCTCACCACGCACTTCATGGAGGAGGCCGACGTGCTGGGGGACCGCGTCGCCATCGTCGCACACGGACGCCTCCAGTGCTGCGGCTCGTCGCTCTTCCTCAAGCGCAAATACGGTGACCGCCTGCCCCGGGGGCACGGGGGGGGGAGTGCCCGCCTGCCCCGGGGGCACGGGGGGGGAGTGCCCGTCAGTCCCGGGGGCACGAGGGGAGGGAGGGATAATTATTCCACAGGGTACCAGTGAGGAGGGAGTGCCTGTCTGTCCCTGGGGGCACGGTTGGGGGGGGTGGGGGGGACGATTGCTCGTCTGCTCCGGGGGCACGGAAGTCGTGAGCTCACCCCCTCCGCCCACCCCGGGGGCAGGCGAAAGCCGCCGTGTTAAACTAAGTTCAACGTGCCACATGCATGACCAATTGAGCCGTGCTGTAACCATTCTGTTTGTTGTTGTTGTTAATAAACGTATCACGAAATGCGTGGTTTTCTCTCGTCCGCAGGGGCCGGGTACCACATGGTGGTGGTGAAGCAGCCGGAGGCGGACGTCGCGTGGATCTCCAAGCTCGTGCACAGCCACGTGCCGGAGGCCAACCTCTCCAGCAACGCCGGCGCCGAGCTCGCCTACATCATGCCAGCCGACACCTCCCACAGGTGCCAGCTCCCCCCACCGCACACGCTACCGCACACGCTACCGCACCCCACCACCACGGCACCGCACAACGCCGCCGCACCCTGCCACTGCACACCATCGTCACACCCTCGCATGCACCCCACCATCGTACCCCACCATCACGCTACCACACCCCACCATCGCACCCCATGTCCAGTGTTGTCCTTCCCCCGCACCTCCCATTAACACAGGTGGCCATGTGAGGTGCGAAAGAAGTTCAACACACACACACACGTACCCTACCACGCACTCCATTATCCCACTACGGCATTTTACCATCACACCTTACCATCGCACCACACCATCCATCACACCACACTACCGCACTCCACCATCGCCGCACACCCCACCATTGTATTACCACACCGTACCCCCGAAACCCCACTGAGCCGCACACGGTATATATCCGACCTCAGGACGTGCCCACCATTTCCGCACGGCGATATGAGACGAGGTCATAGAGTTGCTGCTCTGGAACTGGGCCTCCACCTGGGTCAACCCACCCTGAGATGAGCGCCCGGTACAGCGCGTGAACGTCTTTGCTGCTGCTGCTGTTGCTGCTGCTGCTGTGTATTTGTAAGTGAATGCTTTCCCCGGGCCCAGGTTCGAGGGGCTCTTCACGGAGCTGGAGCGCCGGCGGGACGAGCTGGGCATCAACAGCTACGGCGTGTCGGTCACCACCATGGAGGAGGTGTTCCTGCGGTGAGCATGGCCACCAGGGGGCGCGGCTACCACGGTGGTGGGGGGGGGGGGGGGCCCGGGGGGGGGGCCCGGTGGGGGGGGGGCCCTTGTGCCCACGCCGCCGAACACGCTGTAACGCCAGCGTCTCGATGACTAACTGCGTAAAGGTCACGAATGAATTTTCTTGAGTAATGATTTCCAATGGTTTATAAGATTCTCTTGATTTTTTCCAATCATTGGGGGAGACCACCCAATCGGGATTTTTTAATGAACGGCAACAGCGGTTTCTACATAAGTAATGCATCAACATGGAATCAAAAAGGCAAACTACATTGGTGAGGGGGGGGGGGGGGCAGGGAAGCGTGGGAGGGAGAGCAGTACAGCCCGGGACGAAGCAACTGAGGCCAAACACCCACAATGAGCCCATTTAACACATTTTTTTAACAAATGGGCTCATTCATTAATCGTAGAAATCTCATTGAGTGAATGACAGCCGTTAACCAACTGAGTGGTGCAGTGTTTGTTATGAATGCTTATTATTTGTTTCTTTGATATTGCGCCCTACATTCTGGGGCATCTTCTCACAGCGCTTTACATCGCATTGCAAAGGGCACCCCCAGTGGCAGCTGTCCCTGTGGGCACAAGGTGACTCACCACCTGGCCTGGTGACGGGCATTAATCTGGCAGTGGTGGGCGATGATCACTTTGTAAGTTACTAATTGAGTAGTCGGCGGGTCAATTTGGAACTCGGCAAATTTGGACCCTGATACCGGCACGCGATGTCCTTCCCTCGCAAATGGCATCGAGGGATCTCTAACGTCTACCGCGAAGCAGACGACGCTTTGTCGTGGTCGTTACGCCCCTGGCTTTAACCGGGTCAACCGCCAGATTTGAACCGTGAACCTCTGCAGCAGCAGGCGGCCAACGCTCGCCTGCCAGGCCGTGTCGGCGCCCCTTTGCCGGCGTGGTTTCATTGGACGATAGCGGCGGGGCCGGCTCCTTGTGTGCGTCCGCGCCCCTGCAGCGTGGGCAAGCTCGCCGACTCGGCGCTGGACGCGCAGGCCAGGCAGCTGCCGCACCTGCACTACCAGCACGAGCGGCGCATGCATGACCTGACGGCCGAGACGGACAGCATCAGCGCCTCCATGGACGACACGAGCACCCTGGTATCCGAGGACCTGTCCAGCATCAAGCTCAACACCGGGGTGCGTGAATGGGCCGGATGCCGCTGAGAAGCCTGGGTTGGAATCCGGGTTTCGGCCGCCCCCTGCTTAACCTGGGATCCCGAGTGCGGCGAGTTGTGAGGTGGTCGGGCGGTGGATTTTGAGGTCAACTCGCACCGCAGGGACCCTGGGCTTCAGCCACCCACCGGAACCTCGCCTCGGATGTCAAGTGTCTCGAGTTGGTGGTCTCAGTCTCGTCACCAATGATTGCGTTTTGTAAAATGTTAAAACTGGGACAAAGAAAATCTCGATTTTCGCAAATTTTCTCACAGATATAACTGGCACAGCCTTATTGAAGCCACCGTTACTGTCCCAGCCAACCCAGGACGCCACGGTGGCGAGATGTTAACTACCTTGCCTGGTATACAGGAGGTCGTGGGTTTGACGCCTGCTGTATATTTGACGCCTGCTGTATATTTGGAGTATGCATGTTCTCCCTGTAGTCCTGTTGGATTTTTCTCCGGTTCCTCCACATTTAGAATGAACGTGCGTTTAGAGTAACCGGCTGCTATACATTTCCACATGATAAGCCACTTCGCTGAAGCTGTAATTTGTGACCAGGTCACTTCTGAAAAAGCCGTATAGCTCAGTGGGCCTTACCTGGTCAAATAAACAAAAATAGTTAATAGTTTATGGGACATTTAGTAACTTAATATACGCGTCCCGTTTGCCGCCCCACGTTCTCACCCGCGCCCAGATGTGGCTGCTGCTGCAGCAGTGCCGCGCCATGTTCCTCAAGCGCGCCGTCTACTGCTGGCGCAACTGGAAGGTGATGGTGGCGCAGTTCCTGGTGCCGCTCATCTTCACGACGGTGGCGCTGGTGGTGGCGCGCACGCTGCCCGGCCCGCGCGACTCCCCGTCCCTCGACCTGTCGCTGGCGCGCTACGGCGCCCACGTCACCGTGCCGTACGCGCTGGCGCCCGGCGCTGGGCCGGAGGCCGTGAGCGTCGCCCTCGAGTACCGGCGGCAGATCGCGGAGATGCGGACGGCCACGGCCGTGTTTGTCAACGACGATGTCAAGTACCCGGGAGGTGCGGCGACGCGCGGGGTTCTTACTCTCTCGTTTCCGTTCGGGTTCATTGCGTGAAGGTGCAACCCAAAGATTTGAACGGCCTCCATCTAACAGTTGCATTCCTTTTTGGTGCATTCTTTGTGGCTGCATGACACAAATTTGAAGTATGTACAGTATGTGGAACTTTTTTCGTACCGTACGTGCAAATCGGAGGTGCTGGGGAAGGACAACAAACTAATCACAACAACAAGCAGTTCTGACGAAATGAGATTTCAATCTAGTTTTAAAAGTGCATTGTTCATGAAAAAATAAAAATGCACGCAAAGCGGTGCGGCTTAGTAACCTTGTGTAACCACCGCCACTACGTGATTTGTGTCGCGTGCCGCCCCTAGAGATGTCAAGCGTTCGAAATGAAGACCGTGCTTCATATACGCAATGTGGTCATGTCACTTGACTTATCACGTTTGTCTCTATAATGATTGCTCTCCGAGACGAATCCGGCGAGCGGCTGCGAAAAGGAAGCTGCCGTTAAGCAAGCGGTGCGGTTCGTTCTCCGCGCTGCAGGCGACATCTGGGACTACCTGGTGGACAATGCGGAGGCGGAGGGCGGCTCCTTCAACACGCACTGCGTCGTGGGGGCGGCCGTGGCCGGAGCAGGAGCGAACGGCAGTGGCGGCGTGAGCGTCACGGCGCTCTTCAACGGGCAGGGCTTCCACACGCCGGCCACCGCCCTGCTGCTCGTCGACAACGCCCTGCTGAGGCACGCCGTCGGGGCCAACCACTCCATCTCCGTGCGCAACTACCCGCTGCCTCGCAACGTCACGGAGAGAGCCATGGACCAGTTTCACGAGTGAGCGTCGCGCTACGCACAAAACCACCGCCCGTTCATCCGTCCAACCATCCGTCGTGACAAGTCAAACGTAGGATTATTTAGATTATTTTGCTGTTAGAAATATCCACATGATAAGCCACTTTGAGCTATCATTTGTGGCCAGGTCACTCCTCCTCCCAGCTCTCGTCCTTTGCCCACTCACTTGGGAAACCCTCACAAGCAGTTGCACTTGAAAGCTTGCCCCCTCTTTTCTCTCCACCTGTTGAAGACCGCTTGTGTTGCGATCGAAACGTCAGGGTTTTTTTCCTTTTATTATTTTCAATTTATTAATTTATTTTTTTATTTTTAATCTACGTGACTTTACCGAAAGAACCAAGAATACGCTGTACATACAAATCCTTTATCCCGCCCCCCCCCCTCTCTACACCTGTCCTCCCCGACTGTGCAGGGGCCAGACGGGCTTTGCGGTGGCCTTCAACCTCATGTACGGGCTGGCGTCGCTGGCGAGCACCTTCGCCCTGCTGCTGGTGACGGAGCGCGCCACCCGCGCCAAGCACATCCAGCTGGTGAGCGGCGTGCGCGCCGTCTCCTACTGGCTCACCGCGCTGCTCTGGGACCTCTTCAACTACATGATCCCCTGCTGCTGCATCCTGGTACGCGTCTGCCCGCGTGTTGGCACGGTTGGCTACGCTCGGCGCGAGAGGAAGGAGTTGAACGTGCGCACGCGCGCACACATTACACCGCGTGCCCCCTTGCCGGCACTTGACGTCGCCCACGCGGTAGCCACGGGCGCGGCATTGCGTACGCGGTTTAGCGTTCGCGGTTCTCTGCACGTGGTTTAGTGAACGCGGTTAAGCTTGTACGTGTCTCTGTACGTAGTTTTGAGTTTACGCGGTTTCGCCTACACGCTTCTACGTCCACTGTTTAGTTTTACGTGGTTCTTCGTACGCAGTTTAGCCCCATTTTCTGCTCTTTCTGTTCGCGTGTTAAGTGTTGAAAAGTACGCAAAAGAAATGTGGAAGAGGTGCATTGTTTGGAAATAGACTGAGAGACAGGAAGAGGAACCCGTGGATTGGAGAACGTACGCAAGTTAGAGAGATGCCATATTAGCTGTTAAGAAAAGTAAGTGAAGTTGCAAAAATGCATGCACGTGTGTGTGTGTGCGTGCATTTGTGTGTGTGTTTGCACGTATATGCGTGTGTGTATATATGTATGCACGAGTATGCATGCACGTGTATATGTGTGCATGTGCAATCGTGTTTGCTTGCTTGTGCCGTGCGTGCGCGCACGCGTGAATGAGCACGCTTGCGTGCGCGTGGTTGCGCGTTTGTTTGCGGTGTCCGTGCGTGCACGCGCACGCACACACAGTGACACACACAGTGACACACACACAGTTCACACACATGTGCGTGCGTGTGTGTCCCGCAGCTGGTGTTCCTGGGCTTCGAGGTGAAGGCGTACACGGCGGGCGCACACCTGCTGCTCGTGCTGCTCATCCTGCTGCTGTACGGCTGGGCCGTCATCCCGCTCATGTACCTGCTGCAGAACTTCTTCAGCTCCTCGGCGACCGCCTACACCCGCCTCAGCATGTTCAACGTCCTCTCGGGCACCGCCAGCTTCCTCTCCGTCAACATCCTGCGCATTCCAGGTGCTCCCGGCCCTCCGGGCGCCTCGGCCCGTCCACTCCGGACGGCGCCACGCTCGCCGCCCTCCTTTGCTCGTTAGCCACTTCGTCAATTTTCTGGGTACATCGCACGTTTATTCCCGCGAGCGGGAATCGAACTCGGGTCGACGGGTTTTTTCGTAGTGCAGCCCCTGTGGTATCGCACCCGAGGTGAAGTAGTTCTCGTTTAAACATTCCCACAGCTTTTTGCGTTTTCCGCCCTGGTCATCGTGCTGTGTGCCACACTTAACGTAAACTTACGCGCGTGGTCTTTAGCCCTGGGGGGCGCCCGCCGCTGTCAGGGTCACAGCGTCTCGTCTCTCCCCCGCCCCTGCGCGCAGAGCTGGGGCTTCTCGATCTGTGCCACACCCTGGACAAGGTGTTCCTGATGCTGCCCAACTACTGCCTGGGCCAGTCCCTCAACTACTTCTACGAGAACTACCAGTTCATCCAGATCTGCAACAGCAGCATCCTGGCGCAAATCCTGTGCCGCAAAAACAGTGAGACCCGGCACCCACGCGGTTCGCTTCGAGCAGCGGTTCTTAAACTGGCGCGCACGCGACACCTGGGGGTGCGAGATGCCCTTTGTGGGGGTGCGAGACACATGCAGATGATTTTAGAAAGTAAACCATCGAAACACAAATTGAGCACGGGCACGTAAGTACAACTCATTTGCTTCATCAAACCTGTATTTTTTTTACATGTACGATGGAATACCAAAGGGATGCAAGGCTGCAGTAAAGATTAGCAAGCACTGGTTTATACCGAATCGATTCTTTCACCTGGTGTGGGGATGAACATTCTAAAAATTCTCACTAGGTGTGTGCCGACTTAACTTAACAGCACCACGACTGCACATTCAACAGCACTGAGCTGATACATTTACCCAGACTCAACTTGAGTCTTGGTCTTCACACATGCACCTCGTGTCAACCTGACGCATCCTGCGTCGTGGTCCAGCGATAGCGCTTTCGCCCCTTGTGACGGAGGTTGACGGTTCGAATCCTAGAATCCTAGCGGTGATTATTACTGCGGCGTATAATAACCACAATAATACTACTGACTACGTGCCTTCTTCTTCAAACATCCCCTGATGACATATGCAAAATCTCAAAAACTCAAACGAAACTATTTATTATTTTACCAGGTAAGGCCCACTGAGCTATGTAGCTCTTTTTACCAGAAGCGGCCTGGCTATCACGAATGATAGCTCAACGAAGTGGCTTATCACGTGGACATTTATAGCAGCCAAATTTCTCTAAAACGCGTGTTTCTAAATATGGAGGGAAAAACCAGAGGACATACAGACTCCACACGTACTGGTGTCATAGTTGGGATCGAACCCACGGCCTCCTGTATACCAGGCGAGGTAGTTAACATCTTGCCACTGTAGCACCCAAAAGAGTGTTGGTCTATGTGCACCGGCGTCAGGAGACTAGATTCCAAAATAACCCACAACTCATTAACTTGGCGTTACTCACACATAGCAGCAGCATCGCCCCCCCCACCCCCGTCCTGCCACCTAATGTCCCGGCTCACTCTCACCAATGCGGCTCTCTCCTGATCTCTCGTTGTCACCTGGTTACACGAAATGAACTTGCAACTTGAACTCGAAGCTGCTTGTTGACATCGACGATGCTGGCGACGAGTGCTTGTGTATGTATGTGTGTAAAAATCTAGATGATGATTTAAAATTGCATAGCTCCAGTGGCTTCCTAATATCAGAAGGAAGAGCGTTCCAGACAGCCACAGAAACGCATCTGAAAGCGCGTGATGCTGTGACCGTCTTTGTTCGATGGTTAGCCAAAAGCCGCTGCTGCTGCTGCTGCTGCGAGGTTGACCAGAGTTCACGTGATGGTGGCTGACGCTCCTTGACGAGCACGATGGCAACATGTTCATGATGTCGTCGCCGCCGTTCCCCTCCCCCGCCCCTCACCTCCCGCACCGCGCCGCAACAGACATCACGTACCAGCTGGACTACCTGGCGTGGCAGCCGTACGGCGTGGGGCGCTACCTGACGCTCATGGCCGTGCAGGGCGCCACCTACCTCCTGCTCGTCTTCCTTCTGGAGCTGAACGCCTTCCGCAGCCTGGCGCGGCTCTGCCGCAACCTGTGCCACCGCCACCCCTGGGTGAGTGTTTCCCGGGCCGCTTGGATCTGGAGATGTTTTTTTTTGTTTGATTTGTGTCGCCGTTGTTATCAGACCTCCGCTGCCGTGCGATCGGGGCTCGGAGAGATCCAAAATATTATTTTGTCCCACGACGTGATCGCACAAATTTGCGATAAAGACAATTACAAAATCAAAGAAAGCCACCATTCAGTGTCGTCAAACTGTTGTGTGCGTGTGTGTGTGTGCGTGCGTGTGCGCGTGCGTGCGTGTGTGCGTGCGTGCGCCGCAGTGGAGGGCGCGCGACGCGCAGGTGCCGGTGCAGGAGAGCAAGGAGGACGAGGATGTGGCTCGCGAGCGGCTGCGCGTGGCCAACGTCTCCGCGGCCGCGCTCTCCGAGCAGCTCGTCGTCAAGGACCTGCGCAAGGTCAGGAGATGCGGGGGGGGGGGGGGGCTGGGGCCCTGGCGAGCGGTGCTGCTTGGAGGCTGAAGCTACGCAGGCTTGAGGTTGGAGAGTGAGCGACAGGTGTTATAGGCTGTGGGGTTAACGTGGTGGGCAGCAGAGGGCGGCACGGCGTATTCCATTGTTGTGCTGCAGTTTGGGTCTCCCACGTCTGCGCTGCCTCGGCCTTCACCGTCTCGCGCTGACCAGCGTGGTGAAGTATGACCAAAGTAACTCCCGCGACACGGAGGGACGTGGGGAGCCCCTCATCCAGCAGTGGATTGGCAAAAGGGCTGCACGTGTGCGTATATCATGACAAAAACACAAGTAGATAATAAACCTCCTTTATTAAAAACTACTTGAAACTATTTTATTTTACCGGATAAGGACCACTGAGCGACATAGATCTTTTTCAGAAGCGACCTGGCTATCGCAAATGATAGCTTGGCGATGAACGTGTAGAATGAACCTGAACAGTGATCCTGGACAATCACGACCACCGTAGAAGGAACGACCGTGAACCGTGAACGGTGACATTGAGTGAGCCTGAGCGATGACCCCGAGCGATGACCCCGAGCGACGCCGATGACCTCCAACAGGTGTACGGGGTGAAGAACCCGCTGGTGGCCGTGGACGGGATCAGCATTGGGATCCCGGCGGGCGAGTGCTTCGGCCTGCTTGGCTTCAACGGCGCCGGCAAGACGACCACCTTCAAGATGCTGACGGGCGAGGAGACGGTGACGTCGGGCGACGCCGTCATCGGCGGCTACAGCATCCTCACCGACATCCGCAAGGTGAGCGCCGCTGCCGCCGCCGTCTCCTGCCGCTCCTCGGCAAGGATGCGTCACCCGGCTCTGGCGGGGCGGGGGGGTGGTGGGGGGAGGCGTGAAATGAAGAGGGTGGTGAGGGTCGAAGAGGGTGGTGAGGGTCGAAGGCGGCGGCGAAAACGTTAGAGGCGATGAGCACGGCAAGTTAGGGGGGTAAATCATTATTTTGTTTATTTGCTTTGACGCTTTCCAGCTGAGGTTGAAAGCGTTTGCGTTTTGGTTCTGTCTGTCCGTCCATCCGTCTGTTCTTATCAGAATCCTTATATAAAAAAAAAGATTTATATATATTTTTTTATACTAGAGGTATCCGGTGAGCTATAAAGCTCTTTTTCACAGATGTCCGGTAGTGTTCACGGATGTCTGGTAAGGGGAGGGGGCGGCACAATAGCTCTGATAAAGGCGATTCAATGTGAACTCAACTTTAACATCAAGTTGTGTTGCTATTTTAGAGACTTTTCCAATTGAAAACCGGCCAGATGGATGAAATTATTGCCCACAAATTGGATAACCAAACCAGTGCAAACGCGTTTTGCCCTGACAGCTGTCGGTTGGCTTCCATGAAAACAATTGAATACTTCCTACGCATGTTGTGAAGCATTACATCAGCCATGCGAATGCGTGATTCTTCTTACTTGCCATGCAAATGCCTGATTATTCTTCATTCTTTTATATGTGGATCGGAGCGATCGCAACAACCCTTCTCTCCCTACTCGTCCTGAATAGACAGTCAACGATAGGCATGTCCACAATTCCACTCTTATGATTTTATTCATTGTCATGGTTTTAGGATCCCAGTTCAATAAAAAAAGTCGACACTTTTCTACGTTAGTAAAAGGGGGCATCTTTAAAAGCGAGAGTATTTGCACGGCCCAGTTACACACGGCGTGTACGAATCGAAACCGGTGACATTCTGCCACGCGCAATTTGATGCGTACAAAAAGTGAGGGCTATGATTGATATTTTTTCTCTGATTAATCGATGCGTCGACACGTACCAAGTGGACATCTATAGACGTCGCTATGAAGGCATTTCAGAGGTCTTACCTTGGGGTGACAAACTCAAAAGAGTCTACCCCTGCCGGGGTTCACACTTCTTAGGTCATCACCGTTGTAAACCCCGATCCGTATTTATTCTCTCTCGTTGAAACTGTGCAAGCAAATTCCTCGTTTATGGTATCAAAGCGAAACACCGGGCTCCAGGAACTTTTCATGTTGGCTCATGGCCTGTGCCGTCAAAGCTGATTTCATCGGCGTAAGATGTCCTCTGCGCGACACCGTTGTGCATGCATTCATGACGGGATTTTAATTTAGCTTTTTTGTTCGACTATTGATTGCATAAGTTAAAAGTTTGGAAATAACACGTATGTATGTATGTATGTTGAACTTCTTTCGAACCGTACGTTATCGCCTCGCACGGTCGGTTGGTTACGGACGGTGCGACGGAACTTCAACATACATGCACACAACCGTGCTGATCGGAGGAGGTGTGGGGGAAGGACAACAAACTAAACACGAAAAAATATGCACTTACCAAGCGACCCAGGCGGTACCTGGACACGGAGACGGATGCTAACGATAACGACCAACTGCGGAGTAACGTCATCCCGCGTCTTGACTGGAATCGCGGTTGCGCGCGTGTGTGCGAGTCAAGGTGCAGCAGCGAATCGGCTACTGCCCGCAGTTTGACGGGCTGCTCGAGCACATGACGGGCCGCGAGACGCTGTGGATGTACGCGCGCCTGCGCGGCGTTCCCGAGCGCCTCATCCCGGCCATGGTGGACGACGCGCTGCGAGCGCTGCTCGTCGAAGCGTACGCCGACAAGCTCGTGCGCACCTACAGGTGGGCCACGCATGCCACGCACGCCACGCACGCCACGCACGCCACGCACACCACACATGCCACTGCGGCCGCTCCGGGGTGACCAATAAGGTGTGAATTGGTCTGTCATGAGGGAGGCGCCGATAAGCGGTTCGCAGCGATGCCTTCATGCATTGCCACTTCCTTCTGTGCCCTGGAACCCCCCCCACCCCTTGTCATGCCTGACGATCTCTCGCCGTGCCGTGGCGCATGCCCCGGATGGCGCCTCCTCACCGACGCAGCGGTGGCACCAAGCGCAAGCTGAGCACGGCGGTGGCGCTCATGGGCTCTCCGCCCGTCGTGTTCCTGGACGAGCCGTCCACGGGCATGGACCCCGTGGCGAGGCGGCTGCTGTGGGACGCGCTGAGCCGCGTGCGCGAGGAGGGCAGGGCGCTCGTCATCACCTCGCACAGGTGCGTGTGTGCGTGTGTGCGTGTGTGCGTGTGTGTACACGTCATGAGGCGGCCGGGCGTGGGGCTGGCCACCCACCCCCTCGTGTGCCGTGCCGGCCTTCATAGGTGCTCGCTAACAGCACTTTCCTTGACAGTCTGTTAAGGCTATACGGGGGATCTTTGTTTCTTTATACGTGTGGCCCCATCTGTGTGTGCACCTGCAAATGATCAAGAATGTGATTAATTTTGAGTAATTAGCATTATTATTATTACTACATTGTATCTGCCATGCCCACTTTCTCATTTTGACCTCATCTCAATGTTTAACCGCACGTGATTGATTCTGGGGGGGCCTTTATCCAGCAGTGGATTGCCAAACACCTGTAAATGTTGGCTGGATTATTATTGCCATATCAGAGTATATAAAAGAAATATTTTGTGGTGGAATTGTCAACATGAGTTTCGAGCGCCCCCACCCCCTCCCTCCGTGTTAAAACGCTGTCCGCCCCCCCGTCTCCCGGCCACGTGCGCTCCCCAGCATGGAGGAGTGCGAGGCGCTGTGTACACGCATCGCCATCATGGTGAACGGGCAGTTCCGATGCCTGGGCAGCCAGCAGCACCTCAAGTCGCGCTACGGCAGTGGCTACACGCTGCTGGCGCGCATTCGCGCCGAGCAGGCCGACACGCAGCCCTTCAAGCACTTTGTCGAGACCACCTTCCCCGGTAACGGAACGCCGGTTTCACGGTTCGCGCCTCGATCGATCGATGATTTAAATGCCGCGGGTGCGTTGCGACGAGCTCGCAAACGAACACGCGGAAAGTATTGTACGTAAAAGCAAACGAGTACGACTTGGCGAGAAAATAGGGTAGGGGGGTGGGGGAAGATTTGGAGGGGACTGATAGGGAAACGAGCGACGAACGGCAGATGGACCACGACAACGAGCCACGCACGTACGGGGGGGGGGGGGGGGGGGGGTGGACAGCCAACGGAGGGTCCTCGGCACCAGCAGAATGCCGCCGGGGAAGTCGGGAGAAACTCGATGTGTCAACAAAAAGTAAATCGGAAAAACACTCATCGGGGGAGCCCTGCCTTCACACAGAGACACAGAGATAAAATGCAAAAATCCAATCGGCTGATGTTTTGGGTGGCGTGGCACTTCTTATGAGCGGAGAGAAATGGCGTAGGAATTAACCAGCATGGTGACGTATGGTCAAACAACCCCCACGATGACACAACACTGCATGGAGATGCCTTCATCCAGCAGTTGATTGACAAAGGCCTGTAAATAATAATTACTTATATACAGGATACAGTTTTATGTCTGTCTTAAAGACATTAACTCTGTCCATGTAATTGCAGCACGTAATGTATTTGTGCGTATCGAGTTGGACTGAGGTAAAACTGGCATTGCCATCCATTCGTACAAAAATCAATTACCCCGAAAGTCTCATCTGGATTTGCTCTCGCGAGATGCAGCTGACCCAAGTGTCACGTTACAGAGTACACAGTGCACCGATTGAATGCATTCCTGTCAACCCATGCGGTTTACCCGGTATTCTTGTACAGGGAAATTGAGTTTTCAGGTCCATACAGCATACAGCGCTTTCAATAGGGCAATTTTATTTTGTCTATTTGTTTGTGTTTCTCCCTTGTGATGGGACTTTTTAGGATGCACGTTGAGATTTCTAAGGGCACGGGATGACTAATGAGGTTTGAATTGGTCTGTAATATGGCAGTCACTGATAAGGGTTGTCAGGAATGCAAACGTGTCTTTCCAATGCAGATATCACGTGTCACGCAACATGATGTTTCTGTGTTCTTGATTTTGTTACGTCTGTCGTGTGGGGGTCGTTCCTTCCGATTGCAGGCAGCATCCTCAAGGACCAGCACCAGGGCTTGGTTCACTACCACCTGACCGACATGGACATGAGTTGGGCCCAGGTACACACTCGGCAGTCGTCCAGAACAACGCGGCTGACGGCACACACGTCGCGAGCGCTCCTCTAGCTGTCAACGCTCGCAAACCAATCCCAGCCATGGCTGACTTTTGAGTGGCACGTGGAAACCGTCCAACTCACCTCTGTCGCCATCCTGTAGTGACCAAGGGTGGTGATGCACGGGGAAGAACCGGCACGGCACGGGGGAAGCCTTCATCCAACAGTGGATTTTGACCAAGAGGCTGAACATTGTTTCATTATTTTAAATAATAGTATGCACTGTACAATATGTCATGCTTGCAAATAGGCAATCCAAAAATGTTGTGATCCTGTAATCGCAATGTTGTAATACAGGGTGCTTCAAAAATGTTTAACACTTATATGGGATTTAAAGCTTTCGTGACTGCAGGGATTCATCTTCTTGGTTCTTTCGGTAAAGTTACGTGACTTTACGGAAAGAACCAAGAAGACTTATATGGGACTTTCGTTTTTAATGGAAAAATAATGGATAATACACTGTAGCATGATAACAAAGGTCATGTTAATAGCTTCAACGAGTCTCCACTTGTTCGCCATCATTGTCAACGCATGCCTGGAATCTTCTTCAGGTGGTCTCCAGAGCCCGGAGGCACATTTCTTGTGGTATTGTGGCAAATTCTCAGAAGTGTTAAAAACATTTTTAAGCACCCTGTACGACTGTTGCTTTTATATAACCTGCGGGTATCAGGAATTGCGGTATCTCGGGTAGTGGACGCGACGGCCACAGCGCCAGAACACGACCCCACTGGTGGATTTTGCTGCTTCTGAAAAAGAGCTAGACAGCTCAGTTGGGCCTTACCTGGTAAAATAAAAAATAAAAATTGGTGGATTCATCCCGCTCATCCCCTGTACGTGTCCTCTGCCAGGTGTTTGGGATGCTGGAGAAGGCCAAGCGAGACTACTGCCTCGACGACTACTCCATCAGCCAGATCTCCCTGGAGCAGGTCTTCCTGGGCTTCGCTCGCTTTCAGCGGCACACAGAGGAGCGCCCCGAGTGACCTCCCCCCCCGACCCCGCCCCCGCGTCACCGCAGCCCGGGAAACAGCGTCTGAAGATCCTCGTCGGGAGGGGCTGGGCTTGTTTTTGGCAAGGGCGCTCGATTGCTCGCTCGCGATGGGCGACAGGCGGCGTTGCCAGCAGCGCCCGTGAACCCAGGTTTAAGCGCCGTCCCCAGCCATCAGGGCGACGCGGCCACGCCCGTCGTCCCACTGGAATCGCCGTCGCCGCAACTCTCCGTCCATTCATGCGCGACGACGGCTGTCGCGTTGTTTGCACTGCACGATGACCTCCGCTCAACAAAGAGTGTTTCCGTCTTGGGGTCCGCGTATCCTTTCCGCCGACGGCGGACGCGGTCCCGTTCTTTTAAAATGAAAATGAATTTCACTTGGCGTGAGAAGCATGCAGGCGCGCACACGGTCTACTCGTGCATGCCACTTGCACTTTCATCTGTAGAAGTGCCTGAGCGTTTGCGATATGAGCTGTACATCGTTTTCCCTTGCAGACGCCGGTGAAAGCATCGATGATTTCTCACGCTCTTGTCGACACTTAACGCGTGCACGCGTGAATTCAGCTATCGCTGGCAGGGTGGACATGAAGTTACGTTCGTCGGTAATTATGTTGCAGATCTCAGATATGAAAATTTCAGTTAGTTTTTCTCATATGGTCGTCATACTGTAAATTCCAGTTTTTTGTTTCAATATACTGATATATATACGTTTGATGTTATATGAACAGATGTCTTCTATAAGGTATATTTTGCACACAGTTACTTTAAAAAAATCGATGATAGATAAAGCAATTTTAGCTACAGTACTCACATTACTGTCTTGCTTCCACGTTCAGGTTTTGAGGGAATGCTACATCTGAACCAACTCCCGTCAAAAGGATTGCGTTATATCCGTGCACGCATCATAAATGACCTCGGTTTCACAGCTGTCTCTCGGCATGATCAGCGTTCTGCTTTCAGCACACAGCTTGGAAACACATTTGTAATGAAAGCTGCACTTTTGGCATTCTCTCGCATGCGATCGTTTATAGCTCACTCCCTCTCACCTCTCCACGTTTGCTTTTAAACATTGCCAGTTTGGCCTGAGTTTATAATACGCTTGCGTCCAAGCCAGCCCCCCACGTGGACCCGAGGAGTTGTGACGTTGGAGCCAGTGGCTTTGGACGTCATCTCTCGTCATTGCGTACGAGAGCCCACCGTAATATCGCTGTTGACCGTATAGCACGGCTGCCACAATACACATCGGGCTCTCTCTGAGCAGTTGGATTTCGAGCCCTCCTTCGATCAAAGATCGAATCAGGGCGATGGATTTTGTGCGAGTGCCGGGTTTAGCGGACCAGCGTCCGTTCGCATGCCGATGGCGCTGTGGCGTCACCTGCATGTGAACGGAAGCGTCAGGAAACCCAGCGGCATTTGTTTAACGGGGCTGCACCATGCTGACGAGAAGCAGAAAGTCGAAATCGGTTTGCTACCGCAAGCTGTTGGAAAAGATTGTTACATTAGGCCCCGCAATCTGATTGACCAAAATGTCATCTTTACACGGGGTAAAGGAGATCGTTGTCTGTGTGCACATTATTTTTCTGTTATCCATGATTGGAGGCCGGGCTTCCAACATCAAAGAGTCTCGCACGGCCTTTCAGCCCCCAGCTCTTGGCTTCTGCTCACTTTCGTGGCCGTGGACGGCGTTGTGGGTGCACAGCCCTCGCCGCGAAGTCCGTGGGTCTCTGTCATTCCCGTAGAAGGGGGGCGCGCCTCCGCACGGCTTCGATGCGCAACTCGCCGTCTCGGGAATTGTCCTGCTGGGTTCGGGCATGAGAGTCCGCATTGATGCGTGACCTGTTTTGTGGCCGCGCAGTCAAGAGGTCGCTCAAACCGAACTTTTTCATTTCCTCGCATTCTCCGCCCACATTGAGCCTACACAAGACACGGCTTCAATTTGGCGATTGTGAGGTTTTTGTGTTGAGTATACACTGGTGTGGGGGGCTGATGATCTCAAAGGGAGCTATCAGGTTCTGTGTAAATACAACTGTGTGCCGTGCAAATGGGACGTTGTTATTACAGCCTTGGGGCTTTAGGTTATTTCCGTGCTCGTTGATATAAAATATCGTTGCTTTTTCCATTTTATATCTGGTGGCTTTTGTCATGGGTTGAGCTTGTGGACCACTATTAGGTGAATTTGGCACGTGTTTTTTTTAAACCAAAATCAAGCACTCAATGCAAATAGAAAATATACCGTGTTTTTCAAAAGAGAATTTAACAACAGCACATATGTTTATCGATAATGGACTTAAGAGAGCTTCAATAAGTAAATACGTCTGATCTCAACCGTGCACACAAATGCAAGTCAAAGTGTTGGATAAATTACTTAAAATGACACTTGAAAGGTCGATGTGTGTCCGCAGTGCAATTCAGGGGTGATGCTCAATTCTGGCCGCATTCCGTTGATTTGGTCTGCCGATCCGTGCCCAGAGCGCCGAGCGCAGCGGGCACGAGTGCAGCTGCCATGTCGTAGGCGCCGTCATCCGTTTAAAATCCTTTTTTAAACCGAAAGCCACTCCGCAGATGTGACGCTTGAGAGAAGCCCGCAGTGTCGTGGGAGATCCTCCACGCGGCGGACGCTCTTCCACTCTTCCCACTGCGCGACCGAGCCGTATCCGGCGCCGTGCCGAGCCCGGGTCGGCTCAGGGGGAGCGGCGGTGGGGTTGTTTGTCCCACCGCATCGGCCGCACGCGGCGAGCAGGTTGAGGGGTGCTCGTAGTTGACGCTGTGCAATGGTGACGACATCACCACTTCTATTTTAAAGCATATGTACTTTTATACGTGGATATCGGAGCGTAGAACTATTTGATTTCATTGAGCTGATTTATTTGGGCTTCATGTCTGCCAGTTCCTTTTAGACCAGGCTTCCCAAATTATAATTCTCGCTTCAAGCCGTAGTGCTGGGTTATTTTTAAAAAATAAAATACTGTTTACGCAATATCTTTAAAAATAAAATTTCATACAATTGCGGAAGATTGGTGAATTTAAAATGTGGACCATTGCACGAATGAGGACAAGCTTAGATGAGCAAGTTGATCTTTGGGGGGGGGGGGGGGAAGCTACCTGTGAACATCCAAATACTGTACACATCTAATACAGGCCTGTGCGAGGCCGTGCTTAAAGTTCCAGACGTACCCCCCCCCCCCCCCGGCTTGCTGACACGTGAAGCTGATTTTTCGACGTTAAAAGGATCGCGTCTGCCTTACGTCGATGCCGTGCGCGTGCAAGTGGCGAGTTGCGTGCGATTACTTGAAAGCATCGCCGTCGGGACCACTAGGCAGACAAACGAAACTCAAAAAAAGTCTCGATTGTGCATCTGGGCCAAATAAGTGTGGAGCCAGTGGCGTTCCGTGTTGGTGGCCGTCACTCGCACAGTTCGCCCATCGCGCCCGAGAGAGATGAGCGAGAGAGGAGCGAGAGAGGAATCCGATCTTCGTGCTTTCCGTGGAACTCGCGAGCTCAGACCACGCTCGTGGTCGGCAGGGCCAGATTCAGTTTGATGGGGGGGGGGGGGGGGGAGCGGCCCGAGGGCTGTTCTAGTTTAGGGAGGCGGTGGGGAGGGGGTGTCTTCTTTCTATCTTCAATTTCTTACCTTTTTTTCATCATCACCTATGCCCGGTGCCAAACACTCCATTGTTGTCATTCAGTGTGGTTATTTAAACAGAACAAGCTTAACACAATTATTTTAGAATGTGTCACATTATTTGGTGGAGAATACAGCGGTGCTTTGACTATAATTATATCAAATTGCCTATAGGATGTATGACATGGATACAGTATTGCATTTAAGCCGTTATAAAGCAGGACATTTGGGGGGGGGGGGCAGCCCCCTAAAACTCCGAGGTCTGAGCTCCACACGATGCGTCACAAACCCGCCGACGACTCACTCGCTCGCCTGTTCTAAGACCAACGATTGGGGAATAAAATAAAACTTCTTTCCTGCCAAGGATTTTCCATGCATAACCATTTGAGTTGAGCCCTCTCGGGTGAGGCGTGGGGCTTGCGTTTGTTAGTTTTCGTTTTTACTTGGTGCTGTGGAATGTCTTGCAATGAAAAGGGATTTAGCATTTAACGAAAGTGATTGTACATATGCAGACATATCTACCTTGTTGATTTGTAGTAGCTTACTTAGCCTGAAATTGTGATTTGTTTTTAATCTGGGTGGTTAGCGTGTGGCAAGATTTTGTTGAAATGTTTTTCCCCCACTAAAGTCTCTATCGAATGTTTAATCGTGACCGATGAGCGGACATGGCAGACATGCCCGCTTGGCATGTCCCGATCCCGTTCGAGTCTGGCCCATTGATTTGGTGAGATGAATGGGACGCCATCCTCGCACAGTGCACATTTCTTCTCCTCCACGCTCGCTGGGGAGAGACTGGTGGGTGGGACAGAGTGAGAGTGACCGTCAGCCACAATGAATTTTGTTCCAGATCCGTCCTGCCAGCTGTGTGTGTCCAGCACGGAATATTAATAAGAGAAGCTAACACCATTCAATGGGTATTTCAACAGACTCGGCCGTTCAGTCCGTTCGAAGGGGGAGACGTCTGTCGCTGTGTGGACACGTCGCCCCGTCTCGTTACGTGACCTCCCGCAGCGAAACTGCGCTCACTTCGGTTGGCGATCGACGTTCGGACGACGTATCGGAGCGAACCGCGACCCTAAAAAGGAATAGCACTGCCCACGTGGTGTAGCCCCCCGTGATCCGTGGGTCAAACAATTCACTCGAGAGCGTTTTTTTGTTGCGAATGCTGTCGCAAAAGGTCACACGTTTGGCGCAACGGCCCTTCGCTGACTGTGCGTGATGATTGATTTGCCATTCGGTGTTGTGTTGTTTTGAATGAATGATGGGGGAAGGTTCGTGCTCTCTCAAGAGGCTTAACCCAATCTGCCCGTCTTAACCCGAAGATGGCATTCCATTTTCTCGTCGCATCTTTGTTTTGTATTCGATTGCGGTTGTGTGATTGATATGCTTCTCGTTGTTTGGCAATTTTTCTGTTTCTTATTTGCAAAAAAAATAGTTTCAAACGGTTCTTGTTTCAATGTATGACTGTCCTTGATTGATAATGGACTTTAAAAATCTGGGTTGATAACAATGCAAGTGTGCGGTTCTGCTTTGTTGTTTAACTTGTTCAAAACCATTATTTATAGTCTTGTAACAAGAGTAATTTATAAATTACCTTTTAAAATATACAGTCGTGTTATGGTCTCCATTAACATATGTAATATAACTCATTTGCATGAAGCTAAAATGAAAAAAACACACCAGCGAGAGTCGGAGGCGATAGAAATGTTGATATACAGTACAACAAGTGATGTGTACACCCTAAGTAAGTAGTTTGTACGCCAATACTCGACGCAGAAGATACTTGGCTTCGATCGTCCGCGAAGTTCCAGGGCCGCAATCCGAATCTGCACAAACGATGGCAGTTGCGGACACTTGATGCAGAGGAGATGTTGTCACGTTCGCTCTCCAGTCGGTGTGCCACTGTGGTCACCCAGGACACACCATTGGACATCTATCGACTCAATGCCCCATTCACAGATGCGAAGGAGGCATCACCGCGATAAACCATTTCTCGCACAGTTGCGTGGCCTCAATCGCCGCATTGCAACATGATAGTTATCGCTGTGTACACGGTGCCGGATGAAACGAGTGCGGGGCCTGTAGAATGTTTATAAAGGGGCCCTAAATTTAAAAAAATATTAAAACACATTTTTTACTTTCACAGTAAAGTAATTGTATTTTTTTATTTGCTATACAGCCAGATAATACGACCAATCGTTAACCTTAAACACCCAGACGTTCATACAAGTGAAGGCAGTGTAGTACTATAGTAACAGAGAGAATGCAGAATCACTGAACCGGAATTTAAATCGAAACGGAATTGATAGCTTGATGAAAGCATTTAGAGCGGGGCCCTTGAAAGTGCGGGGCCCGTAGCTACTGCATATGTAGTAGCTACTACTAGCTACTACACGTGTAGTAGTAGCTACAACACGTGTAGTAGCAGCTACAACACGTGTAGTAGCAGCTACAACACGTGTAGTAGCAGCTACAACACGTGTAGTAGTAGCTACAACACGTGTAGTAGTAGCTACAACACGTGTAGTAGTAGCTACAACACGTGTAGTAGTAGCTACAACACGTGTAGTAGTAGCTACTTTTGCTACTAGGATAATCCGGCACTGGCTGTACATCAACAGCAGCCACATGAATGAGACTCCAATTCCCAACTATTATCTGGACCAATCGGTCCTCTGTGTCATGGACCTCAAGACCAGGCTCAATATATTTCCTCTTCTCTGCTTTTGAATGGAGGGTCTTGGTTGGCACACTGTGGTTGTGTGTACACACACATCCACTGGTTGGCACACTCTGTGGTTGTGTGTACACACACATCCACCCGTTTCGCCTGTGCGATGCGTCCCAATCCTTCGCACAGCATCTTGAGGTGTGGCTGCATTTCGATGTCACGTTATTGTTACAGATTGCAAGTCCACCGCACAGAGCGAATGACGGAACATTCGAGCACACACTCGTCAATAACGGCGCCTGAAAAAGAAAACCGGCGGGCGACGTTTCGAGCAATGGCCCTTCAGTAAACCTGTCGCCCCTGCTTGGCTACCGTGACCTCGTGTCAGCCAGCCCTCGACACTTCACGTGGCCTCAGGGTGCACCTAGCCTGGCACAAGCGCTGCGGTGACGTCCCATCCACTTAGACGCGAACTGTGGCTGTCTTTGGTAATAATTTCAACCGCAAAACGGGAAGATCAAAACCTGAAGATAATCGGTTTTGATCTTCCACGAAGCTCGCGGTCCACTCCTTATCAGCCACGGCAGGAGACGCGGACAGCTGATGCACAACTTGCAACGTGAAATCCCTCCAGCAGTGCAGTCCCGAGCCAATGCCCGATCGGCAAACACGGAGGAGAGGTCGCATCTTCAGTTTCATGTATTTGGTAGAGCCCTGTGAGCCATTCGGCTCTTGAATCGGGTGCAACCGCAACCAACAAAAAAACTAAAACATGAACAAGAAAACATCTTAAAGTGAATATGCGCACACAGAAAAATCCAGGAAAAAACTGCAAAATATTCCACAAAAAGCACCGTACACCAACGCTGTGTGCAAAAATCCGAGTGGGATGCAAGTCAAACAACAACCACAAGACAACTTAGATTAAAGCCATCAGTCTAACTCCGTACTGCAACAAACAAACATGGCCAAACCAAAAACCGTTTTCGAAATCACCAAAATAAAGCCATAAGCAATGTAACAGTGATCATAGGAACTGTGACCGAAATTTCACAATAAACGACATGAACAACATAGACCACCAAAACCCTACAGCCATAGCTGGCTGCATGAGTCACTCCACAACAGCAGGAGCATCAGTAGGAGTATCAAAATTTTCAATGCACCTTTACAGAACAGCACACTAAATAAAAACTCAAGATCATACGTTGCAGCGGTCATCCGGAGCGATACATTTGATTTCAGGCCACTGAATAGCAGTGGCAGCTCGGGGTGTACAACTCCTCTAGAGCAGTTTTGAGTGCAGATCTCACAGGTCGTGGTCCAAGTTGAAGATCTCACAGGTAGTGGTCCCAGTTGCAGTGAGGGGGGGGGGGGTGTGAGGGGGGGGTGTGAGGGGGGGGGTGTGGGGGGTGTGAGGGGGGGGAGAGGGAGAGAGAGGGGAGTGCGAGGGGGGAGGGGGAGGGAGGGGGAGGAGTGTGAGGGGGGAGGGGAGTGTGAGGGGGGGAGGGGGAGGGAGGGGGAGGAGTGTGAGGGGGGAGGGGGAGGGAGTGTGAGGGGGGAGGGGGAGGGGGAGGGGGGTTGTGGGGGTTGGTGTGTAGGGGGTGGAGAGGGAGGAGAGAGGGGAGTGCGAGGGGGGAGGGGGATGGAGGGGAGGAGTGGAGGGGGGAGGGAGTGTGAGTGGGGGAGGGGGGGGAGGGGGAGGAGGTGTGAGGGGGGAGGGGGGAGGGGGGAGATGTGTGAGGGGGAGGGGGAGGAGCGTGTGAGGGTGGGAGGGGCTGGAGGGGGCTGGAGTGTGAGGGGAGGGGCGTGATGAGGGGGGAGGGGGAGGGAGGGGGGTTGTGAGGGGGGGGGGGGTGTTGATGGGAGGGGGGGTGGGGGGGAGGAAGTGTTGAGGGGGGAGGAGTGAGAGGGGGGAGGGGTGTGTGTGAGGGGGGGGGAGGGTGGCGAGGGGTGAGGGTGTGCAGGGGGGGATAGTGCGAGGGGGAGGGTGGGAGGTAGTGCAGTGAGGGAGAGGGGGGAGGGAGGGGGGGTCACGTGGGGTCACCAGCTGATCTCCGAGCGCTCTCGCGCCGCTCGCTTCGCGATCACGGCGCTGGCAATGGCGGCCGTGGAGGAGGAGGAGAGTCTCGAGTCGTGGCTCAGTGAGTCGTCCCGTCTCCCTGTCGCGCTGCGTGCGGGGTCGACGCCGCCGCGTCGTGTCCCGCCCGCAGCCTTCAGCCTTGGCGGCGCTCGCCTCCTTTGAGTCTGTCGAGTAGCGGCGCTCCGTGCGTGAGCAGGTTACTAGGCCGCTGCGATGCCTTTCGTGTTTCCTAGCCACGCCCGGGCCCCCCCCCCACCTCGTTCCCCTCTCCGCCCTCGCCCGCCCGCCCGCCTTGGACGCGGACCTCTTCCCCCCCCCCCCCCCTGCGTTCCTGTAATTCATTCTCTGTTCCTGTAATTCATTCTCTGTTCCTGTAATTCATTCTCTGTCCCTGTAATTGCTTCACGAGTTGTGGTTGTCATTCGCTGTGAGTCGTCCGTGTCATCGGTGGCGTCGTGATTCCCGGACGCAGATAATCCCAGTGGCGGGCGGGTGTTTGAATCAGTAAACAGACCTCCTCCACCTCCTCCTCCACCTCCTCTTCCTCCACCTCCTCCTTCTCCACCTCCTCCTTCTCCACCTCCTCCACCTCTTCCTCCTCCACCTCCTCTTCCACCTCCTCCACCTCCTCCTCCACCACCTCCTCCTTCTCCACCTCCTTCTCCACCTCCTCCACCTCTTCCTCCTTCTCCACCTCCTCCACCTTCTCCTCCACCTCCTCCATCTCCTCCTCGAGGTCGCGACTCTCTCTCTGCCTTTCCGCGATGCAGTTCAAGGGGAGATGAAGGCGGCCGAGCGTGTCTCTGGCCACGACAACCCCGTGATAGGTGCTCGCTAACCATCAGTCTGTATGGCAAAGGTCTGGTGCACGTGTGTCTTTGTGTGATGTACATTGCGTGTTTGTTTGCTAATATTCACATGCCTGTCAACACATACGGTTTACCCTGTATTTAGACGTTTCAATGCGGGCGTTTTATTTGTCTATTTGTTTGTGTTTCTCTCTTGTGATGGGACTTTGTACGATGAACGTTGAGATTTATAAGGTCTGAATTGGTCTGTCATAAGGTAGGGCACTGATAAGGGCTTCACGGCTATGAGTTCATGTGTGTGCACTTCCACGTTCGTGTGTTTTGTCTGCACGGATGTGTGTGTTTAATGAAAAACACTTGTACAGACAACTTTCCGTTGTTTCCTCGTCTTCGTTGTTGCCGATGCCTGTGTGTGTTTGTGTCTCAACAATCGCCTTACATTCGTATCGGTTGCCCAAACAGCGTTCCATTGGCGCGCACGTTACAGCATTTTTTTTTTCATCATAGAGGTGTTTTTTTGGGGGGTGGGGGGTGCGGGGTTTGATCGTGAAAATATAAATGTGTGTCGTTAAACCCACCAACCACCCGACGCGGCCAATAAATTAGTAAGTTGTCACGTAAACAGAACGTGACAATTCGTGACGAGTACAGCAAACCCCGGGCTGTGTGTTGGAGAGTAAACCCACAGCATTTACAAATTGGGTACCGTGGCATTTCGCCGGCGAATACGACAACCGGCATCATCAGGCGACAGCCAGATTTGTGGATAAATTATTCCGTTGAGTTCATGAATAGAGGGATACATATTTACGCGATCTAACCGAAAACACCTCTTATGGATAATATTGGTCGCGAAAGCCTCTGACGTGTAAATATATTTTTGACATCGCTGCATCCTTCGCCACATTAAATCCGCTTCCAGAGGGGAATATTCTTGTTTTTTAACCTGCCAACGCTGTATGGTTTTAATTGTAGCGACGTCGTCGTGCCTGTCAATGCATGTAATTCCAGCAGTAACAACGGAGGTGTGCGTTGCTGTGTGGCATCGTCAGCGGTGTTTTATAGTCTTAGCCCTGGGTGAGCAAAAATAATACAAACGGCTCAAAGAGTTGACACTGCATTGCATTAGCAGTGCGAAATTCCCGCACCCGTGTGTTTACAATGCTGCATCATTGTCCGGTGTAAAAAATCTCGGTCCGAGGTAAACTCCGGGGAATCGTTATCCGTCCACAATGCCATCGATCAGTAGCCCCGTAGAATGACACCAAAATCTTGTCCGAAGGCAACCCTGGCAGCCGCCCAAGAAATGTGGAATGTGCGCAACACTGCCCAGGCCACCAAAGGAAAAACGAGACACCGGCCCATGCTCATTGTTTGAGCAGCAAAGTTTTTGTTATTATGTATTTGTAAGAGTGATCTCTATACTGCTCGTGTGAGTTTTGCAGAATACTGCTCACTATGGCAGTTCTTTCCTTAAAAAAAAGCCTTTGTTTGCACAAATGTATCAGTGTGCTTCCTGACATTTGCGGTTTTGTGGCTGTGCAGCACTGGCCGTGTTTTTCGTGTGGCTAATGACGTTGCATACTAATTGTGAATGTTTTACTTCCACTCTTAAATGTAATCTTCCAGGTCCGATGCAATCAGTGCGGTTTTGTGGAACATCAACAGCGGTTCTTTTGTGATATGGACTGGCTCCTGTCCGTGAGAATGTAGAACACGTGTCTGGAAACAGAAGGGACATCCCCATCAAACGCTCCATTGAACAGGAAATAACTTAGACGTTTTCACTTAAGTTTTAAACGACCATCGCTTCCTTGTCGAAGTTGTCCACGTCATTTAGACCTTCCTCACTGTGCAAAAGCTTGCTGCGTTACTTTTCATTTCTGCCTCTCTTAGTTGTAATTGTAATACATTGCATTGTGATTGCTGTGACGTGCTCAGACAAAGCAACCAGCCCCATGAACCGGCAGGAGGACTGGGAATACATCATGGGCTTCTGCGACCAGATCAACAAGGAACTGGAAGGGTCAGTCTTCTTTGTGGTCGGAGGGAGAATGAGGGTTAACCTCAAGTGACGTAATCAACATCCGCAGTGCAGTATCTCTCAGATGCACACGACCCACGGGGTTACCGCACGACCGCTGAGCCAAGCCCAGCGATACGTTGCGCTGTCCAGGGTTGTCGTAATCGCAGATGGCTCAGCCATGTGTCCAGGTTCGTTTACCTTCGGTATGCTGAGTGTGTGTCTTGAGATGAAGAGCAGAGTTGGGCCAAATGTTGGTCCTGCAGGCCACGCAGTCTCTCTTTTTACGTCCACCAATCCACCCTCTTGTGTCTACCAATCGGCAGATCCGTGTTATCCTCTTTGCCCATGTTTCAAGGAGGCAAGAAGATAATATGTGGATATGGAGATAGAAAAGTGCTGTAACAAGGAATGATATGTTTAGATTTAGGCCTCTTAAGTCTTGCAGTTGCTTAGCCTTGACATCATGTGAGTCATGATCAATCCACTGCTGGATGAAGACTTTCCCAAGTCGTCACCATCTCACACTGTCCTGCGATGTAGCAATCCGTCTAGCACCTGCACATGAGCTAATTTCATTGCTCCATCTCCGTAATGGACATTTTTAATGGCACGTTACCCCATTTCTTAGCCACTCCGACGTTAGTCTTTATCACCAGCCATCGTTTTTTTGAGTGACGTGTCCTGCCCAGGCACACATAAAGCTATGTCCATTGTTCTCAACTCTATTCTCCAGGAGATACGTAGTTAGAATATGAGCCAAGGCTTCACGGGCACAGAGGTCGGCAAGTAGACTTAAAAGTATGATGCTGTTGGGCATGGGTCCTGTGCGCTGTGAGCTGGGGTCTGGAGTCTCGCCGTAACGACGACCCCGTCTCTTGACTCCGTTCTCCTGCAGGCCCCAGATCGCAACGCGGCTGCTCAGCCACAAGGCGCAGTCACCACAGGAGTGGGAGGCCCTGCAGGCGCTGACGGTGAGCGCGAGGGTTGGTGCCCCATCGGCCCTCGGGGGGATACTCCGGCACTGTGCCCCAGCGCCGTCGAAAACTCGCAGTGATGGGCGTTCCTGGTCGCTCATGAGACTCTGCCGACGTCTTGAGCTCTCTGTTGGTTAAGGAAAAGAAACTTGAAACTTGCACATGTCGCTTCCACTCCACTCGGAGCCAGTTGCTAGATGTCCATGACTGCACACAAACCTCATGTCGTGCAGGAATTATGTCGGTGTGTTCAGCTTCCCTGACACACGTCGATTGCGTAGATTGATTGTAATTTTATTTATTTTGTTCTCTTTTTCAAATGTATTGAGCTTGTTCTTCTGGTGTTGCATCACGAGACAAATACACATTGGGAAATTTCACAAAATAGTGTGTCCCTGTATGCCAGACACTGGCTGCTCAGATGTTAACCCAGATTCTCAGCTGTGCTGGCTCGGCATACTAGTTTCTGAGACATTTGGTCAGTAGTTGTTTAATTAACATTTTGTTCACAATGTGGTCTTCGTAAGAACGTCGCAATGAAGCCTATATAATGTACATGTTGCCTGGTGGAGAACACAGACTTGCTTGAGAGCTTAAGACTGAGAGTCCTCTTATAATGTTCATCGCTGTTGAGGCTTAATTGGAAAAATGTGTTCCCAAGAGCCGTGCTTGCTGGTGCTTGAGAGGGCTATAAAATATACAGTGGACCTACACATGCATTGAGAATGCCGTGCCTTGGCCACATGGTACTTGATGCAGTTTCACTTAGCCAGGCTGCGTGGTTTCGCCTGGCCGCGTGCTAAGATCAATGACGTGGGCTGTGTACAAGTTGTAAAGACTTTTTTTTTCTCACCGAAGCAGTGCCATCCTGAGAGAGGTAACATTGGCGGTAGTTATTCATTCATGGTTATTAAGTACGGTCATTTCATATATTAGTTATTGCTATAATGAAGCTTTCTGCTTGTACATTAAATTGTACGTGACAACAACCCATGTTGTTTAATGTTACAGTTTTGGTAGTGCATAACAATAAGATTTTAGTCGCCATGCTGCACAGTCTATGCCTCTCTGTTGCAGTAGACCAAGTAGCGTGCGCTTTTACTTACAAACCGACGCGGTGTTGCTCCCAGGTGCTGGAGGCCTGCATGAAGAACTGTGATCGGCGGTTCCACAGCGAAGTGGGGAAGTTCCGCTTCCTTAACGAGCTCATCAAAGTCGTCTCACCGAAGGTGCGCCGCCACGTTCAACAACATTGCGCCCGCGCACCGTCTATTACGTCTGCGACAAAGAGCTTCATAGCTCATCGGATTCCTCCGGTATAAATACAGATTCTCATTCTACGACGGCCACACAACAGCCGCTCGCGCTGGGTGATGCGTATAGGATGCGGTGGGGGGGGGTTGATCAGTTACGTTCATGTGTTACATGAATGTCGCCACCCGATTGGCACGGTTGGCTAAGTATCAAAGAAAGAAGTTCAGCGTGCACATGTACGTCGAGGGTGGCGAGTGAGCTGGTGGACAGCGTTCAGGAGTAGCCTGGTCGCGGTGAATGCCTGAAACGCTGTTGGCGAATGATCGAAGCGGGCGGTGGTGTTGCTACGCGGTCTGTGGTTTGAGATTGGTGTCCGCAGTCCAAGGTGGTCGCATCTGTTTGCTTTGTAACAATTTACTCGTATTTGTCAATCCACTGACGAAGGAAGCCTTCCTTTGCTGCGTCGGTCGTTGGCGTCGGTCGTTGGCGTCGGTTGGAGCTACTTCACCATGCTGGTCACGTTTGTTTTGTGAAGTGGGAGAGAGGGGCCCAGAACCGGCTCGGATATTCCTCGCCACCGATGTTAGCCATGACCTGGAATCGGACTCAAGTGGCCGGGTTTATAGTACCGGCACGTGAACTTCTGCGCCACCGTTCATCCGTTTGGAATCGAATGGATTCCGAACGGAATTGGAAGTAAAAGGCGCGTGGCACAGTTTGGCTGACGCCGGCTATCGTAGAGTCGGGTCGTCTCGCTACAGCTCTCCGCGGGAAGTAAAGTGCAATGTCGCTATGCCTCTGTAAATAAAATTAACGTTAACCGCTGGCGCATTCTGAGATTCAGTGGTGAACGGGACACCACCCACCCTGCGACTCTCTCTGACGTCTTGGAACGATAAAGGGTTAACTATTACGCTGCATTCCAGGGTGCGAAGGGTTAACGAGTGTGCTCTCTGCGTTGTCGTGCCCCTTCTCACCTGCGCGTGGCAGTACCTGGGGAGCCGCGCGTCGGAGAAGGTAAAGAAGAGAGTTATCGAGCTGATATTCAGCTGGACCCTGGCCCTGCCGGATGAGACCAAGGTCGCAGAGGCTTACCAGATGCTGAAAAAACAAGGTTCGTGTCCGTTGCTGTGAGCGGTGACATTTTGTGTTTAATTACATCGCTCGGCATCAATTATAAAACTTTTTAATGGCTCGTGCCATTTCAACGTTCGCAGTGTGCGCCACGGGAGAAGCGCTCTTATGCATATTTAAATGATTACGTCCCGGGCACTGATGCATTATTTAGCGTGGGCTTTTCTTTATTCTTGTGAGCTTGATGAGAAACGTGCGGGCAAATGAAGGCCCTTTTATTCTTTTGTACTCTTTACCTGATCGTAGTAGTATAATGGCGCTCTCACGAGAAAAAAACATGAATACTTGGAACACTGTCGTAGAATAGCCCCGGGAAGATGACGCCACTGGCTTTAATACATTTATTTTTCCTATACTAGGGGCACATTTGTTATACGTCCTGCACACAAATCAAGCCTAATTGTCTAATTCTGGAATGAGCTCAATTAAGTCATTAAACATGTAGATATCGTTTTAATATTTTTTTGGGCAGTCATTGGTGTCTGGGCTGAGAGCCAATTTAATCACAGGAGGCTGATTCCCTGATTCGATTATTTTATCGGTGCTGTCACAGTGCCGCTACCGCAGCATTGGCACCCTGAGCAACCCAGCCACGACCCTGGCTGCCTCTTATACGACAAGTCCTCGTTTAACGCGGTAGATGCGTTCCTGAAAAGTTGCCCGTTAAGCGAAAATCGCGCGAAGCCTAAACAATTTCCCCATAAATAATATAACGTCAAAATTTGGCCATTTACGACGTATGCACATGCCGTTAGATGGTACGACAATTAACTGGTGGTATGCCGCCGCGTTACTGTATCATTCCGCGTACTGTATCACTGTATCGCTCAGCCGCACAGCTCAAGAAAGTAGTTAATTGCAATTAACTACTTTCTTGTCGATCGCTCAGAGACCACGTTATCGTGGTGCACAATTCACATTACAACGGTGCGCGTGCCACGTTGTGTGAGAAGTGTTCTCAAATGGAAGAACCGCGTTTTCGCGACAAACGCGTTATATGGACACGCGTTAAGCGAGGACTTGCCGTCTAATAATAATAATCGTGTCGACACACTGAGCGCTTGCCCCGAGCGCGATGGAGAGCCACAGGCCTGAGTACAGAATAGCAGTCCCAGGTACAGATATCACAACATCACGTGTACGTCACGTGACATCCTAAACGTACGTCACGTGGGCTTCCAGCACGCGGGAATGTTGTATGTATGTTTGTATATTGAACTTTTTTGCGCACCGTACGTAGCCAACCGTTGGTCATCGTAGGTGCGGGGGAGGACAACGGACTAAGCACAAAAAGCAGTTTAAAAAAAACATGTTTTCAGTCTAGATTTGAAATGTGTTATTTGTGTCATCCCGCGGTGCGCCGGGATGATGCCGTTGGAAGGACCCCTGCAGGGAGCCTACCGTGGGGTGAATGTTGGCCCCCCGGCTTTTGCTTTTGAGCAGGAATCGTGTTGGAGGACCCGATGATCGAGGAGGACAGAACACTGGTGCCGCCGCCACGGCCCAAAGACACGCTCTTTGAGGATGAGGAAAAGGCCAAGGTAAAGTCAACCGAAGGTTTGTTTCAAAATGTATCGATGTTTATTCTCGCCATTGTGTTGCTGCCTTCGCATACCGATTTCTGGCAAACTGAGTATGCCTTTACAGCATCTAGAAATATAAATTAAATTGAGGGATTGTTTTGTGTATGTATTTTTGTTCCTTTAAATGTCTATTTATTGTGCTATTAGTACTTTATCATCAGATGAATTCATTTCCATTCAGAAATCTCAGTGAAGCAGTTCATCACCCTGTGTCAGGGCATGACTCTAAAAGTTGACATCACCTTTGAAGCCACTCAACAGGCCTCTCTCAACAATATCTGTGGTGGAGCAAAAATATGTTCTTAAGTGACAAACCAGATGTAGTATTTTTTTTTGGTGAAATCATTGGTGGCCAGACTTGACACCATCAACTGGCAACAATCCAGAAGGCACTTAAACCACTGGGTATAACTGTGGCCTGGATTTGAACCCAGAATCTCAGTAGTGTACTGCTCTGACTGTAACCCCCTAAGGTACGCAACCACCTCTAATCTGTGTCTACGTTAAGATTTTCCTGGGTTAGATTCCTGACCCGGGCACCTTTTCTGTGTTGGGGTCTGAATGTTCTTCACCTGTTCTGCATTGGGTTTCCTCCACGTTCGCACGATGTCACCAGTATTGGCTAAACATCCCCATTTCTGAAAGATTACCTGAAAATTACCAATATTAGGATTACACAGCGCAACTTTCACCCCCTTTTGGGGAAACTTGAGAGGACCCTCCTGAAAAGGAGTCTTGAGACTTTGTAGCATAGTGAGGCATATTCATAATACTAGTAGTAGTAAAAAAGGTCGGCATTGATGTGAAGCATGCAGGTATTTCACGAGGCAGAACGGTCAAAATGATTTCTTTATTAAATTGCTCGGCCACCCGTGAAATTGACTACAGCTGCTACGCGCGGCGCACGGAAGAGTAAGGGCACGATCGTTTGGTACAACTGAAACTTGAACCCCTCCACACCGCAGCAAAGACTTCACCAAAACACCCCCGCAACAGAATGGCCCGTGCCACATTCTCACACATCTCCATTGGGAACTGCGGTTTAGCGGTGGAGCAGTAGCGGGTCTGCTACGGAGCGTCCTATTTTCGCGGCGGGGTTGAACTCTTCCATTGACACCGCACGTCGATTCTTGCCTTTTCTTTCTCTCTCCAGCTGCTGGACCGACTGCTGAAGAGTAAAAATCCCGAAGACCTGCAGGCTGCCAACAGGCTTATTAAGACCATGGTGAAGGAGGTGAGCTCACACTTTGGGAGAGCGTCTTGTCGGTTCGTCCATCACCATCTGTGGAAGTTAGAAAAAATCTAATCGCAACTATTTGTTTACATTACCAAAGAAAAATCCGAATGCCGCCACAGTGGTGTGACGGTCAGCACGCTGGGCTTCCGATCCAGGGGTTGCCGCTTCTGTTATCCCCACATGGCGGTTGACACAACGGTGGTGCAATTTTATTAAATCCCCCCGCCACCCGCCTCTGCCCCTAGGCAGTGGTACGGCAGGTCGCGTGCGGTGGGGTAAAGCGTGGAAACTCCACCTCTTCCAGTCCGCCTGACCAGCGTGGAGGCGTAGGCCGAACGCCCGCTAGAGAGGGGGCTCTGTAGAGGTCTCCCTGTACCCGCGGTGGCGCGAGCAGCAAATTGCCGGGCTGCAACATTACCTGAGCAAAGAAAATCGCTATGCATGCATGTCGAACGTCTTTCGCACCGTACGTAGCGATGCCCGTCAAGGCCGTGTGGAGGGGACATTGCGCCGGCGGTTGTTTAGCGGAGCGTAAACAACGGGGGGCCCCCCTGCACACAGGACCAGGCACGCATGGAGCGTGTCGGCAAGAGGATCAAGGCGGTGGAGGAGGTGGACGGCAACGTGAAGCTGCTGAGCGAGATGCTGGCTCATTACCGGCGCGAGGACGCCTCGGACGACGATCGCGACATCATGAAGGTGAGCCGGCGACGCCGCGGGTTGCCGCCGGCGCTCCCCCCGTAACTCTGCTGCCTCCCGCTGCGCTTTGATCTGTGTGCCCCACGGAAGGAATCCGATGAGCTGTAAAGCTCTCTTTCACAGACGTCCAGTCGTTTGCAGATGTCCACTTCTCTCCTGCGCTTGTGATGTTTGTGTTGTCAGTAGAGATGTGACTGTTCGCCGATTCGATCACCTATTCCTACGCGCCTGATGGGCATGCGTTGAATCGCGTGCGTGAAAACCTGAGTAATTAGCGGGTATTGTTTGAATTCATTATTTCCCATAATATATAGCGGCCTGAGTTTGAATCCTGGCCATGGCTAACGTCCGTGGCGAGTGGTACCTGAACGAGTCCCGGACTGTCTCCTTCACCAACCCACCGCACTGACCAACGCGCCGCAGTACGGTCAACAAAAACCTCCCGAGACTTGGGAAGTCCTTCATCCAGCAGTAGATTGAAGATGGCCTTTCATACCACTGTGGATTGTGTCGTTTCATGCCACTGTAGAATCTTGCACTGCTTATAGGTGAAGTTTAATCTCTTCCGTGGCTCTAACAGCATTTATGCACGACGACTAATTTTAAGAAAGTGCTTCAAGGACAACTCTAACGGCTTTTCACCACAAGGGAAGACTTTCATTTGATTTTAAATGAAGATGGTGAAAATAACAATTTGTAATTTTCACCCCATTGTCAACCCATGTAACTGTATGACGGGTTTGCCATGCCGTAATCGGCATTGCGGGTTGTTTGACCGTATTTCACTGTGCTGGTCAGAGTGGCTTAGTGAAGAAATGAGGGCCAGGACCGATTCGGATGTGACCCTCCGTCGTGGCTGGGAATTTAACTGGGTTGGCTGTGGTTAATAGTAGTGCACTACGCTAATCACTACGCTCCTGCTCCACCCCCCCCATCCCCCCATATTTGCGAAGGCGGTAACATTTTTTTATCCCGTTGAGTTCTCCGCGATTACTCCGTTCATGTTTCTTTTCTGTTTTTTTACGAATTAACGGCATCGTCTTGGGCGTGAGAGAGGGCGTTACGTTTCGGCATTCTCATCTCGAACCGTGTCAACAAATCCAAACGGCAGCGCCACGCGTGTCGCGTTTGGTTCACAGGAGCTGCACGAGCGCTGCGAGAAGCTGCGGCCGACTCTGTTCAAGCTCGCCAGCGAGACGGCCGACAACGACGACGGCCTCGGTGCGGCACTCCCCCCGTCCGAAAAGCGCGCGCGTTCACGCACGCACGCACGCACTACGCGCACACACAGTCATGCACACAAGCACTCGCGCACTCACGCACGCACGCACTATGCGCACACACAGTCATGCACACAAGCACTCGCGCACTCACGCACGCACTACGTGCACACACAGTCATGCACACAAGCACTCGCGCACTCACGCACTCGCACAATCACGCACGCATTACGCACACACAGTCATGCACACAAGCACTCGCGCACCCACGCACTCGCACAATCACGCACGCACTACGCACACACACAGTCATGCACACAAGCACTCACGCACGATCACGCACTCGCACGTACTCGCACGATCACGCACGCACTCAATTGCGGGTGCAGACGCCATACGCAGCAGTCTGACGCGCCTTTCCATCACGGGCATGTCCGCGTCGTTTTCGTGTTTGCGTCATCTGTTGTGCATTACTTGAGTACATGTGTATGTCTTCTTGGTTCTTTCGGTAAAGTCAGGTCCACCTGATGACCACCTGATGACCATCGCTTGTGTTGCGATCGAAACGTCGTAGTTTCTTGTTTCTTTTATTATTTTTTTACCTATCTACATGACTTTACTGGAAGAACCAAGAATATGAATTCCTGCAGTCACGAAAGCTTTGTGTCACTTTGCATGCGTGTGTATGTATGTCCGTGTGTCATGGGAGCGGCAGTGTAGCAGTTAGCGCGCTGCGCTATGAAACTGGCGACTACGGCCAACACCAGTGATGATTATCTGAACCGGTCCTGGGCCTCCCCTAGGTCGACTCAGCCTTAAATGAGTACCTGGTGCAGTCTGTAAACATTGCCCCAGGGGAGACGAAGGCAGCCGGGTGTGGTGTGGGCCACCCACCCCCTCGTGTGCCACGGTGCCAGCCTTCATAGGTTCTCGCTAACAGCACTTGCCCCAACAGTCTGTTAAGGCTATACGGGGAGGGGGGTCTTTGTGTGTCTGTCATGCTTGTGGTTTGTGTGTGGTGTGGGCCTGATTACTTTGCGTGTCTGTGTCACGTTTGTACCGGCACTGCACATGTTGGGTAATGTTAAGGGCATTCATGACTTAATTCGCACGAGGAGGTCATTGCTTGCACTGAATCGGATATATGATGAACAATGATCTCTAAGTACTTAGTCACTCGGGTCTTCACTGCAGAAGAGATTCCCTGCGCGCTCTTAAATCAATGTCAGAGAAGGCAGTGCCCCCCCGGAGTGACCGCCGCTGTCGCCGCCTGCTTCTCTCCCCTCGTTTAGCCGAGATCCTGCGAGCCAACGACGACCTGACGAGGGTCATGAACTCCTACAGGAAGATTGTGGAGAACCGGGAGGTGAACGGAGACGCGGGGAAGATGGAAACGGGCACGGCGCTCGGTAGGCCACCCCAGCAGTTATTTTCCTTTTCTGCCGGTGGCTCAGTGTGAAGCTGCGGAGTGAGCTGCTGGCTGAGTGACTCCTCTGTCGTTTGTTGATTGGTAATTTTTTTGCTGGAACGATCTGGGGTGGTGTTGTTGCTGCTGCTGCGTACGTTTTATCGGCCGCGCCGTATAAAAAAACAAACCCATCCGGTGTGTCTCCACCGCCGCGTGTTGTCCGGCCACGGCGTCCCAACGTCTCGCTCCACGTTCTGGGAGCTTTTTCAGGATCCGAGCTTCCAGCACGCGGAGAGAAACGTCGGACGTCGTTCCGAACTGCACGCGGCACAACGCGAAAAACACATCGGAGAGTCAAAATTTGGTCTGTGTCTCAACAGCTTCGTGTTACTAATTGACAAATTGCTGCTTAATGGCACTTTATTTTCTTGTCCGTTGAAAGTTACAAATGAGTTTTGTTGTTACAAAATCTGAGTGCGGTGCTGTGTGCGCTCCACTGTGAACCTGACCGGCCGAGTTCCATTGCCAGCTACGGCCAACGTCAGTGCCGAGTGATATCCAAACTGCTTGTGGGTCTCTCTATCCCTGTGCTTCACCAACCCGCGTTGACCAGCCTGGTGAAGTATGGTCAAACAGCTGCCATGGCCTACACGGTGTGGAGATGCTTTCAATCGGCAGTAGATTGACAGGGCTGCATTCCTTTTTATTTACAGGTGTGTTTTGTTGGAACTAATTGCGTGGTTTGTATTTTCTTTTATAATTCATTCTTTCCGATTAGTTTCAGCGAATCCTTCTATGTTCCACGATGACTATGCAGCAGGTGGATGACACATTTCACAACCCGCTTAAAATGATTGCTTTTCACGCACGTTCGATGATCCGTCATCGGTTTTGCTGTGTGGTCCGTGATCTCTAACGTCGAGCTGCTGCATGCATACTCTGCGCATGTGATATCAGCTGCTCTGACCAACGGAGTAAAATTCTGCCCAACAATCCTCACGTAGCAGCTTTAAATCTCTCCCCGTGCTCTAAAACCCCAATTCTGTCAACAAGTCGATTGTCCCACCAAATGACACAGTTTAAAACAGGCTGGTAATTGATACAATTCACACTCTGCCACGTGTCACCGAGTCACCCCTAATAATCAAATATTAACATCTGATGATTCCCCACTGCCCCTCCTCCCTTATTCCTACCCTCTCACCCACCTACCCTTCCACCTACCCACCCACCTACCCTCCCACCCACTTACCCTCCCACCTACCCACCCACCTACTGTCCCACCAACCCATCCACCCACCTACCCTCCCACCTACCCTTCTACCTACCCTCCCACCCACCTACCCTCCCACCTACCCACCCACCTACCCTTCCACCTACCCACCCACCCACCTACCCTCCCATCTACCCACCCACCTACCCTTCCACCTACCCACCCACCCACCTACCCTCCCACCCACCTACCCACCTACCCTCCATCCACCCACCTACTTTCCCACCAACCCACCCACTCACCTACCCTCCATCCTATCCACCCCCCTCTTTTTCTCCATTCCACCACCCCTCCCTCCCACGCTCCTTTCCGATAAACTCGCTCCGATCACTCCCAAACCGCGCCCCTCCCACCACCCCCCCGCTCGCCAACGCTCGTCTCCACCGGCGCGCAAGACGGAGGCGCCGGGGGGGGGGACGTGTCGGCGCTCATCGAGCTCGCCGGGCTGGACGTGGCGCCCTCGCTGTCGGCGCCACGACCCAAAGCAGCGGCGGTGGTGGCGGCGGCAACGCGGCCGCCACCGCCGCCCATCTTCCCCGTGGTGCCGCCCCCTCCCGCGAGGCACGCCGGGAGCCTGGCGGGCGGCGCCGCCCTGGAGCGTGCGGCCAGCCTGCTGGACGACGAGCTCGTGTCCCTCGGTGCGTGGCCCCCCCCCCCCCCGTCGTCGCGCGCGGAGCCGAGTGCGGCGGCGCGTCCTCGGAATCACGCGGCCGGACGTGACGTGTCCTGTGTGTAACGGGGGGATGTCTACTTTGAAAAACTAATTTCTTTGCAACTGCTTTTTGTGTTGAGTTTGTTGTCCTTCCCCCGCACCTACGATTAACACGGTGGTTTACGAATAATATGAAATAAGTTCTACATAAATGCGTGTTTGGAGACCACAATTTTTTTTTAAATAGTTGCATGTTGCCACTCCCAAAGCTGAAGAGTTGAATGGTGTGCAAGGCATTGCCGACTCGTTGTTGATAGCTGTCTCCTCCACACTGCGCAGAAACGTCACGCGCTGGGCTGTCACAGGTTCGGTCTCAATGCAGCAATACCACTCCACTATTACCACAAAGTGGTAGTAATTGTATTAACCCTGGAGGTATGATAGGCTCTGTTGATTCCCAACTTAGGAATTGAAGTTGCAAATTTCATATTTTAGTTGTCATGTGCTCTAACCACTGTGCCACCAGACCAGATTCCTACATGAAATATATATTTGAAATGAAATATGTATGCACTACCATCGCTACTGGTTACAGATCCTATTCATGTTCCTCTTGTGTTTGTTGTGAGCATTGATTGAGCTCCGAGTGGCTCTAAATGTAAATTCTACTCCTGCAAGTGTGAATTTCCTCCTTTTAAAGAATCAATGGCAACGAGCGCGTGTTGGGTACAAAACGTTGTCCGTACGAGTTGCCGCTTGCGATGTTGATGGGCAGTCTTTCTGTTTTTAACACAGCCATCGACGACCCCGTCCCCAACCCGACAGTGGATCCTGCCGTGGTCAACTGGGACTCGATCATGGTGAGCGTGGTCAGGAGGAGGAGGAGGCGACGTGTGGCCCACAATTGGGCGATTCATTAACTCGTTTTTTTATTTGACCAAGTAAGGCACACTGATATATGTAGCTCTTTTTGCAGAAGTGACCTGGCCACAAATGATATCCCAATGAAGTAGCTTATCATGACGTGGAAGTCTAGAGCAGCCAAATACTCTTTAAACGTGTGATGTTGATTTAAATGTGGAGGGAAAAACCGAATGAGGACTTCAGATATACAAGGATCAGGATCAGAATTGAACCCACGACCTCCTGTATACCAGGCGAGGTCGTGGGTCACTGCATGGCGCGCTTCAGATGCGCTTCTGCTCCCGTCTGGAACGCTCTTTTGATATTAGGAAGCCACTGGAGCTATGCACTTTAAAATTTAAATTGAAAACTAATTTCTTTATAACTGAGCACGGTTGGCTACGTACGGTGCGAAATAAGTTCAACGTACATGCATCGGAATAAAAACTAACATAAAATAACCGGATCGGTATGGAGGCTCCCACAAGGCCATGCGGAAGGGCGTGTGGCACAGTTTGGCGCCGGCTATCGTAGAGTCGGTTCTCTGCGGGAAGTAAAGTGCAATGTCGCTATGCCTCTGTGAATAAAATTAACGCTGAACCGCTTACGCGCTCCCGAGATTCGGCGGTGAACGGGACACCACCCGACCTGCAACTTGCAGACGTCTCGTTAACCCTTTCCCATTCCATCTCGCCACGCCACCCTCCCGGTTTGACAGCAGGACCGGTCGGCCGACGTCTCGTTCCCCCCGCTGGGAGCCGGCTCCTCGTCACGGAACGCGTCGCTGGTGTCCACGCCGTCCCACGGCGGCGCCCCCAGGAGCGACGCGTCGGGCCCCAGCGGCCTGGAGGAGCTCGATCTGCTGGGCAAGACCCTGCTGCAGCAGTCGCTGCCGCCGCAGGGCCTGCAGGTCAAATGGTAACGTCTCCCGTCGACCCGCTGTTTCAGTTGCCAAGTCAGGTGGAGCTGCGCAGTAGGCGGCGCGCAGGGGGTAAATTAGTCTTCTGTGAAAACCTGAGAGCCTACGTTTGTTGTTTTTACTACACACCCAGGCAGTTATTTACACACTTAAAATTTCGCTTTTGATAATGTTCACCGTGTCATCCTCTAAAGCACAAATTTCTGCAGTTAACTTGAAAATCGACTCAATCTTCATGCTCTCAATTTTACGTTTTTTTTATTTATTGACACAAGAGCTTTTGCGGATCATCAATTGTGGGTTTTCATTTTTTCCGGGACACCCCTCCGCTCACGCCGCCACTCCCCCCCCCCCCCCCCAGGGCGGCACCGCAGGCCAAGCTGACGCTCCACGAGATGCAGAGCAGCAAACTGCCGCCGCCTCTCTCGGCGGCGTTCCCCGCGGTGCCGCCACCGCAGCCCCCGGCCGGCCCGGCCCAGGGAGCGGCGGCCGCTCTGGGCATCGCCCGGCAGCCGTCGCTGGAGCTGGAAGCCGGACAGAGTCCACTCCGTGGCGGTGCCTCCTCCTCCTCCCAGCCGGACGCGTCACTGGCCAGCGTGGTGGTGCCGCTGGAGTCGATTAAGCCCAGTGAGTGTCCCGTGCGTGGCCTGTGGTGTGTGTGTGTAACCGTGAGAGGAGCGGTAGTGTAGCGGTTCGCGTGCTGCCCCCGTCGCTTATCTCGGGTTGGAGACACGTTGACCTCTGAACTGTTTTATTCAGCGAATGTCTTTATGCGAGACTTTTTTTTACGCACAGCACCAGATACACAAGGGAATCAATTAAACAAATGGATATGTATGTCGATGTTAACCAAGCAACAACCAAGCGCCGCCCACGTAGTAGTACTACGGCCCCATCCATGTTCGGAAGCGGCCCTGCCCCTGGTCACACCGGAAGTGCTTCGACTGAACCCGCCGGTGCCTCGGGAGGTCGACGCCAGGCCATGTGGACTCAATGCGAGGGTGGGGGGAGCAACGCTCTATGGCCGTGTCCCCCCTTGCAGGCAGCACCCCTCCTGTCACCGCGTACGACAAGAACGGGCTGCGCGTGCTGCTACACTTCGCCAAGGAGAGCCCACCGGGACGCGCCGACGTGCTCGTGGTTGTGGTGTCCATGTTCAGCACGGCGCCGCTCTGCATCGGGAACATCATGCTGCAGGCCGCTGTGCCCAAGGTGCGGTCTCCCGGCGGCGTTGGAACGGCGTTAGAATGGGTGTTAGAACGGGTGTTAGAATAGGTATTAGAATAGGTATTAGAACGGGCGTTAGAATAGGTATTAGAATGGCTTTAGAATAGGTATTAGAACGGCGTTAGAATGGATATTAGAACGGCGTTAGAATGGGTGTTAGAACGGGTGTTAGAATAGGTATTAGAATAGGTATTAGAACGGGCGTTAGAATAGGTATTAGAATGGCTTTAGAATAGGTATTAGAACGGCGTTAGAATGGATATTAGAACGGCGTTAGAATGGGTATTAGAACGGGTGTTAGAATAGGTATTAGAATAGGTATTAGAACGGGCGTTAGAATAGGTATTAGAATGGCTTTAGAATAGGTATTAGAACGGCGTTAGAATGGATATTAGAACGGCGTTAGAATGGGTATTAGAACGGGTGTTAGAATAGGTATTAGAATAGGTATTAGAACGGGCGTTAGAATAGGTATTAGAATGGCTTTAGAATAGGTATTAGAACGGCGTTAGAATGGATATTAGAACGGCGTTAGAATGGGTATTAGAACGGGTGTTAGAATAGGTATTAGAATAGGTATTAGAACGGGCGTTAGAATAGGTATTAGAATGGCTTTAGAATAGGTATTAGAACGGCGTTAGAATGGATATTAGAACGGCGTTAGAATGGGTGTTAGAACGGGTGTTAGAATAGGTATTAGAATAGGTATTAGAACGGGCGTTAGAATAGGTATTAGAATGGCTTTAGAATAGGTATTAGAACGGCGTTAGAATGGATATTAGAACGGCGTTAGAATGGGTATTAGAACGGGTGTTAGAATAGGTATTAGAATAGGTATTAGAACGGGCGTTAGAATAGGTATTAGAATGGCTTTAGAATAGGTATTAGAACGGCGTTAGAATGGATATTAGAACGGCGTTAGAATGGGTATTAGAACGGGTGTTAGAATAGGTATTAGAATAGGTATTAGAACGGGCGTTAGAATAGGTATTAGAATGGCTTTAGAATAGGTATTAGAACGGCGTTAGAATGGATATTAGAACGGCGTTAGAATGGGTATTAGAACGGGTGTTAGAATAGGTATTAGAATAGGTATTAGAACGGGCGTTAGAATAGGTATTAGAATGGCTTTAGAATAGGTATTAGAACGGCGTTAGAATGGATATTAGAACGGCGTTAGAATGGGTATTAGAACGGGTGTTAGAATAGGTATTAGAATAGGTATTAGAACGGGCGTTAGAATAGGTATTAGAATGGCTTTAGAATAGGTATTAGAACGGCGTTAGAATGGATATTAGAACGGCGTTAGAATGGGTATTAGAACGGGTGTTAGAATAGGTATTAGAATAGGTATTAGAACGGGCGTTAGAATAGGTATTAGAATGGCTTTAGAATAGGTATTAGAACGGCGTTAGAATGGATATTAGAACGGCGTTAGAATGGGTATTAGAACGGGTGTTAGAATAGGTATTAGAACGGGCGTTAGAATTGTTATTAGAACGGCGTTAGAATGGGTATTAGAACGGCGTTAGAATGGGTATTAGAACGGGTGTTCGAATAGGTATTAGAATAGGTATTAGAACGGGCGTTAGAATAGGTATTAGAATGGCTTTAGAATAGGTATTAGAACGGCGTTAGAATGGATATTAGAACGGCGTTAGAATGGGTATTAGAACGGGTGTTAGAATAGGTATTAGAATAGGTATTAGAACGGGCGTTAGAATAGGTATTAGAATGGCTTTAGAATAGGTATTAGAACGGCGTTAGAATGGATATTAGAACGGCGTTAGAATGGGTATTAGAACGGGTGTTAGAATAGGTATTAGAACGGGCGTTAGAATTGTTATTAGAACGGCGTTAGAATGGGTATTAGAACGGCGTTAGAATGGGTATTAGAACGGGTGTTCGAATAGGTATTAGAACGGGCGTTAGAAGTTATTAGAACGGCGTTAGAATGGGTATTAGAACAGCGATAGAATGAGTATTAGAACGGCGTTGGGCGTCTATGCGTGGTTCTGCAGGTGTCTCTACAGTCCCAGCACTATTCCCTTCCCAGACGATGAAGGTGAAGCTGCAGCCGCCCTCGGGCACGGAGCTGCCGCCCTTTAACCCCGTGCTGCCCCCGAGCGCCATCACGCAGGTCATGCTGCTCGCCAACGCTCACAAGGTGCAGTCACACGGCCACAGTGGGGGGGGGGGGGTGTGGGTCCGTACCGGGCGTCACTGCTGTGGTCACACTGCAGCATTACACTGAGCCACCAAAGCGGGTCATTTTTCAGTATTGCAATGTTTGCCCACTGCCGCTTACGTTATATTTTGTTTTTAATTGTGGGAGGAAACCCGGAGGCAACCCGGAGGCAACCCATACAGAAAGAGAGGGGAGAACATACAAACACGAAAAGGCATCCTAGTCGGGAATCAAACCCGTGCACTTCATGCTGTGAGGCAAACCAGGCTGTCACCCAGCCACCTAACATGTGCGAGGGTAACGGGCAGAACCCTGCACAGAATTCAGTAATCCGCTGCTGTAATGCCATATTCCAGCCACCTCTCATCACAAGTCTGCAACGCTTGATATTTCCAGGCATTCTCCGCGTGTGCGGTGAGCAGTCCTTGTGTGATGTGAGCAGGCTGCGTGTGCGGTGAGCGTGCCGGGTGTGCGGTGAGCGTGCCGGGTGTGCGGTGAGCAGACCGGGTGTGCGGTGAGCAGACCGGGTCTGTGGCTCTTGCAGGACAAGGTGCGTTTGCGGTACAAGCTGACGTACACCCTGGGCCAGCAACCGCACTCCGAAGTCGGGGAGGTGGAGGAGTTCCCGCCAGTCGACAAGTGGGGCTACCTCTGACCCTGGAGCCTTTTCCCTCCTCGCCGGCTCTCCGCGGTGACCTCTGCGTGTCTGGGAGATGCCAGCGGCGCCACTGAGCAGCGCTCGCGGTGCCACCACAGAGATTGGGATTTTAATGAAAGCAGCGGCCGGCGAGAAAGGAACGAATTCATTCAAGCGTGGAGCGCTGTGTGCACAGGAGCCGGATCAAGGCGTAGCGTCGTGTGCGTATTTCCATGTCACCTTTAAATTACCATCCGTTGTTGTCCGTTAGATGAGCATTAGGCGTGGTCACGCACCAGCACAGGTTGTCGATTGTCGTGTAAACTTGTGATGTTCGAGCGTACAGTGCTCACAATCGCCGACGATACGCACCCCCCCCCCCCTTCCCGTGAGCTTACAGCTCTTGCTAGTGGTCCAAGGTTGTAAAGAAATGAGGCTTCTAAGGCAGCCGCTGGCTTACATTTGGTGCGGTAGGGCACCCCGCAGAATGCGTTTAACCATTTAAAAGTGGCTGTGTGTGGGATAATAAAAAAATTAACTCATGGCACTGAGACGAGAGATCGATGAAGGTGGGAGACAGACTGCAATGAAGTTTAGCAAAGCTCATTCCCCCAGAATTAAACTGTGAAATGTCAGCTGTATGTGTTTGCAGCATCTGTGCGTTTTTTTACATGTTATTTCTATATATTGTTTTTGCTTTTGAACCACGTGCATGAAATCGCACTTGCCATTGTCCCAGCACTCTAAGCGAAACTACTTGAAGGGTATTTCAGGAATTGCTTCGCTTGCCCCGTGGCTGCTTTTGTGAGTGACGTTGCTTGCCGGCTGCCAAACCCAGCCATCCGTGTCACCCCCCCCCCCCGCCAATGCAAGTGCCTGCCAGGGCGTGCGTGTTGAGATGAAGTTGAGCAGCCCGCTTTGTTGTTGGCGTCTGCCCTCGGCTGCTTGTACGCGACAGACAGAGCCACGATTGCCAAAGGGTGACGACACTTAACAAATCAAGTCTATGGCACTACGGCAGCGGCTGTCAAGCTTCCCAACGAGTTTTCGGATTGTGCCGCGTGTCAATCGGCGTGATGTCCCCCGACGTTTCGCTTCCGGCACGGAGAAGTGACATTCCTGAAGAAGCTCCAAGCACGTGGTGGGGGCGAGAAACGTCGGACGTCACGACGAACAACACGCGGTGCAACCCGAAAACACAGTCAAGTTTTACGGTGGTCGGTTTCACCCGGATGGCACATCTGTGACAAAGAGCTTCATCGCTCATCGGATTCCTGCAGTTTAAATAACGATTCTGATTATAATTCCGGCACCTCGCTGTCCAGGATAAATTGGGTCATTGACATTTTTTAAACTTTGCAGAGCATCGGGATACAAGACTGCCCACATGCAGGACTTGCCCACAGTTTGTGGTTTGGCCACGATCGCGCTTCAAGTAATTTTTGGGGTTACATTTTATTTAAAGTTTGTGTTGTGTGGTGGTGGGGGGCCGGGGGTGGGAGTTGAGGAACTTGGCCAAATTGCGAAGATAGCCCCGAGTCTAAGCCAGGTGTCGTGTTCTAGGAATGGAAATGCACTCGCGCGTTCTCCTCGTGCGCTGGCACTGGGGGAGGTGAGCGATTCTGTGGCGCTTCCGCGGCTCCGACCGGTGTAGAGGCTCCGACCTTGGTGGGTGGATCTCCTCCGACGGAAACGTTGCGTCGGACAACGCGCGTAAACCCCCCCCCCCCCCCCCCCCCAGCGATAAGAACTTGCGTGTAATTGAATCGTTACGTCCGTGCGGTATGTGTTTGCACATCTGAAGCAGAAATAAACAATTGAAGAATGGAATGTTAATTAAAAAAAAAAATCAAAATTAATAGGTATATGCAAGCATTGTTGTTGTTGTGCCAGACATGTCCTCGGAGTTGTATTTTTATAGTGCTAACTGCTGCTCGCTGTGCACGTGAAGAATGTGAATGTTTTGTTTAAAACAGTGCCTCATGCATTTTTACCAGTTTTTTTGCCATTTGTTGACTCGCGTTAGAAACTCGTTGAGCGTACTTTACACCGCATCACGCCATCTCAGTGCAGCTGTGTTACAGCAGCAGCAGCAGCCTGTTACAATAATAACAAAATAACGGCATTGCCAAGGATGTGTACCCGAGTAGCCGCTTGTATGGAACGACCGAAGCAAAGCTTTAACCAACACGTGGGTCGTTTTACAGAGCTGGTCACTGGGGTTTGAGATGGAGCAGTCGTGGCCTTCAACATCACGTTGTCCATGACAAAGGTGAATAGCCCCAGAATTTTCTCGACGACCAAACTTTACAAATTGTTATTTTCTTTGAACCTATCTACATGACTTTACCGAAAGACCCAAAGAATATACTTAACATTTTCCTGAACACCAGGTACCAAACGCGCGTGTGGATTGCGTAGCGTGCAACCGTGTCCTTTAAACCAGAGGCTTGACAAAGCTGGGCCGGGATCGATGCAGAGGTCGCAAACGGGTTTTGATTCCCTACCCGTACCCTACCCGAAATGAGTGACAAACGGCGACTCACGAGTGACTCGCGGCCTACCCGTACCCGGCCGCACCAGGGTCGCAAACGGGTACCCGTACCCGGCCGGGTAGCCGGGTATCGGGTAGGGTACGGGTATCGGGTACCCACTTGCGACCTCTGGATCGATGTCACCGATGGTTTGGAGTCCCGCTGACTGAAAGTGCGACGCTCGTGACTGACCTTTGGGCCGCGTGGCCCAGAGGTCAGAGCACGGCCGGCAACCACCGAGGGTCCGGGTTTCATTCTGGGTGTGTACGGTGAACTTCGTTCGCACCGTACGTAGCCAACCGTGATAATGGGAGGTGTGTGTGGGGGGGGTTATCGACTGTCCAGGATCACAACTGGGTTTTCCAAGTGCGCACTGAGTTGAGATCAGCCCGGACACCAATGACCGCATAAACTACCCCCCCAACCCACCACCGCATGCGGCATTTCGCGTCATTTGGCCATGCAAGAAGCATCGTGAATGAGGGAAACTGTAGGAGCTTTGAGTTGTTGCGATGCCCCCTGACCAAAGGGCCGCGCTCCCGTGTGGGGTGATGTGACGCCGCGGCTCTGCACGAGCACTCAAAACTGTTTTTGTCTCGTGGTCGTGACGCCGATTGAGGACATTTTGTACTCGGTCCGGGGGGAAACTGATAACGGCGTGTGCGAGTTCGACTTTAACTACCAGACCCGTCAGCTGTTGATGATGGGCCGAGGTCAAACGAAGGTGTGTGTTGGTGCACGTGCTCGGAAAGCGTCCTGCGGAACGAAGTCGGCATCGGGACTTTCGCCCAGGGTCGAGGCCTTTTGAACGTCATAAATATTCCCTGCCAGTGGCTCCGTTTAAAAACAAATTCCTTGCGAGCACTTGCAATGAGCAGGCGCGGTGTCGCCATCCCTCGGCGTCTCTCTCCATTCCACGGATCGATGTCCCCTCGCGTTCCGAGACACCCTCGCGGTCGCTGCGATCTTGAGTTTGGCAGCTGGCCGCGGCGGTGTTTGTCTAAACTAGCGACGCCGCGCCTGGAGCTATTCATTATCGAACACGGTTACGGTGATTTGTTTAAAGTTATCGTCATTGAATGTATCGCATCCCTGTTGATAAACCTGCAGCGACGACCATAGATCTTGTTTACGGCTTACCCCCCCCCCCCCCGCACATCTATACTTGCAACGCCAATCTTAATCGCTAGAACGTCCAGCCCTGATTAAGTGACCGTTGTTTTTGTTGTCTAAGCAGAATGTAATGAACGCACAGAGAGAGAGACTCGCGCATTCAAAACTTCGCGGTCGAGTCGGTCTGTCTTTGACGAGCATGCTGGAGGCGTTCTCATGATGCACCACTGCCCTCGATTAATACCGATCGCTTCTAAGCGCCCGGTACATCAAAGTTGCATGCGGAACAAGCCGTGATTCGTATACACAGTTGTTGTGGCCTCGGCTATATTCGCCAATAAATTGATGGAATCACGGCCACGATTCGTGGTGGTTGGTGGTGCATCATGACGCCTCTCCACCATGCCTCATTCAGGCACACGAGAGACGGCGGTGGACGGGTCAACGCTTGTTGACATGTAAATAAAGCGAACGTTGAGTAAGACGCTGGGCACAGGTCGCACTGTGTGCGTTTCGGGTGTGCTGCGTGGGTATCGTGGCGGTGAAAAAGCGGTATAACATTTTCATTTTAGTATGCAGTAGAGCATACCCGCCTGGCCCTCGAGTTTGATGAGGCAACACAATCATCGGTTGTTCTGGTGGGTCTGTGGATCCACACCAAATATAGTACAGTATTCCCTCTGTTAACGTTTTTCATCCGTTACACGAAAACTGTGAACCGAAATCTAATTCACTTCTAAGCTGACAAATAAGTTTTAAAAAATCGCCGAGTCTGCACTGGAGATGTTTTCCACTGCCAAAACTAAAAACGTAGAATATAAACAAAGGTACTCGATATAAAATAAAAAAATAATCAAAAATAAATTAAATCACGACGTTTCGGAAGCAACACAAGCTTCTGTCATCAGGTGGGACAACCACAGCAAGAAGCAAATTACTGTACCGAAAGAACTAAAGAGGATGGAACATTGCAGTCACCAAAACTTAAGATCTAAACCCAAAGGTCGTCAAGGTTGAAACGGCTCAAATGAGCGTCGCTGATTGGCCGAGGTCACGGCTCAAGCCTGGCTTTCGAGCGCTCGGATTGGCCGAAATTGGTGCCACCGCGTGCACATCTTTATCACGTGACCGTGAGTCAGAATGTTAACGTCGAAACACGAGGTGAAACGTTAACCGAAAAAACGTTAACATGTCACTTAACAGAGGCACGACTGAATAGTACTTTTGTGCAAGACGGCCCTTCTGTCAATCCACAGCTGGATGAGGGCACCCCCACGCCGTCACAGATTGTGGGGGTTGTTGGACCACGCGGAGGTCGTTGAAGGCAGGGGTGCTTAGACACGACCACGAGAATGTTGAATCAGATTTAAGTTTACTTGTACCAAACCAAATTATGCAGCATTTATTGCAACACACACGGTTTCATCGTCAGCGTTTATAAGCAAATGACAGCACAGCTAAAAATTACCCAAAACCTCACAGTACACAAGAGCAACTTCAAACCCCAGCATCAATGGCAATCACGCGGCAGAGTTTACAGTATCTATCAATGTCCAGTGATGCACTGCACTTTTGCCCAACGCCACAGCAATGTCAAAAGATAAAAAGTCGGTGCCATGTACAGCAGTCACACCTCCCCATCACGTCCTTCCGCCGGATTCCTCACAACAGCTGTTATAACCAGGGGCCCGGGAACCCAACAACTTCACCATTTAAATAAGCTCAGATGTTGCGTAACTCGATTTCATTGGGGACTGGATACTTGGAAGCACTCTTAAGTTGGGATAAAAGTTACAGGTGGACAGGACCACTCACTATTAAGTCGATTGTCAGCGAATACTTTACCAAGCCGAAGATTATGCTCAGTCAAAAGTCAACTTATAACCAATGTGACATAGTTAATGAGTGTCAACATTACTCATGATTCTCTCGTAATAACTCATCTCGGCGGCAGACCACTTGAAGGGCACGTGTTGTGACGTCCCAGCGGCCATGGTGCGCGAGATTGTTGGCTGGAGCAGTGGGGCAGACAGGACATCGTCCCTGAGCAAGCAGCCGTGCTCACGTGACCCGGACGTTGCCATCTCGGCAGGTCTTAGTAACTTAAAAATTGCGAACGTCATTTCGGATCTTACGACAATCGCAGCCGGAGGACTTTTGCAAAATTTATACACGAGTTCTCGAGCCCCAAGCCGCATTGTTCCGTGTGGGACTGCTCCCTTCACACAACTCCCCAACACGCAACCATGGGTCGGGACACCTACAGATGAATCCCATGACTCTCACGAAGACGCAAAATTGGAAACTCCCGTGGCAAATTATCCACGCGGAGCCCCTCGCCCCTATTCCCTTTATTTGACCTCGCGAGCAGCTCCATGACAACCTTGCGTCAAACCAACAAATGAACAAAGGGAATCCCGTCTCTGACGGTTAAACGAAATCCAGCGACAAACCCACACACGCTCAGAACCGGCACACCTCGATACCCAAGTTTCCAGATGACGCGTTTCCAAATCGCGTCACCCAGCATGCACGGGGGTGGGTGGGGGGGTTCATTCGGTGGCGGCGGCGGCATCGGGCGGGGGCATCAGCATGACCACGTCCAACTCCCGCTCCTTCTCGCGGACGTGCCTCTGCTGGTGACCCAGCAGGTGGTGCTTGAGGCGGAAGGTCATGCCGCACTCGACGCACACGAAGGGCTTCTCGCCCGTGTGAATGCGCCGGTGGCGGATGAGGTCGACCGACTGCAGGAACACCTTGCCGCACTCCTCGCACGTGAACAGCACCTCGCCGGCGTGCGTGCGCTCGTGCTTGCGGAAGTACTGCAGGTGCCGGAACTTCTGGCCGCACACGCGGCACTGGTAGGGCTTCTCCACGGCGATGCGGCACGGCAGCTGCAGCTGCGCCGAGCTCGGGTGCAGGCGGGCGACGCAGTGGGCCCGCGCGCCGACGGGCTCTGGGTGCAAGCCGTCCACGCGGCACTGCCGGGCGGCGCTCGCCGCGCTCACCCCCGCCGTGCCGGCAAAGGCCAGCGGCGTCGCCCCGTGATCTATGAGGCCCCTCCCATTTCTGAAATAGTTTATCAGAGTTACATTGTCCTGATTGACTCCTGGGAAGGCACACTTATCCCTTTTACAATCTTCCCTCCTGTGTCCTGCGAACAACAAAGAAAAAAATAAACAAACGTTTTTCCTTCCGCTTTTGACATTTTTATTCCGCGCCGTTCACCGAGCACAGGGGCTGCTGAGCTGCGAGGGAGGGGGGTGGGGGGGGGGGCCCGCGTAGCAACACTAGAGCCGCTGCCGCTTGTGCAGGCTCTTGTGCCGTGCCATGTTGAACGACCGGGAAAACCTCTTCCCGCAGAGGTCGCACACGTAAGGCTTCGAGTCCGTGTGAGTCTTCTTGTGCTGCAGCAGGTTGCTGGACTGCGCGAACCTGCGACCGCACTCCTCGCACATGAAGGGCTTCTCGCCCGTGTGTGTCCTCTGGTGCTTGTGCAGGCAGTGCTGGTAGTGAAACCACGCGTCGCACTCCATGCACTGGTAGCCACGCGTCACCGCGCTCTGCCCCTCGGCGTCCGGGAGGATCTCAAACGGCTCGCCGCCGCCGCCGCCGCCGCCACCACCGCCGCCTCCCGTCTCTCCTGAGCGGCGGTGGCGCTCGGACCTCGTGGTCCCCGGCCAGCGCCAGCTACCGCCGCCCAATTGGCCGCTTGCACCCGGCTGCGGGTCGCTACGGGCCTTCCCGGGGAGCTGCGCGTGGCGGGTGGCGGCGAGATCTGTAACGCTAGCCTGGTCCTCGCAGCGGTCGTGCGCGTCAGTCCACGTCTGCTCTGTGGGTTTATAACCTCCAGAGAGCCTGCCACTCCAGACACCTGTTTACATTTAAACACGTAGAGCTTTAGCACGGGACCCTGCCCGGCGAGGCACGCTGCAGAGAACACGAGCAGAACACCGCAACGGCGCAAAGCCAGCAAAACGCCGTGAGCATAAGAGCTAGAAAATTCAAGTTAGAAAATTTCAATGCTTTTTGTCATATTAGCAGTCTGCTGTGACCATTGTACAGTTCCGTTGGTGATCCAGAAATCCCGAGTGGTAATGGACTAGCAGCTGGAGCTGTACAATCTGGTGTTGATTTAAAATCTTCAACCCAGAAAACCTCCCTGACTCAACTCTTTCATTTTGGAATGTTTGGATAATTTCATTTCGGAGCATTTCCTGCACACGTGGAGGAAACGAGAGTTCCATCCAAGAAGAGAATGATCAAAGTTACAGCCCAGGCATCAATGCTGTCGAGGAGAGTGCTACGTGTGCTTGCAAGTGTGCAAGCATGCGTGTACCGGAGTGATCATGCATGATCATTGCATGCGTACGTGCATGGTTACGTACTGGAGATTGCGTGTGCGAGTGACCATGCAGGTGCGCGTAAGCGAGCGTGTGCCCAAGTGCGCATACGTGCACACTCGGCCGTAAGCATGAGAGCGTGTGCGCGAGCGTGCCCGTTGCAGGCGCCTCTCACCTGTGCGTTGGACCCCGGCTGCTCCGCCTCCCGCACGTGGCTGGAAGCCCCTGGAGTCCGGGGACAGCTGCAGCTGCTCGCCCAGACGGTCGGGCGCCACCCCCGACGCCCCCGCGTGGCAGTGGCCCCTGGCTCCCAGCGCGTACAGACTCCCGGCCGATCTGGTCCCTGCCCCCCCGACTCTGCCTCCTTGTCCCGCCGCCGCCGCCGCTCCCGCGAGCGTCACGCTGCCCCGCCGAACCCAGCCGCTGTCCCTCCCCAGGCCAGTCGGCGCCGGGCTGGCGCGGTGGAACGGCTGCTCACGTGGCTCCCCGGTCTGGTGCGGCATCTCCAAATCGGCGCTCATGCCGATGAAATTCCTGCTGTCCGACGAACCGATTTCGACTGCGCAGGCGAATGGGGGGGGGGGGAGGGGGACAGGATAAACCTTATGCATACGCAGCGATGGGAACGGAAGCAACACAGGAGGGTAGACGCTTAATCACGGCTCTCACAAGCGCTGTGTTGTTCGTGATTTAGAATTTCTGCTCGACACATCGTCACACAGACTTCACCAAAAATGTACTACCAAGAATTATAATTGAGGAGTTTGAGGTTATCAAACGGAATGTTGCATCCCCACTATCTTAAATCGTTAAGAGTACACGTACGGTATCATTCCAGGAGTTTCAATTGTATGTTGTCCAACCTCCATTGAACAGTGCTTTCTCAATGGCCTTCCACCTTGTTAAACTACACCGCGAGGAATTTCGATTTAAAGCTTTCGGGACTGCAGGGATTCATCTTCTTGGTTCTTTCGGTAAAGTTTCTACGTGACTTTACCGAAAGAACCAAGAAGATACACCGCGAGACCTCGTCAGCCGTGCGCGCGAACGGAGGTGCAGCAGCAGCGCTAAGCAGGGCGTGAGATGCCACGGCTCTCACTCACCGCTGTGCACGACGACCCCCGCCTCCACACTCAGATTCCAGTCGTCGGGCTCGGCTCCATCTCCTCGCTCCCCGTCATCGAACACGTTTTCTCGCTGGTCCAGGCACCCGACCCTGTCGTCTGAGAAGACGCAACGCAGGCCAAAAGCTGCGAGGCGAGTTTTTCGACTCGCGACACGGACGGCTAAAGGGAGGGCACCGTCGCCTGCGTGGCCAGCGGAGTTACTGCTCCCACTCTCAATGCCAGTTGGGGCCATGCATCGGCGGAGTTTTCCCTTCCCGTTCAACTGCAGCGGTGGCATTTTCTACCTATCGTGTATCGGGATTTGCCACTTGTGGATTTGCGGAGTTTTGGGTTAACTTGCAATATATATAGGTCACAAACCTCTCAGGAACTCATCCTTCTCCAGCTTCACTTCCGCCAGCAGCTCTTTGGTGCTCACGCAACTGGCAGCGTAAACTGCGATTGGCGGCGGCTCCTGCCGGGGCTCATCCGCTCCCGCCAGTGGCACTTTCGTCGAAGCTAAAGGCGACACAAAATAGATGTAGCCAGAGGATCGTTATTTGATTACAAGCGGAGATCACGATCGCGCACGGACATCATTGCGACTCTCACCTGTTACATGAGCTTGGTGGCTTTGGAGTGGGGGGCTGCAGTTATGAGACCACTCGACCTTTTGCAAGATCTTTCGGTGGAATACATAGCTGAACCTATGTTGTGTGATTGTTGTAGCAATAAAAATTGGATAAAGCATCCAAAAGGAATCGCATCTCAACAGGTTACACGTCAGTTTAACACGTAGGTTACATGTGTTCAAGGTGTTCAGCAGAAGAAATGTTTTTGGGATGAGAGGGTAGAAGGCTACATGGCAAAGGATGATGATGACGGTATACTACAGTCAGTCCAATTGAAGAAATATAGAGAATGGAGTCCCCATCATAGACATGATTATCATTAATTATTCAAACATCGCTGTTTTTCTCTTATCTGTTGATGCTTAAGGTTGTGTTGCTTATCGTGCTGTGCTGAGACATGTTCCACCATACTTTCCAACCCAGATCTCACTTGCACAAGAGGCTCTCAACTGCTATACAGTTCACATGTACGTACAAATGTATTTATCCCAATAAAGGAAGAGCAGCGAGGATTCAGCATTCAATGCTGTAGGCGACCTGTAGCGAAACGTATTTGTTTAAAACCACTTGGAATTGACCCAAAGTGACGAGAGGTGTGTGACGAAGAGCCAGACACCTTCGGAGTTGTGCTCCAACTTGATGGCAGCTCCCCTCCACGCCATGCAGCCTGAACTGTTGTCCCCGCCGGGATGCGGGACAATGTCCATGGCAGAGCCATCGCCTGCGGGGAGAACAAAGAACAAAGATCCCCCGTGTAGCCTTAACAGACTGTAGGGTCAAGTGCTGTTAGCACGGCACACGAGAGGGGAGGTGGCCAGCATCACGCCTGGCCACCTTTCATCTCCCCAGTGGCGATGGTTTTACACACCGCACCAGGTTCTAATTTGAGGCCGAGTCAACCTCGGGCAGGCCCAGAATCGATTCAGATAATCATCACTGGCGTTGGCCATGAGCGGAAATCGAACTTGGGTCACCGGTTTCGTAGCACAGCACGCTAACCGTTGCACCGCCGCTCCCCACCAACATGCTCGCACTTAGTCTGGCCCTCCTCTTCCAGCCGACAATGGTTGAGCAACACAAGTCGAGAATGGATTCCGAAAACAATTATCGAGAGATCTATGACCGAGTGACAGCCCCTATGCACGACAAGACATGAACAAATGCAACTGAAAATGCCGCCCCGGAATCCCGACAGGATTGCACGTCACCTGGTTCCACCAGTGGCTCTTCCTCCTCGTCAGCCACGTCCTGAGCTTCCTCCGTCACGCACGAGTCCACCACCACCGCTTCGTAATCGTCGGCCACGTCGACAACTGCAGGGCACCAGAGAGGGCAAGTTCTCCATCATCATCATCATCATCGTCGTCGTCTGGGGTCAATTCACTTCTGGATGAAGGCCTCCCCCAAACTGCTGCCACATTCCACCATTCTTCTATGCAAAATCAAAAGGTCCAGCAAATAGTAAATCAATAAATCCAAATCGAATTGGCGACTGGTGCCGTGAACTTTAGACTTCTGGAGTTGCAAAGTTCATATCCACATTTGATGGGCGTACTAGAAAAAACGTGATAATCCAGTCTCATAGCCCAGGCAGTATACTTTTATTCAGCGGCAGATTAAGTGGATAAACAAAAAAGTGTATTTATTAAAAAAGTGTATTTATTAAGTTCCTTGTGCGGCAAAATATGTAAACATTATTATATAAACTAGGGGTGATTGTGAATAATTTCAATGATGATAACTAACATAGGTCATCTTAAAATATAATTATTGATCAAGATTTTCCATGACACACTTCAATTATAATTGAGATTAAGGTTCACGAATGCCTCCAGCCAAGTCTACACAGGAGAAATGGTGCAGCACCAAGGCGAGTGTCACTCGACCCACGACTGCGACGACACGTACAGCACTGAACCGACTGCTACCGGCGTCACGTCACGAGACCTAGATTCCATGAAGAACTCTCGCTTTCGACACTCCTCACGATGCACGTTTTCTCACACATCCTTTATCCGCTCACAGTCTCTACGGCGCCAACAAAGAAGAGTGTAAAGCGGCGCCCACCTGTGCCCGGGTACGGGACGTGCTCTCCCTCGCCATCGTCCAGCGACACCACGGGGTAGAGGGCGGGCTCCAGGCAGCTGAACCTCTCGGCCGAGTGCAGCAGCTCCTGGCTCAGGCTGTTGAGCATGAGGACGATGGCGTCCAGGAGGCCGCTCAGGAACGGCTGGAACGCCGCCGCGTTGCCGGCGGCCTGAAGGCCGCCGCCGGCCCCGTCGTGGCCCTTGGGGGACGAGGCCTCGGTGAGGCGGCGCAGCACGGCGTAGAAGGCGAAGGGCAGCCGCTCCCTGGCGGCGGCGAACATCTCGGCCCTGACGTGGGGCTGCTCGGCGCACGCCAGGAAGGCCTCGTAGTCGCCGATGCCCAGCTCCCTGTCCACGGCCTCGGCCACGCTGAGGCTCACGCCGTGAGCGGCCAGCCACGCCGGGAAGTCCTGGCGCGGGTTGATGTGGGACACCACTGCGGCCGCCGCCACCGCCGCCATTGCTGGAAATTTGGTTCACACTGCAGGCCTGCGTGTCCATGAAATGCACGGTCAACACATGAATGGTCTACGCCATAATCACGTAATAACACCGTTCTCTTGTCGATTTGCCGTGGCGATTCCAACCTGATGATGAAACAGTTTGCAAAACCTGATGCGATGATCATGCCAATTTCCAAACAAAGAGATTAATTATAAAATAATTTTATCATTTTCTTTTCTGAGAAGATGTTGAAGCACTAATTATAAATGCTCCATGAGACTGCGCTGGGTGCGGATGCCAAAAAACCCACAATGGAACCGACAGCAGCGAGCATGGTGAATGCACATTCGTACTCTGCATAGAGAACCACTGTCAGAGCACAAAAAATGTAACGTCAGCATTTGTCCTTTAGACCTTTCAGAACTCTTTACTACAAACACTCTTTTGTTTTACGTACAACAGACGGGGCACTTGCCGTATGGTAGCGTGCATGCGATGTGATGACTTCTGTTTCAGAGTAACGCAGGCAACACTGCATCAAATCACAGTGGGCTGTGTGGGTCCCTCTTCTCGCAGTTCTCCGTCCAGATAATACTTGACCAGAACATTGCTCGAGCTGATGCCACAGAAACCATCATATAAATGGCTACACGCCAGTGAAACTGAATAATGCACTTTGAAACAAGCCGGCGACATAATAAAGTGTGTGTGTTTAGCGTCCCATGATAAAGATTACTCCAAAGTTCATGGAATTGCCCAAAAAACTGTGAGGTCAGACAGCCCAGCACTGTTATGGCTGGGTTCCCACTCAACCAAACTAGCACAGAGGCTACACCAATATTCTTGGTTCTTTCGGTAAAGTAACATACAAGGGAAATAACAAAATAATATAAATATAAAACAATAAAAATTCTCACGACGTTTCGACTGCAACACAAGCAATCATCATCAGGTGTGATGATTTTTATTGTTTTATATTATTTTATTATTTACCTTCTACGTGACTTTACCTAAAGAACCAAGAATATGAATCCCTGCAGTCACGAAAGCTTTAAATCAAAATTTAGGCTACAACAATGTTTACCAAAACACGTGCTCATGATCCACCAGTCACCTTTCAAGCCATGCGGGTTGCACCAAGGTTTTAGTGAAACAGCGGAGATGTGTTCCAGTGGTTCTTCCAACATTGTGCTTTGATCTCGGTGACCTCACCTGGTGTTTAGTCCGCACTGTAGGTCTGCTTTGTGCTGCTGAACCTTGCTTATAATTAGAGACTCGTTATTTGTCTTAGTTGCAGTGTCTCTTGTGATGTCTGTCATCTGCACTCGAATTTGTAGTTTCGTGTCTGCCTCGCTTCGTACTACGTTATCAGTTATTTGTCTAATTTGTTTCATTTTGTTTGTTCAATGCGTCTCGTTTGTTCTGTTTAGATCGTACTGTTTTGTCCTATCTCTTGTTTGCTTTGTCTCATCACGACTGTTTATTCTCCATCGTTTGTTCTGTTTCGTTCATTGCGACGATGAGCCGAAAGCGAATACTTTTCGCATTGCGTGCGCGTTAGTCGTCATGCATATTCAAGTCGCGACATTTTGATGCACGTATCGAGAAACTGGGGATCCACCAGACCGATGAACTTACACGCAAAATGGAACACAATAAAAACCGAACTGCTGTACTGGGACAAAGTAGACAGCGCAAACGGAGCAAACAGGGCAGGAAGAGACGTTGTATGAAGACAGTGCAAACCGCAGACGTTGCGGACGAGACGGACAGCCGGAACAAGACAACGAGGCACAACGCACGCAGACAGGACAGCGAACACATTGACGTGGAGACGGATAACAGACGGAACAAACCGAATGTCTAGTGCACCTCCGACGAACACGGTTGGCAACGTAAGGTGCGAAAGAAGTTCAACATACATACGAAATAGAACAGACGAGGAAGACAGAACAGGCGAGATTGACTGAATATACGCAATGGGACACTTTGGTCTAAATAAAATAGCACGGTAAGCGAGTATACATAGCGTCTATACACAGAACACAAACGAGGCGATACAATGAACACAGACTGTACAGAGGACACACCAGACAGCACACACAGTCCAAGTACAAGCGACGCCGAGACAAAGCGGCCACACGAGACGAGCAGAACGAACAAAGTCGTAAATGGGCCGCAACAAAAGCACGACGCCAAGAGCAGAGGTCGCAACCGGGTACCCGATACCCGCACCCTACCCGATACCCGGCTACCCGTTTGCGACCCTGGTGCGGCCGGGTACGGGTAGGCCGTGAGTCACTGGTGAGTCACCGTTTGTCACTCATTTCCCAACGTCTTGTCTCTTCTCACAATTCAAGTTCCTAGAATCAACCCACCCGCGCCTGCAACGTGGCTTCATCCCAGAGGTCGCAATCAGGTACCCGATACCCGTACCCTACCCGTACCCAGGCAGGGTACTGGTAGGGGACGGGTACGGGGCCGGGTAAGGAATCAAAACCCGTTTGCGACCTCTGCCCAAGAGGCACCGCAGCCACTCGCGGCTTCGATCCGTGCCGCCGGTCACACGCCAGCAACTCGAGTGGAACCCCGTGCACGGTTCGGTGGCACCATTGGAACCTCCTTTGCCAGTAGGAAGACATGAAAATTGGTTTTTACCCTTATATCTGGCAACAAAACTGACACCTTTGTTCATTATCAGAGTTGTGTTTTTGTTTGCATTCCGACCGCAGGTATTGTGGTCAATGCAAACATGACTCCATGTAAAAAAAGGTGTCAGTTTTGTTGCCAGATAAAAGGGTAAAAAAAACAATTATCGGTTCGGTGGCAATTTGCGAGCAGCGCGAGTTCAGTGGCATTCGCTTTTCAAGTGGGCGAGCGCCCCGGCCTCTCCACCTCCGGGCTCAGTTTCCCTGCCAGGGGCCCGCGCTCAGCCCGGGCAGAGCCATCAGACAAGGGTCGGGGGTGCGTGGACGAGGGGTAGGCCGAGAGCCGGCCCGGTGGCTACAATGAAACCATCGAGCACTGCTAAAAAGCCAATGTCTGAAGTGAAGAAGTAGTGTTTTAAAAACAAACTATTCACGTAAATGGCGTTGTGTGTTGGTCGGGAGTTACCTGGCAAACAGCAGCAGCAGCTGTTACATCCCAGCGCAGACGTTGAGCGAAGCCGCCATTACCTAGTGACGAGCTCTGCCGAGTCAACACGGGCGCTGATTGGCCGGCGTCTCTCGGCGCCGATTGGTCAAGATCTCTCGGCGCCGATTGGCCGGCGTCTCTCGGCGCCGATTGGCCGAGATCTCTCGGCGCCGATTGGCCGAGATCTCTCGGCGCCGATTGGTCGGGATCTCTCAGCACTGATTGGCTCACATTTGAGCTTGCGTCCCGCAGGCGCTACAAAGGTAAAAGCGCAACGCCCCTGCAGTCACGTGGGCCCCGCACTAGTGGCGCAAGGGACTAGCACGGTTGGCTACGTACGGTGCAAAAGAAGTTCAACAGTGTACATACATCGAGGGAGCGCGAGAGAGCTCCTGTATGGTGGGGTTGCTATTGGTTACTCTTCTACGTTGCCCAGAAATATTGGAAGGGAAGCACCCACAAAGATAAAGATCCCCCCGGATAGCCTGCACAGACTGTTGGGGCAAGTGCTGTTAGCGAGCAGCACCTCTGAATGCCGGCAATGTGGAACACGCAATCTGCTTTGTTCTATTGGCTGGGCCGATTGCATGCAATGGGATTTTTTTAAAAGCTTCTTTTGAATTGCCTCGCCGGAAGATAGAAGCGGCTACCCCATGTATACAAGTAAATGTTATAGGCGAGGCTGGAGCGCGGTGGCCCGACCCTTCCCCCGATGCGTCCAACCCAAGAAGTGTCCCTGAAGCAGCCAGATGCCTCTGCGGGGTCTACTCAGACCTCCGCACTTCTGGGAAGATCCTTGGGCAAGCTGGCAGCCCCCTCCCTTCCCCCATCAGCCCCGTGAACAGTTTACAAGAAATTATTTAGTGATGCTGTGTTGGCAATTTTAGTGCACAAGCACACATCTGAAGAAAAAAATAAACCTCGGAATTCATAAGATAGCACATTAAATGTTCCTTGTGGAGGGTAATTTCCGAAAAGGTTGGCGAGATTTTCGCTTTTATGGCAGTTATTGGTATAGCCCCGTCCACAAGAGGCAATGTATTTTTAAATATTTTATTCATCTTGATTTTAAGCTTTCGTGACTGCAGGAATCCATACTCTTTGGTTCTTTCGGTAAAGTCACATAGGTAGAAAATAAATCATTATACCTACGTGACTTTACCGAAAAAACCAAAGAGAATGTATTTTTACTTTCACTTGCCACCAGACGATTCAATCCACTTTTGTTTATTAAACATTAAAACAATAAAAAAAATTATCACGCATGTTTAACGTTGCCGTACGTTAGCAATAACGACCGTCCATGTGCGCGCATATTCAGCGCTGTTGCGGATACTGTGACAACTGCAGACCCTCGGGAAAACCCATTCCCTCCCACCTCTCGCAGCCCACGTTAAAGAAACACAGGTGAAGTTGTTGCAATGATGAGTTGCACTTATTAGGCACCTTTCACAATATCTCAAGGTGCCATGGGTGAAAAGGGCACGGATAAGAGCCGGATGACAGAATAAGGGGCCAGAGAAACTAAGCTAATTAAATAATATTTTTAGTTGGTACTAACACTGTCCAAGAGGCCGATTTACACAAGTGTGGGGGGGGGGGGTCACCAGGCCGGGAATTCTCCAACCGGGGAGACACCAGTCAGAAGTTCCACAGTAAATGCCCGACCACCCCAAGAAAGTAGCCAAGACCGAGGTATACATAGGGCACCATTGAAGGGGGGACATGGTTGCATTAGCTGCTGAATATAATTTGGAGCTCGCTTTCAAAAAGACCTCAAATATAAGCAACGTGATCTTAACTTCCACTTGTTTGGAGACGGGGAGCCAATGCGAAGATGCAAGAACCTGAGCGATGTATTCTCCCAGTGCAAGACGAGCAAGCATCTCGACTGCTGCATTTGTGGCATCTTGATAGGTACCCCGATCAACAAGGCAATACATTCAATCCACAATAAAACAATTGCTTGGAGCAGCAGCATCTCTGCATCGGCAGATGCAAGAATGATGCAATTAAGTAATGGTTATAATATGGAAAAAATGCAGTCTTAATAGCCCTATTAATCATCGGATTCCTCTAGTATTAATAAAGATTTTGAATGTGCCTCGCAGGAATGAGACTGGACAAATTGCACCCCCCGAGTTATCTGACGTCATGTACCGGGCACACACATTCTGTCCATTGATCACCAGGCAGAATAAACCAATTCCACCACTCAGGGACATGACGGAAGGTAAAAGTTGGACCGTTGAATGTTAACCTCGTGGATGAAACGAGATTGAGGCACACCGAGACAGGTTGTAAATGACTGTACATCAGTGACTGACAGTTCACACCGGACAGTGCCATACACGATAGAATACTACAAAGGTGGCAATACAAATTGGACAAACAACATGCAGTGCACGCAGTGCAATTTACTGTAAAGACGGGTAATATAGGAGGCTGAACAATAGACAGAAAGTACAATCTAGACACATCACAGCAAATTGTACAAACTATTGTCGAGTACCGGCAGTAACAAATGAGAAACGGGAGAAACAACCAACGCGACAGCAGACAAAACAACGCAAATGAGAAGGGACATACGAGATGAATGGTACGGAAGGGGAGAAGGTAACCAGTACAAAACAAGAGAATACAAACAAGGCAAAATAAGGAAGCCGATTTTTTTACCGCATTGTAATAAATCAGGTCAAAAGAAGAGTAAATTGTGTTACTCTTGGCAGGAAGTTACACAATCCACGCGACCTCTCAGCAGACGTGGTCTCCATCTCCCCGTGCTGCAGGCCACGGCAGTTTATGCGAGTCAAGGTGGTACACAAACCTCATTATTTGTATCCATTGCTCACAGGACCAAGTGTCTTTCTTACATCAGGAGTCTCATTCACAACTCGGGACAGGACCAAATACACAGGCGGGAGTAAGGGGGCTCTCGTTACCGCCTTAATTTGCGGGAAGGGGGAGCACCCATATCTATACCCTCCATCTAAAAATACGTTAGGAGCACGCCTTGGTGCTGGTAACAATTCCAAGTCATGGTTCCCTTTAACGGGCGGCCTTGAATGAGGACCGAAATTCCACTCGAGGTGCGCACACCTCCAAGCAGGTGGTGGTGAACCGTGCAACCGTTTTGAGATCTGGCATTTGAAATCGATGGCATCAACCGCGCGTCATCCTTGGTGACCTCTGCCTTCACATTTGGGGTGCTGCTTCTGAATGGGGAAGAGCATCGAATTCCATTGGGGGGGGGGGGGGTGGGTATGGACCCCTCCTACCCATAATCCATATGGAATCACTTGTTCCATACTCCACAAACCTCAAAGTTCATATGTACATTTCACAAACACGCTCGAAACATCGCATATACTGTATGTGCGCGACAAGTAACCTTGTTAAACACGCGCTTCTTTTTTTAAAGAACATTATTTTCACTACCATCAGTGTCCACGGAGAAACGCAGGCAGCCACGGATCATGAGGCGTTTGTGGTCAATGGCAACCGATTAGCACAAAATCACGTAAAAGCCAACACCGCATTAATCGCTCCGTATATATAAATTCCGTACATCACACACAATGGACGCCGCACAAATTGCCAATTCAATACAACCGCTGTATTGATATTCCAGTACCAAGTTCACCAGCGATAGTGCCGGCTCTGCGACTGGAATGCGTGGAAGCACTGCGGTACGTGATGAAATGTGCATGGAGAATCCTGGTGATGTGCGTGGATGTGACAGGCAGCTGGCAGATGCAGCCGACCTTGCCGAACTCCTGCATCCGCACCTCTTAAAACAGGACAGCTTCTTGGGCTTGCTTGCAGCTCAAGTTGACGAGTCACTTTCTTAACGGAGCAGTTATCTGCTCACAATAGCTTAGTCTTGGGTACAATGACTAAGGATCTTTCTTCGTTGGGAAAAAAAAATAAGATGTCCCCTCAAGTGTATTATCTTGATGGAGTTGAGACCCACATGGAAGACCCGAGCTGGAGTCAGGTCAGAGTGTTGGGCTGAGCCATCAGGCATCCAGGCAATGATCAGAGCTGCTACTATCAGTTGCCACACAGCCATGAACCAGCCTGCCACTACCAAACCACCAAAAACACACACGCATGCACAGATGATCCTGGCAACCTCCATTATCTACATAATACTGGGAGCATTACCAGCTTTGGAAAACCAGACCCATTTATATATTCCACAATTTACAGAAGTAGCCATGGGCACCAATGAGTGAAGCATCAAGGGTATTCAGTCACCCCTGGTAGAATCCCCTAAGCGCAGAGCTGACCCCGTGGGCTCTCCTCCTTCACAGCGCAGCTCCGTGCAAGAGTCGCTTGGATATGTGAAGCTGCTGGTGGTAGCCGAGGCTGTCGGACGTGACGAAGCGCTTGCCGCACTGCTCGCACGCGAAGGGCCTCTCGCCCGTGTGCGAGCGCTTGTGCCGGGCCAGGTTGTTGGACACCCTGAAGCGCTTGCCGCACTGGGAGCACTCGTACGGTTTCTCGCCAGTGTGCTTGCGCTGGTGAGACAGCAGCGCGTACTTCTTGCCGAACATCTGCCCGCAAAGGGTGCACGTGAACGGAGCCGTCATGGTGCCGCCGGTGGCGGCGGCGATGACGGCGTAGGCAGCGGCGGACGCTCGTGCCCTCGCGCTGCCGTACCTGCGCGATTTGGTGCGCGCCACCGCCGAATGCATTCGCACAGCCTCACCGCCCGCCGCGGGGCCGGGGATGTGCTGGACGCACCGTTCAATGTGCGGAATGGCGCCCTGGTAGGCGGTGTGGTCAGAATCGGCGCTCGGCAGGGGACAGCCGACGTTCGCCTGAGCGGGTGAGCTCTCCCACAGGGCATTCCACTGGCCTGCGAGCAACACAAGACACCACCCTCTGTTGTATGGCGTCCTTCCCACTTGCAAGATTTATTGAGCCAAATCCGCTTCCACGCTAGCGCATGCTAACTACGGCAGCAACACTTGCTAGAACCCACGTCCCAACGTCCAACACATCACATCCCAAACGGAACGCACGGTTAATGTTGCGTCGTACGTGCATTATACTGATTGTTAAATGCAAATATCAAAAACTCGTGGCAAAGTTCTTCAGTGGGGAAAAAAAAAAAAATGTGTCGAGGTACAGTAATATGTATAAAAAAAACTTTAAATGTCTGTGGGCCGTGAGGACCACAAAAAGATTTCTACACAATCCTATATAAAACACTAATTGTACACTTAAATAAAAGTCTAACAAAATGTTCTAACTTACCATTACCACCAGCAATGGACAATTATTCATAACACTAGTAATATTAACATATTCCAAAAAGAGCAATTAATCACTTTGGATACAGCACAGTACATTAACTAATTATTATAATAGGCACAACACTGCACTCCAGATACAAGTAAGAACACCGAGTGTATAAAAGCGTTGTCATTCGAGTTTTCGTCCTTCCATGGACTGCAGCATAGGACTCCATGCCCTAAACTCGCTGCGGTATTCATGATCCCATAACAAAGGTAGTGTTTGGTACGAAGAAAAGTATCATATGCCACAGTTCCTTTTCATCTACGGCACCGCCTTCCACTGGCAAGGAAATTCATGATTGATAATCATCAGAGACGCTAAAGTCAAGGAGATGTGTCCGTCATGGAACATTGCTAAGTCCTTCCGGCGTGTGGAAGTTCGCGGGGTGGTAAAGCGACAGCAAATAAATTAATTTCGGAGTCGGAGACAGATTCTTTCTGGGCAGTTGCACGCCGGTTGCATGGGCGAAGCACACCAGTGGTGGCAGTGGCGGCGGCGGCAGCTTCAGTAATGCTGGAAGGACCTCCTGTGCTGGGTGAGGTGGTGCGAGCAGGAGAAGCGCTTGCCACAGCGCTCGCAGCCGAAGGGCCGCTCGCCCGTGTGGATGCGTCGGTGCCGCGTCAGGTTGTCGGAGCGCAGGAAGCGCTGGTCGCAGAAGTCGCAGGCGTACGGGCGCTCGCCCGTGTGGTTACGCACGTGGATCCGCAGGCTGCGCTTGTGCATGAAGAGGCGGCCGCAGTGGTCACAGCGGAACGGTGCGTTCAAACCGTCTTCGGTGGGTGGCGCCGGCGGGAATCCAGGAGCGGCGGTGGCCGCGGTGGCGGCGGTTTCCACTCCGCGCTTGCTCCCTTCGCCGCTGTTCGCTCGGGCGTCTCCCAACGCGTTCCATCGCCAACTTTCGGGCCCAACGACATTCTCTACGAAAGCCTTCTCGCTCGGAAGCAATGGATGTTTCAGCTTTTCTGCATTGTCCGCACGAGTGTTGAAGGAGTCCACATTTCTACAAGCTGAAAAACCAAGAATATTTCTCCATAAGGACATGAACGATACAGATGGCCTCGTCAAATGCTCAAGTCAGCAATGTCAACGTATTTCTGGTTTGGAATCTTGCATTATGTACGCTTTCTTATTTTTTCTTTTACGTTTAAATGTTTTCATAAATATAGCCACAGATTTGTTTTCTTTCTATGAAAGGTGTATAATAGATTTTTTTTTAGATTCTTTCAAATAACATGCATTTTACAAGTCAAAATAGAATTTTTAGAAACAGCAGCTTAACTACCGTGTATTTACAAACAATTACGTAGATAACGTTTCACTTAAGCACATATCCATTACAATACTAGAATATTTACAACGGCAAAGAAAAAAAACTTAAACAGAACAAAATAAGTGAAACCCTCTCCCAAACATCGATTTGTCACAATTACAAAAACAAAAAAACCTGCCAAGCAACTTGGGCGAGCAAGGCCCTATTGTCGTCGTGCCCACCGAGCCTCATTCGATCGGCGGGCAGTGGACGTTGTGAAAGCCGGGCCCGTCCAAACTGAACCCTCCTAGCTCGCCCTCGTGCGTTTTCTGGTGCCTGCGCAAGTGCTGCTTCAGCCGGAAGGTCATGCCACAGTCCCTGCAGGAAAAGGGCCGCTCCCCCGTGTGGATGCGCCGGTGGCGGGTCAGGTCATGCGACAGCGAGAACTTCTTGCCGCAGTCCTCGCACGCGTACAGATTGACTCCCGTGTGCGTGCGCTGGTGCCTTCGGAACGAGATCACGTTGCGGAAGCGGTGGCCGCAGTCGCCGCACTGGAAGGGTTTGCTTTCGCCCGTCTCGGCCGACGGCAGGTGCAGCCACATCTTGTCGACGGCATCCTGGATCGCCTGCGTACCGCCGACGCCGCCGCCGCCACCGACGTCAGCGGAAGGGGGACCATCGATTTCAAAGTGCATCCCGAACCCAGGGATATCCGATGGGACGCCCGCCTGCTGTTGCGACTGAGTAATCGTATGGGACACGGATTGCCGGGGTCGGCCCAGGCCGGATAAATTGGAGCGGTGGTACCTCCACTTTGAAAACACATGGCCCTTTTCGTTCAGTCTGTGCACTGCGGCAAACGGAGGGAACTGGGGTGTGCTTGCCCGACTGGAATTTGAAACAGACCCCTCCTTCGTGACACCTGCAAACCGAGAAAAGCAAACTCGTCCACTACTGCTGCTCAACCCTGCTCCAAAGCACAATCCCTTTCTTTTTTTTATAGACAACTTATCAATCTTCCTGCCCCTTTACAAAATACAATGTAGCCTTTGCTTTCTGGTTGTGTTATAGAAAATGAAGCGATTTAACACGCAACCAATTATTGGTGCACATTTATTATTTCTTTCTTCCAGTATAAAACTGACAATTACAGATACACAAAACTGTCTCACTGCCATTAACTTTGCATTTATTGAAATAAATTTTTTTTTACCATTTTTATAACTGACCTATCCTACTTGTAATATGTCTCACTTAACATCCAATTAACAGCCTTGGCAGACTTTGGCAATACCCCAAATTTCTCTTAAACTATAGCATGCAGTAAATATTGAAGAAGCATTATTAATAATCGTTTTTTTTTCTATCCACCCACCTTAACATTAAAATGCCATCGTGCCAAGATTACGAATTTCATCAGAGCACTCTGTCAATGAACATGTACTTGGGCAGCAATGCAATCCTGGACAAAATGCAGGAGAGGTGGCCAAATAGCATTGGGGCAGAGCACTAGCTTCAGCCATTGACAGCTAGGATAGGTCAAATGTTAAAGTATGCTTGCAATTACAAAGGTGGTTTGGAGTAGAGCAAGCTTTGACTTCATGTTTATTTGCCTCTGTAAGAAGTCTTCATGGTCTCGGTTTTTAAACTAACAGAGCTACAGCAATTTGAGACTATGTCGCTTCTCATGTTTGGCCAAATGATGCAGGTTTAATGACGTCGGTGGCTGTTGAGCGCCAGACATTCCCTAAGCAGGTGAAATCATTTGTGTGGACGTTATCTTGCACTCTGGGCAAAAAAACAAGTTAAATCTTTACAGCAAATGACGACTCTTCTTCGGTGTCACCATCATTGTAGATATTGGAACAGCACCTTGGCAAACGCACGCCAGTGGCTGCATGCATTCGATCCATCACGGGAAGTTTTCCATTGTGGTCCTCTTTGCTTTTATTAATTTCCTTAATGGTAACGACACCGGCCTACAGCGACGAGGGCTTCTATAGAGCTTCTGACATAATAAAAAAAAATAAGTGGGTGCCCCTACGGGAGGTCGGCATCGTCCATGTAGGTGGCTGCCGAGCGATGGATCCTGCGATGCCGGGCGAGGCTGTTGGACCACGTGAATCTTCTTCCGCACTTCTCACAAGCAAACGGCTTTTCCCCAGTGTGGATGCGCCGGTGCCGCGTCACTTCGCACGCCTTGCGGAAGAGGGCACCGCACACCTCGCACGCGTGCCGCATTTTCCCATCCCCCATCCACCCCCGCGGGGACTGCTCGCCGCACGTCTCCCCCCATCGCTTGACAAAGCTACGGTGTGCCAGCACATTCCAGCCCTCCAGGTGATGCTGCTGCTGCTGTTGTTGCGAAGGACTCCTGAATTCTCTGTCCGACACGCCTTTGCTTTTCAGTTGGACGGCCGTTTTGGGGATCTTGCACTCAGCACCATTTCCTTTAGAGTCCTCACCTGTCACTACGGTCCGCTGGTGCTCAAACGAGGACCGCGCCGCACCCGGGCTCTCCGTCGCCGCCGCCGCCACCACTGCCGCCTGTTTTCCGTGCACCCAGGCTCGGCTGTCGTGGCCCCTCCAGTCGCCGAATAGCTGCAGCGAGTGCTTCGGTGGCCGCTGGTGCGGCACAACGTTCGTGTCCACGGGGTAAAGGCCCTCTTCTGGATCCTCCCTCCACTCGCCTGCGGAAGAGGTCGGGGAAAACAGCCGCCGAGTGGGTTAAGTGCGCGCCAATGAAGCGGTGGCGCCGACAGCACAGTGACGTACCTCGGTGGTCCTCGTGATAGTTTTGGCTCCTGTCAAAGTTCAGGCTGTTTGAATGATACTTGGGTCTCTGGTAACAAGCTGCGGGTACGTTGTCAAACATATGTAGGACTTGCCAATTCACCGCTGAGTTAGAAATACTATTCACTTTTTGAATGAGCATTTTTCCTTCAGTGCAATGAAACAAGACGTCCAGAGAAAACTCGAGTTACCACTTCCAAGGTTCGAATATACCGACACACAAAAGCCACTGCCGCCATCTCCCGTGCACAAGATTTGACATCTCAAAAACTACGTGCGATCCAGACCCTTGCCTCCGATACGCTGCAGAAAAACGGTGTGGGCCACCACACTCGCCTGAAACTACAACCACCAATGAAGGTTAAGAGACCCCTTATGGGTCACACTGCTGCAAGGTAACGTGTGACACGCGTGGGTCGGTGGCCGCATAAACTTGGGAGCATACCCTCGGCGCCGTGCGGCCCCTTGCTGTCCGCAGGAAGGCCCCACTCGTTCTGGGTGGGGTCGCCCTCCGTGTCGGCACAGTGCATCATCTCAGCTGCCTCACCATCATCGCCAGCAGGAGTAGATTCTGTGGAAAAACAAAACTTGAAAACCCTCGCAAAGAAAAAATTCCCCGCGCACATCCCCGACGGGCTGAAACGCCACACAACGTTTCATTAGCAAGTATCTTACTCTCGTCATTTATAATTCGTGGCATTGTGTTAATCCATTGGGAGTACACGGACTCACTCGCTCTACTGCCATCTATTTCTCACCATGCTGGTCAGTGCAGGTTGGTGAAGGGGGAGGCCCAAGACTGGTTCAGATACCACTCGTGGCTAATGTTAGCTATTGCTGGGAATTGAACTAAGGTCGCCGGATTCATAGAGCTGTCCACTGCTCACAACCCCCACTCTGCTATCTTCCACTTACAAAAGACCAGTTTACGATTTAAATCAGGACATGCTGAGTTGGCCGGGTAGCCGCGGTCAGAGTGATGAGCTAGCATCACTGAGATTCTGAGTTGAAATCCCACCAGCACCCAGAATTAAAACCCAGTTTTCAAGTGAAAGTGAGTCAATGGTGTAAGAGGCCAATCACCAATTACTGTACACAAAGATAAAAAACATGGTCTTGCAATTAATTTGGCCGAATTCCAGCTCTGAGAATTTAAATAATGAGTTTGATTGTCGCACTACGCGATTTTATTGTCGTGTATGGGCCACCTCTCCTGTGTAAAGGATAAAACTGTGACTTTGAAAGGATTCTTCGGGAGAAGTCCGGTGAAACATGTATTTTGTGGCCGCTCTCCTACACACAAGGCACAGTGCTGCTTTGTGTGATTTCCATACACATTCTAGATCTCAGGACATGAGAGCACAATTGGAATAGATTGGTGGGAAAATAATCAAAACACTGGGGTTTTTTTTAGGAAATAAACAATAAGTGCATTTAAATACTACATTTGATGCATAGTGAGTTTGGATAAACCTTCATAAGCATAAAGACCTATTGTAAATGTACATCTTACATAAATCCAAGCCAAATGAATTGCCTAATTTTGGGCTGAATATAACGGAGTGTTCCTCTACAAAACTGTTCACTCTTTTGAAAGCGACGATAATAAAAGCACAGTTTTACCTGCTCCGTGGCAATACTTTTCTCTCTTCTCAACTTTAATATCCTTCCACACGTGGCTTGGGTCCACTCCATCTTCATCCAAAACTGGTGTCTTCACCTCGGCTGCAAAGATGTTTGAAATTGTTGTTAAGACATGAAGTTCAATGTTAACTTATGACCGGTTGTCAGTCTCAGTCCAATATTCTTTCATTGTGCTAGTGTTTACACTGTGGTTTGCTCCAGAATAATAAGCACTGCAGTTTGGCGAGAGCCAACACCATTCTAGAAGTTGTGTGTTTTTAAAGGGCTCACAAAACGGACATCTGGAAAACACACGTGTAAAATCATTCAGCGTTGAGTCCAGACACGGGCCCACACCTTTCCGCAGCTGTGACAAACCATTGCGCTTATCTAAACAACTGACAAAGTGCATGCTGGAAGATGGGAAGTCCATACACCTTTGACTTAAGAAAAGTTTTTATTTGTGTGTGTCACACAACGTGATTTATCAGGCTCACACATTGCCTCAATAAAAATAAATGTTTAAATAAGCTGTTCTTTTTGTTCTCAGTATGGGTATATTGACATTTTGTCCATTCTACGCAATGTGCGCCGTAGAACAAGCAGGCTCACAGCTTGCACTTACAGCTTGTTCACTGCATACATTTAATGTTCAAACGCCGTGTAAGTAAGCGTGCTATTTCTACAGCACACACTTTATGTGCGCATCCGGAGAATTGGAAACAGATTCCCCAAGTCAAGCCAAGATGCCTCCAAATATTGACTTCAACAAGGCCTAAATATGATAAAGGTAACATGTAGGGTATGTAAATATTAATGAATTAAAATTGCATACGAATCATGCTTTGAATCACATGTAAAAAAACATGACATTCAAGCATATGTTATTGAACATTTAACTTAGAGAATGATAGAAAACATTTACCTAACAATAATTAAAATAAGAAAATGTATTTATGCTGGAGGAAACCGAAGAGCTATGGAAGTTCTTTTTCACAGATGTCCAGTAAATAAGATAATACAAAAAAAAATATAACACAATACAAAGTACACATTACACAGCAACATTAACCTGTACAAAACCGAGACAAACAGTACGGACAGTACAAATGAGACGTATGGCATAAAGAATGCTTACACACCAAAAACATCGGTTCTTCAAACTGTGATCCTGAACCGTGGTGGAGCGAGTGAATCTTTAACACGCCCAGTAATAGTCCCCCTTCCCTCCGCGAACACACACGCACCTTCCGTGGCCTGCTCCGCCTTCACGGTGCCCAGCCCCCACGCGGAGGAGCTCTGCGCCTCGCTGTCCTCCTGCAGGTCGGCTTGGGCGTGGCTGTGGGACGCCACTCCGTCCGGTGCTACCCTGCCATCGGGACCTGCGCAGCAAGAGGCAGATGCAGAGGCGCATTGCACGTCTGGAGCAAGCTGTGTGCCATCGTGCGCCGGTAATGCTACGCGAAAAAGTTGTCACAACTGCTTGTGAAGTTACTCAATTAGACCTATTCATGCAAATATTTTATTATTTTTACATAAAGCATTCACAACACGTCAATCTGGTTTATGATGTTTAATTCTCAAGAGAAGAGGTATGTTGCATTTTGTATTGCACCGAAGTTCACACAAAGGTTTTTGTGCACTCACGTGTAAAACCTGGATTGAACTTGGGTGGCCAATACTTAAAGATATGAACCCAAAGTCTCAGCGCTACCGGCTCAGTGGTCTTGCCTCTCATGAAACCCACCTCAACATCTGCCGCGAAAACGTTCCACTTCATGCCCAAAGTGGTTTCTTGTCGCGTTGTAAAAACACTCTTTTCAAAAACCGGAAAGACTGCTTGTCACCATCATTCACGGCACTGCTTTTCGACGAGACCAGCGCCGTAGATTTTGGGAGATCGGGTATCACCTGCTCACCTCACCCCAGCCGGCGACTCACCTATGAGTTCACCTTCACCAAGGTCGTCGTTTTCCTCCCATGTGTCCGTCTGCTGCCCATCCACCTCCTCGTTGAGTCCAGCCGAAGTCTGCGCTGCGGACTGAGCCGCTTCCTCTGCGCTGTACCCCTCTGACATGCCTGTTGACGGGGCGTGTGCAATCAGCATTGCTCGTCGCGAAGCACGTCAAGGGTTCTTTAAAAGGCAGCAGAGCAACAGTACTGACCGCTTGCTGATTGCATTCACCAGTGGGTTAAAGTGACTTTTCCACATCTTACAAAACTGACAATAAGGAAAAGAAAAAAAATGTGTTTGTTGCAACAACGAACAAAAAACATTTAGAGACAACTACAGGCAAACACGGATGTCCGGCCAGGTGACACCTGTTGTTATGGTGTCAAATCTAACAGAGGGGTTAATTCAGTCGACCATCCCCTCTGTGGAAAGTCAACAATGCCTGTCCTTTGAGTAGGCTCACTCCCACTATAGGAATGAGGAATCTCCATCAATGGATCAGGGCTATAAGTAGGAGACGAGCACTATCCATCCCATGGTCCTTTTGAGTGGAGAACCACTATGAATTTTGGCTTTTAACAAGCCACTGGCACCATAAAATAGTGTTTTCATCCAAGTTGCACAATGCACTAGTGTTTTGTATGTTCTACATTCGTTTTACAGATAATTACCGGGTTTTATTGTCACAATGTAGGATTGTAAAATAGTTCTAAATGCCCTGTATTCTGCCAAAAGTCTGCCAAGTTTATGGGTCAATGTTTGACCATCTCAGATCCTACTCAACCCCAAAGAGCCTCAAAATCTGGGCTCTGTGCAGGTCAGGCTATGGTTACCAGTGTTCCTTCCATTACTTCACTGGCCAGATATAATTTTACCACATTCCCACTGCAGTCTGAGTTCAGAAAGAAAACCTTGAATACCAGGGGCTCCTTATACACAAAGATTACAAGTGTAAATGTATGTAGGTAGCCAACAGTGCTAATTGGAGGTGCGGGGGTTTATATGAACCAATTACAGACAACATATACGAAGTGAAAGTAATCATGATTTCACTGTGTGTATATATATTACATTACCGTTATTTATACAGATAGTCCGAGTTACGATGGTCCGATTTACGATATTTCGATCTTACGATGGCGATACGACAAAATTGTAAAATATTTTAAATTTCGCGCGGCAGGCAAATGCAGCAGCGTACGAGGTACGATGCTGTACGTTGAGACGCTGCCGGGATGTACTGTACGCATCTCCCGCCTTGTGTGGTGATGCCTGATAGGATTGTTACCTGAAAAAAACTATTAAATTGCAGTTCATATAGGTAGGCTAAGAATTTACCTTGTTTTTTACTTTACATTTTACTGTGCAATACAGTTTTGTAATTAATAAACACATACAGTATATAGTTTATACAGTACTGTATTGTAAATTGCTCTGTTTTGCTAAATAATCACCATTCTTTAAGACTCCTGGGTAGGCTAGGCCATCTTCGAATTATGATATTTTTGACTTATGATGGGGTCGTCGTAACGCATCTCCATCGTAAGTAAAGGACTAGACTGTATTCACAAATGGAGTTTAGTGATGGGACAATGGTAAGTGTACTTTGATATGAACAAGCGAACCTGTGTTCAATTCCCAGCGATGGCTAAAATCAGTAGTTTGTAATTTCCGAATCGGTTCTGGGTCCACACCGACAAGCAGAGTGAAGTATGTTCAGACAACCATCATGCTGGACACAGCGAAGGGAGGCCTTGATAGAGCAGAACGTTAATGAGCCGCTGCAAAGTATACGCACAAATAGAAGTGTCAGAAGATAAACTACCTTCATCATCCATGTACATCCTAGAATCCCGTTCTGTCCTAGGGTAGAGGGCGGGCTCCAGGCAGCTGAACCTCTCGGCCGAGTGGAGCAGCTCCTGGCTCAGGCTGTTGAGCATGAGGACGATGGCGTCCAGGAGGCCGCTCAGGAACGGCTGGAACGCCGCCGTGTTGCCAGCGGCCTGAAGGCCGCCGCCGGCCCCGTCGTGGCGCTTGGGGGACGAGGCCTCGGTGACGCGGCGCAGCACGGCGTAGAAGGCGAAGGGCAGCCGCTCCCTGGCGGCGGCGAACATCTCGGCCCTGACGTGGGGCTGCTCAGCGCACGCCAGGAAGGCCTCGTAGTCGCCGATGCCCAGCTCCCGGTCCACGGCCTCGGCCACGCTGTGGCTCACGCCGTGAGCGGCCAGCCACGCCGGGAAGTCCTGACGCGGGTTGATGCTGGACACGGCCGCTGCGGCCATGGTCTCCAACTGTTTTGAAAAAAAGTGCGAACCGAGGCAATTTCATTATCTCAATCTTACCATATTCAAATTATTGAATTGCACATCAATACCAAAAGGTAACTGGAGGTTATTAATTATCTTTTGCCACGACCAGCAGTCCATGCTATAAACTCCCTACCCCTGTTTATGTTGAGGCTCAAGATCTTTTTTTTCTCCTCTGCCAATGACCAAATGCCCTCTCACTGCAACATATTTGTACGTGGTCCCATTTAGAAGCTGCGCAAAATCCAATTGCGCTATACCGTTTTGCAAACCTTGAAAAATAACCTCGGTTAGAAATGGCGGAATAGCTAAACATTGTCCCTGCCTGGATAAATTCGTCGGTGCCACTTGTGCGACTCAAGTGGTTGTGACCAATCTAAGCTCGCGGTGACGTCAAGTGGCATCCCAGGGCCGGGCGGCCGCGAGCATCGCTCACTGCGCGCTTCAAGCATCACTCACCGTGACTGTGCGGCATCGTTCACAAGTGGCCGAGAGCCCATTTGCAACAAACGACGTCTGACATGGCGACGACGACGAAAATGGCTGCAGACGTCTGCAGTGTAACCAGAAATCGTTTAACGTGGAGTTTTAAACCCCTGAAATTGTCCAAACGGTGGGATGCATTCACGAGGCAACACCAAAATTACCTCAAAAGGGTGTGGCCAATCCATTAAAAATGTTAGAGCTGTGGATAAAGTTTAAATGAAACGTAGCATTACTTTGAATCCCATTTACCAAAAAGACATTCAAGCGCTTGACGAGCGATCGCCAAAGGAAATTGTGGTTACAGACGCCACAGCCGTGAATCTGCAACACTAATCATGTACCGTGGCAGCACTCAAGCGAACAAAGAATGGGCTGACCTTTAAGTCGACACATTGCTACATGATGCGCTTGCTATTGTTACCGTAAATAGTAATATGCTGAACACAACCAGCACTGCTACACCTGAGTGCACTGTATGTGTAAACAAAGAGACTAATAACGAATGACATGTTCATGCACAGTTGAGGTTAAGCCAATTTTATGATATCAATGTACACAGCGAAGTATTCATGGTATAAAATGTAAATATTTAGTTGTGTAACATAAATGTCAGTTTTGGTTTGAGTACAGTAAAATAACAGCGTACATTTTTTTCTTGGCAGCTAAAACGTGCAAATGACTGCAACGACAACCCGGTTTTATTCATGTTACCCCGACATTATAAATTATTAGTATACACACACAAACTATGTGCATTAGTTAAATAATAGATGCCACTGCACACAGGTCAGACATACAAACCAGAGACACGCTCACACATACGTTATGACACGAATCACCGACTCGTACATGCTGAATGTTTCAGTTCTACGACAAGGCTCAATGAAGGTAGTTGATGTATTCCTCTCGTGTCACTGGAAGCTCGACATACTGGCTCGCTTATGTAAATATGTCAACCTACACAGGCACGCACAATACAAATGTACGCAACGTACATGGACATACACAGTTCTAAAAGCTATCGCCCCGAGGATGTGTGGCTATGGTTAAAGCACTCAACTCCACAAGCGAAAGGCCAATTACTTGACCAACAAATCATTATTTTGGGGCCTAGAAAATTACATAACTTTGTGCAGTCAACAGCGCCTGCTGTGCTATGTATGGGGTGACTCAGCCCCGCCGTACGAATGGAGACTTTCCACCCTGGGACCCAAGCCTCAATTAGAAAGGACGTGTTGAGTCTGCAGTGGGTTTCTCCACCGTTTTTTTTTAAATACCGATTTGACTCACGGATATACAAACGCCGGTTTAAGGGGGTTCGGGAAACCAACCGAGACCATTTGAAACGCCGGAATAGCTTCATGTCGTGCACCGCGAGGATAATTATATCTCGAAATGTTCCTGCCTCTGCCCCACATTAGCCAGCGTGTAGAGTGGTGCACGGTACATTCAAACAACATCCAAGCTTGCCACGGCATTGTACAGGGCAATGTATATCGTGCAACTGGAACGCAAACGCGATGAGGTTAAACACCAACAACCACAATAATAATTAAAAGCAGCGTGCGACTCCAGTAGCTACTTATTAAACAACAAATCATCTCCGACAGAGGTTTAAACGCGAGATTCAGGCGTCGTTGAACGAAACGAATCGGGCGGCAACTTAAAAAAATTCCGCTTGGCATTTAAAAAACGACCAACACCGCGAAGCCGGAAGCCAAAGCTTCTTGTGACCCTGAGCGTTTGCCGTCACTTCGAATCGGCGAAGCTCAAGAGATAATCACAGACGCTTATTTGAAATCTAGAACGCTTATTTTGCTTGCTTCTCAATTGTAGAAGACGCCAACGCGTACATTACACGTTTAAATAACTACCCCCACACTCACCTGCCCCAACGTCCAAATCGACGATAGCGTGGATAAGAGTATCTTCTGTTTTCTATTATACACACTAACTGTACAATGATTGTATGGTAATGTGTGAAACCCCTGCTATGTATATACAGTAGTACAAAACAAAGATCCCCCGTGTAGCCTGTACCAGACTGTCGGGGCAAGTGCTGTTAGAGAGGAGCGACGCGGCACACGAGGGGAGTGGGTGGGTGGCCAGCACCACGCCCGGCCGCCTTCGTCTCCACAGCGGCACCAGGTACCCATTTGAGGCCGAGCCGACCTAGGGGAGGCCCATGACCGGCGGTTGAGATAATCGATCACCGGTGGGTGCTTGGTGTCCGTGGGGCGGGAATCGATCTCGGGCCGCCGGGTTCGTAGCGTTCTAACCGCACCCCCCCCCACACACACTCGCGGGGCCTCAAGCAGCGAACTAATCGATCACTCGCGGCGCGGTATCGGCCGCCAGCCATCGACGACGAAGCGCGCGGCTCGCGGCGAAACATCGCATCGGCGCCGCGTCTGCGTGGCGATGACCACAACAACAACGACGACGAAGACGATGATGATGATTATTACTACAAACACGACGACGCCGCTGAGAATGGTCGTGGTGGAGCGAGGCGGGAGCGAGGCACAAAGACCGCGAAGACCGCGCCTCCAGTCCCCCGCCAAACAACAAAACAATCCCCGCTCCGCATCCTCGGAGAGAGGAGGAAAAAAAAATAAGGAGAGGGGGCGAGGGACGACGACGGCGGAACGAGCTTGCCCTGTAATTTACCTGACGATGTTCGCGTCCGCCGCGAGTCGCGATGTCGGCGGCGACGAGGAGGAGGAGGAGGCGGCGCGCGTCCCTGGGCCTCGATCTCGCCTAGCGCCGGACGTGACGTCACGGCCGCGATACGATTATCGCCGGTAGCGATGTCGATTAAGGGAATCGATGATGATCGATGATGATCGATTATTATTATCATCGGTTCGTAAAGAAGCAAATTCTCATATTCTCTTGGTTCTTTCGGTAAAGTCACGTCACGTAGAAGGGATACAATTAAATAATGAAAATAAAAAAAAATAATGAAAACATTTAAAATAAAATTCTCACGACGTTTTGACTGCAACACAGTCAATCATCATCAGGTGTGAAAAACACAGCAATACATTTTTTTGCTGTGTTTTTCACAATAAAATAATAAAAATATTAAACAATAAAATTCTCACGACGTTTCGGCTGCAACACAAGCAATCATCATCAGGTGTGAAAAACACAGCAATATTTTTTTTGCTGTGTTTTTCACAATAAAATAACAAAAATATTAAACAATATTTTGGAGGTGGTGGTCACTCGCAAACGGCACTGCTGTGTTCAGGAGATGCGGGGGCATCTTTGTCCTACAGGGTCAAGCGTGGTGAAGCAATCGTCAATTTAAGAATCCGGTCAGCGGATCGGTTATCATTGTCGCGTTTGTTGCAAGCGGCGTGCAGTGAGTTCACCGCCTCCACTGAATGTAAACAAAAGCAAATCGATGCTTGTGATGTTTTAAGGCCGCCTTTAGTTTGCTGTCCTTCCCGAGCACCTCCGATTAGCGCGGTTGGCTACGTACGACGCGAAAGAAGTTCAACGCGCAATGCGTTCACGCAACTAATCGATCATCTTTACCGTCTAGTTTGTGTTTGTAATTCTCACGCTATTTTCGTGCAGTTTTTTTTTGCTCGATTCGTCATCCTAATCTGAACATTAGCACGTCCCTGGCTTGCACGTGGTTCGTGAAGTCTATGAGCGAATCTATAATTATATGTCTAACTTAATTACTAAGGATTAAAGCTTCATGAGTATTTCTCTGGGTTCAGTCCGGTCAGGTTTTCGCAACGTGTTGCTTTGATTGCTGCCTTTAATCCCGACGGGGGGTGTGTGTACGTAGTGTACGCAGAACTTCTTTCGCACCCTACACAGCCAACCGTGCCCATCGGATGTGCGGGGCAGGACGATAACACCAACCACAAAAAAAATTAACCCGTAAAAACAAAGTTTTTCACTATAAATCCTTTATATGCGTGGCATCGGGGCGGATAGAGTCCTCTCGCCCTCTGGCTTGAGATGGCTGCCACCTATGGGTCAGATGATTGTCTGCCACCATTAAGCAATTGGTAATTAAATATTTTAAAAAAATTCCCTAAACAGTGGAAAATGTTCGAAAAAATTTTTCACGAACATTAATTGTCTCGCACAACGAGTCTGTGTGCAAAATGTCAGCTCGATTGGATCACGGGAAGTGGGTTAAAAAACGACCGAAAGATTTGCACGGTCGTAAGCAAGCAAGCAAGCACGCAAGCAAGCGAGCGAACTTAATATAAAGGATTTAAAAAGCGGTTCTCAAGAAATTAGCTTTCATTCGAGATTTGCGGTGTACAATTGAGCACATTGTGGACACGAGGCCGGAACATACGGGCCAAAATCAAGCAAATCTCGCAACCCAAGCGGCGTTGAGCCTGGATGAGTGCTCGGATGGGCGAACCAGCGTGCACAACAGGTGTTATAGGCTGCTGCGGGGCTCCGTGGTGGGCAGCAGAGGGCAGTGCGAGCCAAATCAACGACCCTACTGCACTTCTACGTCACCAAACCTGTACTGAACCAGCGTGGTGAAGTATGGTCAAACAAACCCCCCCCGCCCCCAACTGCTGCAGCCGAAACGTCACCTGGTGATGCTGCTGCGTTGCACGAAACAAAGACAAAGTTCCCCCGTATAGCTTTTGCAGGCTGTTGGGGCAAGTGCTGCTGCGTTGCACGAAACAAAGACAAAGTTCCTCCGTATAGCTTTTGCAGGCTGTTGGGGCAAGTGCTGCTGCGTTGCACGAAACAAAGACAAAGTTCTCCCGTATAGCTTTAGCAGGCTGTTGGGGCAAGTGCTGCTGCGTTGCACGAAACAAAGATAAAGTTCCCCCGTATGGCTTTGGCAGGCTGTTGGGGCAAGTGCTGTAAGTTGCACGAAACAAAGACAAAGTTCCCCCGTATAGCTTTTGCAGGCTGTTGGGGCAAGTGCTGCTGCGTTGCACGAAACAAAGACAAAGTTCCTCCGTATAGCTTTGGCAGGCTGTTGGGGCAAGTGCTGCTGCGTTGCACGAAACAAAGACAAAGTTCTCCCGTATAGCTTTAGCAGGCTGTTGGGGCAAGTGCTGCTGCGTTGCACGAAACAAAGATAAAGTTCCCCCGTATGGCTTTGGCAGGCTGTTGGGGCAAGTGCTGTAAGTTGCACGAAACAAAGACAAAGTTCCCCCGTATAGCTTTGGCAGGCTGTTGGGGCAAGTGCTGTAAGTCGTGCACAAACACACCCGAAAAGTAAAACTCAGCAACCTGCGTGTGCCCTCGACAACAACACAATAGCCGACGTTTCGGGCAACGACCCTCTTCCTCACAGCAGCACGTCCCATACACTGTAAAAACCCCGCAATCGAATCGTGTCCGGGAGTCGCGAATGACGAGAATCGACGCAGCGGGAATCGATTCCCGTCAGATGGACAGTGCCGCGGAGTGGTCGCGTGTGTTGGAGACGCGGGGCTGAGCGAGGCGGCTCGTCCTCCTCGTCCTCCTCGCTCTCCCCATCTCTCTCTCATCTCCTCTCTCTTCTCTCTGCATCGGTGTAGGAGGAGGAGGAGGAGGAGAGAGGCACCCCCGGGGGCGAGCAGACGTGTGACCGCAAGGCTCGTGGACCCCCTCGCGACTCGCGTTGCTGCAAGCCGCCGGGTGAGGCAGCTAGGCCAGGGCAGAGGGCTGCGAGTGAGTGACCCCTCACCTCGTCAACATCAGCAGCAGCATCATCAGCATCATCAGCATCAGCAGCATCATCAGCAGCAGCATCATCAGCAGCAGCATCATCAGCAGCATCATCAGCAGCAGCAGCAGCATCATCAGCATCATCAGCAGCAGCAGCAGCAGCAGCAGCAGCATCAGCATCATCATCAGCAGCATCATCATCAGCAGCAGCAGCATCAGCAGCAGCAGCAGCAGCATCAGCAGCAGCAGCATCAGCAGCAGCATCAGCAGCAGCAGCATCAGCAGCAGCAGCATCAGCAGCAGCAGCATCAGCCACGCTGCCCACTCAGTGCGTTATCGGCTGCACAGTCGTTGGGAGGTATTCGGTGATTGCGAAGTGCTGTTGTCATAGATTGTAAAGTACTCGGTGATCGATGGGTACACATTGTGACTATCTCTCTGTTGAGAGTGAAGTACTGTGTTCGTGAAGGACAGTGCCGAGTGATTAGGAGGTACTCACTGATGATACATCACGGTGTTTTGTTTCAAGCACTGTACAATGCAAAGTGCTCATTGTAAACCATCGATTAATGCCTCAGTGCTTGTGCTGCGTTGCCATGTGCTCAGCTTGAGGTGTTCGATGAATTGTAAAGTACACAGTGAATGGAAAAGTACTCGATACACCTTGAGGGCTGTGTAGTGTGGGTTCCTGGGAGGTTGAATGAGGCACAGAGACAACGTCTGTGGGACCACGTGGAGACTTGGTGAGACGGGCGAGGGACAGAGATGAGTAGACAGACGAGGGACACGTAGACAGAGAGCCACAGAGACATGAAAAAGACAAAGAGAGGGACACAGGCAAGACTCAGTAAGTTAGGACACGGAGAAACAGACGGAACGAGAGAGAGAGACGTGGTTCTCATGAACAAAACCGAAATATAAACGTGGAACAAAGTTGCAAGTCGCATTTGGGTGCGGATTTCGTACTTTGCAAGTGACCCTTGACAGTTTCTATCATTTATGGAGTTTTAATTAATTACATGGTTACGTCACTTTCCGTTGTTCACTTTGAGCGCGCTTAAATCCAACCAAATTGGAATCTTCATGTGGCGCATTACTCCACTAATTTCGCTCCATCTAAGCCACGCCGTTTGGATTCTCACCTTAATCGCCTTGGTCAGTGCGCTGTCCTAGTTGTGACGGCTGGGCATGTTGCCTTCTAAATATGCGGCGTAATGATATAATTGACGTTTTAGTCCAATAATTACCGCTGGTCGCTGCAAACGGGACTTTTAGCGTGCGCGAAATTAGTCAACAAACACATTCCATCCTTTTTTCTGTGTTTGTATGAATGCCGAGTGGTGTGACTTTACTCCATGGAGCAACTGGTCGCGTTGTAGTAATATAATTGTGTTTGCATTTAAAAACCCAGACTGTTAGGCCATGGCCACGGCGGCAGTGGCGGCCGCAGTGGTGTCCCACATCAACCCGCGTCAGGACTTCCCAGCGTGGCTGGCCGCTCACGGCGTGAGCCTCAGCGTGGCCGAGGCCGTGGACCGGGAGCTGGGCATCGGCGACTACGAGGCCTTCCTGGCGTGCGCCGAGCAGCCCCACGTCAGGGCCGAGATGTTCGCCGCCGCCAGGGAGCGGCTGCCCTTCGCCTTCTACGCCGTGCTGCGCCGCCTCACCGAGGCCTCGTCCCCCAAGGGCCACGACGGGGCCGGCGGGGCCTGTGGAGGCGGCCTCCAGGCCACCGGCGTGATGGCGTTCCAGCCGTTCCTCAGCGGCCTGCTGGACGCCATCGTCCTCATGCTCAGCAGTCTCAGCCAGGAGCTGCTTCAGTCGGTGGAGAGGTTCAGTGACCTTCACGGTCTGCTGTACGTCACCACGGAGGAAAAGGCAGAGGAGTCAAATCACCACCGTGGGGATGCTGCTCTTGACTCGAGTAATTTGATTTGCTTCAAACAATTCATCATTTTTTTTCTCTGCCTTTGTTATCTTATTCCTTTATACGCTGCTATAGTGCATTCATCTTTTATGCCAATTCATTTTCAAGTGAGTTTAAAAACTCTCTTAATACCCATGTGGAAATATTACGTAGATCTGTTATCTAATGAAAGAGCAATATCGACCTTGTCCACAATTGTGCTTTTAAACCATTTAAAGAACCATGTGTTAATCAAATTACAATCTGGGTGCACATTTCTCTTCAAAATCTCAAATGACAAAACCTATTGGCCATGGATGGAGGTAAAGTTACTGCCACTACCGCTCTCCATTAAATTATCTTTCGACTTAAATAACCATGAAAGCTTGATGGGCACTCTGCATGTGAGAGCGGAGATATCTGGGTCATTCTAAATTTGGAGCTTTCGTGACTGCAAGGATTCATACTCTTTGTTTTTTCGGTAAAGTCACGTAGGTTAAAAAAGAAAACAAATCAATTAAATCACGACGTTTCGGAGGCAACACAGCACATTTGCTGTGACGGTTTCACCTGAAGACAGAAGCTTGTGTTGCCTCCGAAACGTCGTGATTTAATTTATTTGTTTTCTTTTTTAACCTACGTGACTTTACCGAAAAAACCAAAGAGTATATCTGGGTCAGTCCTTGATTGGAATACAGTTGAATTCAAAGTGCTGAATGACGTTTGTCTGCCACAAGAATCGGTTTTAGGTGTTCTCTTTAACATCTACCTGTTACCACTTTGTGACTCGCTGAACACTTTACGGATGATCATTTAGCACGCTGATAATGAGCAACGGTATTTAATTCTCATTGTCAGCTGTGGGCTTTCTGGAATCATTCGGGACAGTTGCAAAAGGAAAGTCGCTTCCTCGTTGGAGAGGAGTAAATCTCTTACACTGAATGACGAACATGCTGTTTTCTATACATTGAGCTCAAAATGCTGAATTATGGCATTGAAATGGGCATACTCTTCCAACACCAAACGTAACCAAACGTCTGGCGATCCTGATGGACAGTAATTATACCATTTTTGGCTCAAATTATCAAGAAAATTAAGTCGTAATTTCCACCTGCAGTAACAGTTATGTCAACTTATTGCCTAAAACACGTGAAAATGTATAAATAAACAGATATGTACAGACCTTTGTCACTTCATTGATGGATGAAGGTTGCCCCATGATGTCAAGGGGATTGTTTGGCCATCCTACACCGTACTGGTCAATGTAATTTTGTGAAAGGGGAGCCCAGAACCGTTTCAGATATCACTTGCGACTGATGGTGTAGTTGTGGCCAGGAATTTAACTCCGGTTTCCAGGTTTATAGCACAACCTACTATCCACTGAACCACTGCTCCATCGATGCAACATATATGAATTTAAATAATGGACTCTTACCTGCACGATTGATGAGTGTAATAATTTATTTTAACTGATGAAATGATGCGTAATTACATTACAGATATATTGACTTTGAATTATTTTTTACCAGAAATTTGGATCACAGTTTGAAAACTACAGTTTTTAACATAGTTTAATGAACACCCTGTAAACACATTCGTTTAATTTGCATCTCAGCAAAAACACCTCTCGCACAATTATAATAGCATTTGCATACTCCTGGACGCATCAACAATTTGTTTCGTTTAAATTGTTCTCGTGGGCTTGCTGCAGGCTTCGCCGAGGAGTATGAGGACGAGGTCTCTGAGAACATGAACGAGTTCTCGGCAGAGAAGGACTTCCAAGAAGGAAGGGGACCGAATGACAGGTGGCCCGAGTCGAACTGCTTTCACAGCGAGGGTATGATTGCAGGTTCGTGAGGCCAGGATCACACATCCTTTCATTTATGACTCAGAAACCTGAATTGTCATCAGCCGTGTGTTCTCACCCCTGTAGCGATGGGGGTGCCGCAGAGCGCTGAGCTTCCACTGCTTACAACTCAGCTCCCCTACCCCCCTCCCCTTCTGCTGGTGCAACATTTACCACCAGTGGGCGAGGGGCCTTCACACAACGCAGCTATTTGTACAGTTGAGCGACGGGTTTGTGACAGCCTTTCCTCGTATACACAGCCTGGCACGAGAGACGAGAATGCATAGTAATAGAAGGTTTGAATGTGCTGGTCGCCGCACCCCTCCCCCCCTCAATGTCGTGCCGTTTGGTTCTTCTCTTACATCCACAAAGTTCTCGGCCCTGTGCACTGCTGCCTGCTCCAATGCTAAAGTGGCTGCGTCCCGCAGACGAAGCCGGCAGGTCGGAAGACGAGCGCGAGCACACTCCGGAAGAGATGCTGCCCGACGGGCCGGAGGATGGCGCCGTCGAGGGCCACGCTTGGGGCGTCGTGGGCGTGAAGGCCGAACCCATCGCGGACGAGGCCGGCAGGTCCGACGGCGGCGGCGGCGGAGATCGAACCCCGGACGAGATGCTGCCCGACGCGCCGGAGGATGGCGTGGCCCGGGGCAACGTGTGGGGCGTGCTGGGTGTGAAGGCGGAACCCATCGCGGGAGGCGAGTCACTCGAACCGCTCTCATGGTGGTAGCCGTGCCGCACTGGGCTGTGGTCCTAACCCAGAAATGCAAATAAGTAGGAGGGAACAATTATACATGATTTCGTGGGAATAATACCCATGTATACATATTGCTGGCGATGCCCGTTTTACTTGCTGTATTGCAACACTGCGCCGTGGGGCTTTGTAGACCTTCCCACGCTGCGGTGTTTATGGAGGATCGTGCGGTTGTTTGACCTTATTTCACCTCGCTGGTCAGTGCGTGTTGGGTAAGGGAAGGGCCCAGGACCGATTCAGATGTTACCCTCCACAGACGTAAGCTGTGGGCAGGAATTACATGCGGGTTGTCGTGTGCATCAGCATGTGCTTTAACCACTCTGTGCCACATTCTGAATCTGGTCTCGTCCATTAGGCCTAGAACGTTGAGTCTTACACATTTTCAAAGTCACTTGAGGCACTGTAATTATTGCAGATGTAATTTTTTTGGCAACTTTAAGGTTTTAATTCCACGCACATGCCTGCTACCATCCATTGCTGGTTTGTATCTAAAGTTGAGACTGGAACAGGTAATTCAAATGTATACACCACGTGCTTGCTCTTGCATTTATTAGTTGCATTTGTAAGTTTCCTGTTTATTCAAAATAAATCAATGAGTCTTTACAAACTCGAACAAGAACATCTGAAGTGAACCTCAAATGCACGCGGTGTCAAACTGAAATCCACTGCACACATCACGAAATGACTGGAGCAAAATTGTAGCAGGATTCCAATTGATTCTCATTCAACTCAAAGTATGCGTACATTCTAATTGTCTGAACAGCAGAAATATAAACAAAAGTACATCGTGAGATGAAACACAAGGAAACACGTATATTTTAAGCATGTAATCGTTTCATCAGATAAAATACATTATTGCACTCATTAATCGTGCAGGTGTCATTTATGGATTTCATTGTAGAAATGATAACACAGTTTTCTTTAAGAACACAACTGATTGAGTGGTTAGAAAATGTAAAACATAATAAGTTTCGTGACCCTGCATTATTTTACGTCTTTGCTGGCTGAACTCTAGCAGACCTCTCTCATTCCCAACTCCACTGTCAACTTCACCAATCATTCTCGGCACACGCCACCTTCTACCTACTCTGGTCATTCAAAATGCTGATGAACCCCTTTCCGCATCGTGCAGGCAACGGCAGCGAGGACATGATGTTCGGGGCCGGTGCTACACAGCACCCGAAGTTCCGGTCGTTCGGCCCCTTGGCAAAAGCGAGGCTTCCCCCTCACCAGTCGTACGGCCTGTTGCCGGACGGCGAGCCGGCGTGCCGCCCGCCCAACCTCGGCGAGCCGTTTGGCGACGCGAGAATGGGCGGCGAGTGTCCCGGCTCGGACTCGACGGGCGAAGGCTGCTCCGACGAGCTGGCCGGTGAATTTGGGGCCGGCCCGTTCACGTGCACCGACTGCGGCCTCGCGTACAGCGACACGGACAAGCTGTGGCGGCACCAGGCGTTCCGGCACGGCGGCGAGAAACCGTACGTCTGCGACGTGTGCCGGAGCCGCTTTTCGCTGGTGCGGAACTTGAACCAGCACAAGAAGATTCACACGGGCGAGAAGCCCTTCGTGTGCGAAGAGTGCGGCATGAGCTTTGGCCGCAAATACCACCTGCACAGACACAAGAAGATCCATACCATCTTATAACGACAAGACATGTCAAGTGCACTGTGGTCGTTTTTTATATATATATATTCCCAATGGTAACGGTTACATGTGATCTGATTTAGCACCAGAAATGCAAAATGAATGCGGTTATAATACGAAGCAAGTGCTGTCAGATCTGTGGGTGGATTCTGCTATTTGTTGTGCTGCTTGTTCAAGCCATATGGACCTTCCTTGTTGGAGAAAACTCGTCTCGATTGATTTGGGGTGCTGCATTGGACACTTCGTTCTTGAACTGTCCTTGCCCTCATCTCTGCAGAGCAAGCGTTTGTTAAACAGCAGCACAAACATATGCATAACTAATGGGAATGATTTTATTTTGCATTGCTCAGTGGTGCAATTTGCATATATTTGGGTACGTTTTTGGACAAATGTGGCCATGATGCTGGCACAGGTAAGTCCGTGGTCTCACGGGGTCTTTCATACCTGCGACCTATCATATGGGACGTCCTTGCCGAAGGTCGCCTGGTTAATTTGGCAACGCTCCTTGCAATGCTTCTGTTGGGGGCGCAGAGAACGAGGCTTAGATTTGGCGTTGCCCTGGAGACACCCACTCGGATGTGCTAAAAGCGAAATTAACACATCCATTGCATCCTCCGCTCACACCCTGACAGTATGCGTATTGTGATTTTTATATATTGTTATTAAGGGACCCCTCTTGCCAGCATCAAAACATAAGAATTGGTTTTACCCTTTCTGGCAATAAAACAGGTGTTCAGATGTTAAAACACCAAACAGATTCTCCTTGCAAGGAATCGCGTCTACATTTTGTGGTGAACATGCAAACCACGTTCACCACAAGCATGTGTGGTTAATGCAGACGTGATTCCTTGCAAGAGTTTTCTGTTTGGTGTTTTAACATCTTAACACCTGAGTTCTTGCCAGAAAGGATGAGACCAATTCTTATTGTTATTAAGCAATGAATAGGAAATTATTGTTTTCATGGACGGTTACATTTCGGCAGCTGCATTCTTGTGAGTTGTACCGGTAGCTCTCTGTGCCACTGACTTAATGGAGGAGTCGGATACTTATATGATTTGTGCTGGGAATATGCAATCATCTAGTTAGCCTAAATTAAGATACCCAGCTAAATCAGTTTTGAGGATGGAATTTATTTATTGTTCTTAGTTTTATAATAATAAAATGAATTGAGTCTTCATGTTTATGATTATATTTTTCATGCCATTAAAGTAATGCCATATATGTTATCTCAAATGAAATTCAGCAGAGTACATTTGTTTCCTTGTGTGTTTAAAACTCACGTGCCATCGCACACATTCATAATATGCCTTTTTAGTTGTCAGAAAATATTTAGCATAAGGCAAATACATTTGAACATGTACTACATTGAATATGGGTTACCAAAAGTTACCAACCAATATAAAAAAAACAATGATGTCTCTTCCCCAGTTACGCTGCAGTTGTGCCATCAGCTGTGAGATGAACATGTTTACATGAAGCTTGCAGAACGTAGCGCATACATCGATACTCGAGACCAGGCTCCCTGCAAGGTTCCAAACGAGAACTTTCAAGGCCCCGTTAATGTCCTTGTCCCACACTTGATGGTGCCCTGCTGCTGTGGACATGCTCACCACAAGGCAATCAGACTGAAAATGTTATCCTCAGAGCAGGAAATATGTCAAGATATTGATAATTCACCATTGGACTGGTGTTGAGATCACTGTGATGCCGCCGCCACGAAGCCGTTCGGCAGGCACCAAATCCCCGACCTCGCCACCACCAAGCAACGGAGCCGACCCCGCGTCCCCCTCACCTCACCTCACATGAACACACCCGCACTCATTCCCCCCCCCCCCCCCCCATAGAGCTCCGAGGGGAGGTCGCCTGGCCGACCGGTTTTTATCCGAGAGACCCTTATCGGGATTAATTCTCACGGTTTCCGGCGATCAGGGGATTGGATGACCTCCCCCGTGCTACGTGGCACCGCGGCGCTGCGGCCGGCCTTAATATGGTGTGGTCGCGGCGTGGGGCATTCGGCCACCGCGGTTGAGGCGCATTTCCCCCCACACACACTCCCACGGGTCGACGGGGCGAGCAGGGGAGGCACGGGACAGCATGAATAGCGGGGTCACAGGGGCTGTTGCGCATAGTCATGGAGGGTTGGGATAATTGCGCTTGAGCGCGCAGGCCCCATTGTTAGGGAGGGTAAGGGATTAAGTAGGATTTACGCCTTGCACGCAGCACACTGATTAGCATATCAACAGCGCCCAGAACCGCCGTGCGCGTGCCAGAGGATCGCGAGCCCATTGTTTAGCGCAGCATCCCCTTTGAGGTAGGGAGGATAAATAGAGGGGCGCAGAGGGAAAATCGCTCTCTTCTCTCCAGCGCCAGGCGACAGGACGCTCTCCAGTCCAGCGACCCGATCGTCCGTGAGACGCATCGAGGTACGCTGCGAGCACGGGATCAACGAACCGCCGTGGGCATCCAGCAGGAAGTAAGTAGGTGAATTAGAATCAGCAGATGAATCGGGAATAGGTATAAAGGTATCAGCGTAGGCCAGCCTCGTCGACTCACTGATTTAACATTAAATTACCAGGTATCAGATAATAAATCATTAATAGCGAAGCGTGGTCTCGCGTGATATTGTCGTGCAGTGTGAGCGTGTGGGTGCGCGTGTGTACACTGTGGTTCACCACGTGAGTGAGCGCTGCGTAGAGCGGCGCACGAGTGGGTGTCGCGTGTGTGCAGGTGTGTGCGCTCGTAGTGTGGGTGAAGGGGTCGGTGCGTCCGCAGGTCCCCGATCCGTCTGTCGCCGCCGGGACTCGCGCAGTGTGAGGGCAGCGTCGTTCGCCCCCGACCCCCGTTTAATAGCGCGTGATCCGTGGAGAGACAACGCAGCGTCTGCAGGTGAACGAGGGCGTGCGGCGAGCTATGCCTCTCACACGAGCTCGCGGAGGGACGGACCAGGGAGGGGAGCCGTCGGGCGATGAGCCCAGCGACGGCAGCAGCTGCTCGCAGAGCAGCGAGGGGTCGGCGCACGGCGGAGCCCCTGCCATAGGCACGGAGCAGGGAGGGACTCCGGGGACCAGCGGCCCCAACAACTTGGCGTCAGAAGTGGGACGAACCCTCACATCTTCACGGGAAGGTGGCGCGCTACTCCACGCAAAGGTAAGGCATGTGTTCACCGGCCAGGGGACCCCTACATGGAAAGCGTTTTCCCGTAATATCATAGGGGCTAAAGAGCTTAATGGCTGGTCGGACGCGCAGGCGTTGCGACATCTTACGTTAAACTTAGACGGGCGGGCAGCCGACTTTGTAGAGGCACTACCCGAAAGCGCGCAAACCCAACTAGAAGAACTAATGCGTAGATTAGACCTGCGTTTCGGCACGCGCAACGCGATACGGGCGAAGACCGCCTTAGAGGCGCGCCGACGCCAAACTGGCGAGGACTTCCGAGACTACGCTGAGGACGTGCGATCACTAACCCGGATCGCCCGTCCAGAGTTCTCGAAGGAGGTCATTGACGCGCTAGCTGCAGACAAGCTACTCAGGTACCTAGCTCGCACCGCGTGGTGGCAGCCCAAAAAGAGTAGCGCAGGCCTCCCTTTCGATACCCTAGTCGAGCAAGCGCTGGAGTGTGAGGAGCTCTCCAGCGAACGCGCGCAGCTCCGAGGGTCGGGACAGGAGTACACCGTGGCGAGCCTGATCCCTGACGAGGAGGAGGATGAGGATGAGCCCGCCAGTCCCATGGGGAGACGGGCAAGAGAGGCCCAGAAACCCCGCGAGACAACCCCGGGTTGGGTAGCTGGGTTACAGACCGGCATGGGAGATATTGCTGGCCGAGTAGACCGAATGGACGGTAAGGTAACCCAAGTAGGGGAGAGGGTAACCCAGGTACGCGAGGAAGCGAATAAAAATATGAAGACCCTCCAGTCTGAGATGGGGGAACTACGCTCGACCGTAGGGGGGCTGGCCGGGAGAGTAGCCCAATTAGAGTCCGATGTGGGACAACTGCGTACTGGGGGAGGGAGAGGGAGCGGACAGGGGACCCGCTACGGAGCCGCCCCCCCTCCCCGGGCATGTTATATGTGCGACCGCCGAGGGCATCTAGTGAGAGACTGTCCTGAAATCACCCGAGCTAGGCAGACGCGGGGGTTAAACTCCAACGCCCCCTAGAAAGCGGACCAACTAGGGGTGCAATCGACGCGGTCCCGATACAAATAGACGATAATGAGAATAATGGCGAGCGAGTGATCTCCACACAGGTTCCAGCAACAACGCCCACAGAAACGGTGACTCCTGGCGACTGGCTGCGGGAGCTGGTGGCGGGGATCACGGGGGCCACGTCGCTGGTGGAAGGGGAGGTAAACGGAGTGCGTACCCGAATCCTGCTGGACACGGGGGCGGTGGCCTCGCTCGTGAGCGCAGCGCACTGCAGCGCGATCGGGGTCGACGTGCGTCACCTGCAGGCCCCGGACCGCGCGCTGCACACTGCGAGCGGAGCCGGAATGGGGCTGCTGGGGAGAGCCACCCTAGAGGTCCGCATAGGCAGCCAGGTGTGCACGCAGGAGTTCTACGTGTCGAGTGCGTTGTGTCACGAGTGTATCGCAGGCACCGACCTCCTAGAACGGTTGGGACTCAACGTGCAACCCCGCCAGCGATGCGCCACCATGGAGAGCAACGGCGAGCAGATACCGTTCCTGGGACGAGAACCAACGCGCCGCCGCTTTGCACCTGTGGCCGCTATCCTGGCGACGACAGTCACCATCGGCCCGCTCACCGAGATGCTGGTGCCGGTGACAACATCCCCCACCGACCCCGCGCTCCGACCATCAGGGGAGGTAATGCTAACTCCTCACCCGGAGTTGGCAAAACGGTATGGGGTTGTGGGATCCGCCACGTTGGTAAACGCAGATGGGGACCGATTGTTTATGCGGATGTTTAACCCCCACAATACCCCAGCGATACTGCGACGGCGCACCCCGATAGCCACAGTACACCCCCTGCACGCACGCCACTCTAACGACTCGGTGTTCGCACTCTGGGCTGAGGACCCCGGGCGTCCTGAGGGTGACCAGGACCTGGCCTGGCGAGTCGGCCTGACTCCCCGAGCCGAGGTCGTTCCCCTGCTCGACGCGTTACATGTACCATGGGCGGATTTACCTAAGGGAGAGGCCGATCGGCTGCGCGAGCTACTGCGGGAGTATGCCGACGTATTCAGTGAACACGACTCGGACATGGGTCGGACCGATCTTGTTAAGCACCAAATTGACACCGGTGCAGCCCGACCCATCAAACTCCCTGCGTACCGAGTGGGCGCACCCGAACGCGCCCAAATCAAAGAGGCAGTTGGGGACATGCTTCGCGATAACATAATTCAGCCCTCGGCGAGCCCCTGGTCAGCCCCGGTGGTACTAGTAACGAAAAAGGATGGGTCAACACGGTTCTGCGTCGATTACCGTAAACTAAATGCAGTCACGCTCGGCGATGCCTTCCCTATACCCCGCATCGACGACACCTTCGACAGCCTCGCCGGAGCGCGATATTTTTCCACCCTCGATCTCGCGTCCGGGTACTGGCAGGTGGAGATGGCGGAGGAGGATCGGCCGAAAACCGCATTCACCACCCCGATGGGGCTATTCGAGTTTCGAGTACTCCCGTTCGGACTCACCAATGCGCCCGCGACGTTCCAGCGGCTGATGGAGTTGGTGATGCGGGGCTTGCAATGGGAACAGTGCCTGATTTACTTGGACGATGTGATAGTGTTCAGTAGATCTTTGTCTGAGCATTGGTCCAGGCTTCGAGAGGTGTTCCAGCGACTGCGAGCGGCTCATCTCAAGCTCAAGCCACGTAAGTGTTACATCGCACAACGCGAGGTGGGGTACCTCGGGCATCGCGTCAGCGAGGCAGGCGTGCACACCGATCCGGAGAAGGTACGCGCCGTAGTGGAGTGGCCACGGCCAAGGAATCTGACGGAGATCAGATCATTTTTGGGGCTTGCCACCTATTATCGTCGATTTGTAAAGGGATTCAGCGAGATTGCACGCCCCCTCACCCAACTCACTTCCCCTAAGCACCCCTATCAGTGGACGGGGGCCTGCCAGACGGCCTTCACCACTCTCAAAGACCACCTCACCCACGCCCCCACCCTCGCTTTCCCCGATTTTACCACCGATTTTATTTTGGACACCGACGCCTGCAGCAGCGGGCTGGGCGCGGTGTTGTCACAGGTACAGGATGGGACGGAACGAGTCATCGCGTACGCCAGCCGGACCTTGAGTGGGGCCGAGCTGAACTATTGCGTGACCCGCCAAGAGTTGTACGCCGTGATTTTCGCATGTAAGCAGTTCCGGCCGTATTTGTACGGCAGGAGATGTCGCGTACGCACTGACCATTATGCTCTTCAGTTCCTTCTTACATTCAAGGAGCCGCGGGGGCAGATGGCCCGTTGGTTGGCGCAGTTGCAGGAGTACAACCTGCAAATCGAGTATCGGGCTGGCCGGACGCATGCAAACGCGGACGCCTTGTCGAGGCGGCCCACGGTGTACGCCGAGACAAGGGCGGAGGAGGCCTGCCCCTGTTTCACGGGGGGACGCTGCCGGCAGGCAACGGACCCCCGAGAGGCCGCGGCCACTGACCCCCCCCCAGCGAGAGAGAGTGCAGTGTGCGCCACAGAGACCCTCACAGGTGGCACCGAGGATCC